TCACCTGGGGTGGTAAATACTGCAGTTCTGTGAAGCTCCCTTTGTCTTTGTCCATGACCAGCAGCGTTTGGATTTTCCCCACCCCTACCTATGCCTCTATGGAGATGTTACACTCTCCCCACAGCCAGAGGTGTCCATATGGCTGCTGCACTCCTGCCGCAGTTGGCCCAGGGCGCAGTTCATGAACACACAGATCTGACTTCTGGGTATGAAAGGAGGGAGTGGAGTGAATTTAATGCTCCCAGTTTGATCTGCTAAACCCCACTAAGCATCCAAGCCTGGAAGCCCCACTTCAACATACAATGGGATCAGCTGCTGCCAGTGTACTGGGCGACACTCTCCAAGCACTGCCTGGCACACATCACGTATGGCCTCTGCTAATTGCTGCAGCTCCCTCGTGTGCTGCAGGGGTGATCCCTCCTCAGCGGTGCCAGTTCAGCTTCCTTTGGTCTCAGGACTCCTGTTTGCGACACAGTGTCTTGGTGGGTGGGACTCACGTTCCCAGTCTCTCGAGGAAGGTCTGTGCCACACTCTGAGAGTTGTTCCTCATGCTGGCAGCACCTGAGCCAACCGAGATACGCGCGTTGCTCAGAAGATGGCATTGGTGCTGAGGTGACGACTTTAGGATAATGCAAATATTCCCTGTGGATTTCTCTAACCAAATCCCTGCTCACCTTCCTGGGTTGTGTCTCCCTAGCATTGACCTGCTGCAGGGCTGGCAATTTTGTGGCAGGTTATAAAATGCGTATTATTTATCTGTATGATCAGGCAGAGTCCTGGGGGCTGCTTGGGTCTCTCCGGTAAATATGTCTCCCAGATGCCAAAAAATGACTCTCCCAAAACGTATGTCATCGGTAATAGGAGTCTGTAAATCCCAGGTATATAGCAGAGCAGGATGATACTAACAGAGAGCCAGGGCCTTCACTCTTTCCTATAGAAGTCAATGGGAGCTTTGTCTGCGTAAGAATTACCTGGGCTTGGGCCATATATGCTACCAGATACACAATAGCAGCCCCTTGACCTGGCTGCGGATGGTGAGCTGAGCAGGGGACCAAGAGTCCGGAGGCCTGGGCTGTAATGCCAGTTCTGCCACGGAGATAGTGTGATGCGGGGCAAGTTGCTTCCCTTCACTTTTCCCCATGTGTTGAATGAGAATAATGATACTCTGACCCCTTGGCAAGTGCTGTGAGATTGATGGATGGAAAGCGCTGCATATTCTATTAGCCATAGTGTGTTGGGTGCATTGGAAACATTCAGGAGTTGAGGTCATTAGGGGATTTGCTGGACAGGTGACTTGCATCAAAGGGCTTAACCTAAATTTGGAGCTGTGGCTGAGAGGGGTTTGGTATCACTTGTATATTCTGACTTACCCTTGAACTGTGCTTTACCTGGGCACAACCCTTCTCTAGCTAACTTGCCACATTGGCCCATTCGGCTGGCCGTCCTGGCTAATGCTGCTGCCTGCTGTGTTGTTCACAGATGGGTATTTGTTGTCAAGAAAGGCTACCAGGACTCGGACACCTCCATCCAGAGCTCCGTCATCACCAAGCTGAAGGGCGTGGCTTTCACCAACACCTCGGAGCTGGGGGAGAGGCTGTGGGATGTCGCCGATTATGTCATTCCCCCACAGGTTTGCTGAGTCCCCTTTGCTTTATTTCTCACTTTCTTTAACTAGAAAGACTGGGGGCTAATTCCTGCTTGGTCGCTATTGGCGAGACAGCGATGAAGTTGCTAGTCCCCGTAGCTCTGAGAATGCCCAGGAGAGGGGCTACCAGAGAATCTCAGCTCTGTGCCTCCTTTTCCAACAAATGTTCAGCCAGCCTCCTATCGGCCTTGGATGGATGTCAGGCCAGGGTGCTGATCCAGCAAAGCGTTTAAGCATGTGCTTAAATTTAAGCAGGTTAGTCGTCCATTGACTTAATTGAGATGGCTCACCTGCTTAAAATTAAGCACATGCTTAAGCAACATGCTGGATTAGGCTCTACCTGAACAGAGCAGGCATGAATAAATGCAGTGCCTATCTGAGAACTCTAGGGGAAGCCCAGAGGAGGAGGCGGACGAATCAGATGATGATGGTGCTGAATATGTGAATTGCTTAAATGAAGGGTCTGGTTTAACCCTCCGGGCTCCTTGCTCGATTCAGTTCAAATGTCAGATGTGCCCATTTCCTTGGCCAGCTGTACCTGCAAATGTGGGCTGGCCCCTGTCTGGGAGCACCTCTTGTGAGTGCACATACTGGATAATTGAGGACTGGATTGGGAGCTGTCTGACTTGCACTCACCAGTGGCCGTTTGCATGTCCACTTTTGTTTGCACAGTCAGTTGCATGTGCACAAAAGCACGTGCAGGAAAAAAAAAAAGGGGGGGTGGGTGGGGCTGAAAGTCTGACCCTTCCCAGTCTTTGAAAGACTTTTACAAGACAGCAAACACTGAGGCAGTGCAGAGGACAGTAAAGCAAGAGCAATGTACTTGGCAGCGTGTTGCAGTCCTCTGTTGCTACCCTTTCTATGCAGTGAAGTTGTGCACGCCAGTAAGAGCTTCCATCTCATGCCCCAGTCTGCACTCACTCAAATTTGGCACCAGTGCTCTGCACTGCTCACTAGCCCACCCGCACTTTAAAACCAAATCTCATTGCTGATGTGAAAAACGTGGCCTCCAGTCAGATGCTCGACATGAAACACGCAGTAAGACTCTGTGTGATAAATGGTTGCACTGCCTGAAACTCTGTCTGCCCTAGGTGGTGTCCAGGACTTTCATGCCCATTGGACCAGGTGTCATGTGTGTACGCCCATCCGCATAAACCAGGCAGGGACGCTGATAGTTATTTTCCACAGGACTCATGCGCCAGGATTTGCCACTGGCCCTCTTACTGTGTGTCACTCTGTTGGGGTGCCGCCTGGTGTACTCTGCATTTTAAAAAAACGTCCACCCCATCTCTAGCGATGGCACTCTACAGTACAGGCATTTGGGCCCAGGCGTCATTTCTCTGCAATGTTTCAGTGGATCAGAGTGGGATGAATAGGGAAAAGCGGGTGTATCTGAAGCAAGCAAAAGCTGCAGGTTACTCTCATGGCTCATTCCCACGGTTCCTTATGTTTCGCTCTGACACTGAGCTGCCTCACACAGTTTGGTGGAGGGAGGGAGTGGTTTGCTCTGCAAAAAATCATAAAGCAAAATATGCTGTGGTTGATTCCTTTATCACAAATACTGCAGTCTCCTGCAGTAACGCGGCAAGCTGCTGCAGTGCCAGTTACTGGATTGTTACTGGAAAATCCTGGGAGACTCCCACTGTCATAGCAGCAGCATTTGTGGTGGTGAACCTTGAACACACATCCTTTTCCTTCCCAACTTGTTCCGTCGTCAGATGGAAGCTGCTCATAGAACTGACACAAGAAGGGACTGTACTTTGAAAGGAGAGTGAACGGAGCTGGTAAATGCTGCTTCCCAAGGTCTCCAGAGCTTTTGGTTTATCCTCTTGATTATGCTTCAAGGTTAATGCATTTCACTCAAACCCACTCCCAAATGCCCCAGGTGCTGCTGGTTGCTGGCCCCAGTAATAATCGATGCAGCAAAACAGGATGCGATGTTAGAGACAAATGTATTTTTAAAAGCCAAGTAATGTTCCACTAAATAAAGTGTATTCCATCGGCTAACCATGCAAACACAGTGCATCACAGAACCCCTCCCTGGTGTGGATATAGAACATCACTTCCAGCATGTTTAGCCAGTGCCATTAATAATACAGAACCAGTATGCTTGTGTCTGTATGTCAGTGCAGCAATCAAATCTATTCTGTCCTATATAGGTTTTTATCCCGCGTTCATCACTATAGCATCTGAGCACTTTCCAGCAGTGCATTAAGTAATGTGACCAACATCTGATACACACTTTTCTGTCATCCTCTCTCGACAGGGAGAATTGTATGTGCAGTGGAGCATTTTGTTTTGGGAGCAATTGTTTGTTTGTTTTTAAGTGCCTGTTGCCCTGAGTTTATATTGGAGAAGGCAGGTCGGAGAAGTGCAGATGGCATTTGGAGCAGGAGGTGGTGAGAATTTGGGATGGTCCTCGGTTCTGGGGGCATTCATTCCAGTCTGGGACCAGCCCCCGGAGAAGCACTGTCTCCTGCACCGGTAAGCCTTACCTGTGTGGCAGACAGTTCCATCAGGCCTGAGGGGTGGAGTTGTTGACCACAGTCCTTATCCTGGAGCTTTAGGCTCTTTTACACATGCTATTGAGACAAGCCATTGAGCACCTTGAAGATAAGGACCAAGACCTGAACCTTGACTTGCTGTTCTATAGGATGCAAGTGTAGAGAGTGGAGGAGAGTTGGCATTTCTTAAGTACAGAAGGCTTCGTGCCCAGGTCTATCACATTGCTGTAGTTCAGATGAGAGGAGACCAGGGTGTGTATAACCAGGTCATTGCCCGCTAGGATGGGACAGAGTCTTCTCATCACCTGGAGATGGTAGAAGGCATTACTTGCAGATGCTGCTATGTGAGAGCTCAGGGCTAGTCTACTGCAACGTGGTTTGTGTGGTCGCGGCAGAGCGCTGGGAAAGAGCTCTCCCAGCGCTCTAAAAAAGCCACCTCCACGAGGGGCGAAGCTCCCAGTGCTGGGAGCACGGCTCCGAGGGCTGGCGCACTGTCTACACTGGCACGTTACCGTGCTTAAACTTGCTGCGCTCAGGGTCGTGTTTTTTCACACCCCACACCCGAGTGAGAAAGTTGCAGCGCTGTGAAGTGCCAGTGTAGACAAGCCCTTTGTGCCCGTGAGGACTCCAGGAGCAGGAGCCTCCTAAACTATGGACTGAATCAGATTAGTGGGAAAAACTGATCAGCCGAAGACGCTACCACCTGAGCAGTGCTAGATAAGAACTCGGTTTTATTATTATAAAACAACACATCTGCTGTGATGGGTTCTTATTAGCACTAATGTTTTAAACTGGATCCTAGGAGTTAAAAAGAGTTTATAAATTTTCTTTTCTTCTTTTTTTTTTTTTAGGGTGAAAATGTTTTCTTCGTTATGACAAATCTGATTGTGACCCCAAATCAAAGGCAGGACACATGCCCTGAGGTAGGAAGAACTGCCCCCACTTCCTTCATTTCCCCCCCCCAAAAATATGGATACGAATGAACAAAGAGGAAAGTTGAGAAACTTGAATACTTGAGAGGCTGTGAACATAGCTGGGGGCGGGCAGGTGTTTTCTCAGGCCTGTAGAAGAGTAACTTGACCAGGGAAGAAGTGGATTAGCCCTTGGGGAGTGCAGAATCGGCTGGCTTAATTTTCAGAGGTGCTGAGCACTTTATATCCTCTATTGACTTCAATGAGAAGTGCAGGACCTCAGCACCACTGGAAATCAGGCCATAACAGCATACAGTCATTAGAGAAAGGTAACCTTTTAGCTAAGGGAGAGTGGTCATATGAAGAGATCAAGTGGAGTCCAAATGAAACAATCCTGGGTTTCGTGTAGAGACGACTCTCTTGCAGTAATGCCAGAAGAAAGAACCTGTAGCTGGGGGTGGTCTCAGAGCACCCCTTCATGGCATGAGGTAGCCCTGCAGGCACCCAGCCTTATATCCCTATTAGTTCTTTACAATAATTTACAGGCCGGAATACTTAAAATAGGATCTCCCTTTGTGAGGTCTTATCCATTTAATCTTCTCCCAAATACAAACTCTTTTAGCCCGTTGGGCCAACAACACTTCTCCTTCATTCTGGACTCCCCAGCCTTCCTCCTGGGGCCTATGTGCTGATTCAGACAAGCTTCCTCTCCTTTGTTCAGGAGCCACACAGACAATCTCTTGGGGCCCGTGTGCTGTAGCCTTAAACCAGCTTCTCCCAGCTTTGTAGTTTAGTCCTTTTCTCCCTGGGCAGGCAAAGGGCAGCAGTCCTGCTATGTCTCCATCGTTATGAGGGAACAGGCGCACAATGTCTACTGCCCTCGTTCCCAGAGCTTGCCTTGATTGGCTAGGAGAGAGGGGATCCTGTCCCCATCCTACACTACAAGAGACAGTACCCTGGATTTTCTGCAAACACTAATTATTCCCTGAGATCACTTCCTCTCTCCCAAAACTTACCTGACCCCTAGTCCCTGCCAGCCTTAAAGGGGACAGTTCCCCTGTTACAGGCCCCAACCTGAGAGGTGCTGAACACCTGCAGTTCTGACTAACTCCGGCTCAGCACCTTTCAGGATTGGGTCCTAAATTAGGCAAGGAACAGGAGTTCTTTCCAGTCCTATCATAAAAGACTGTTCGTTAGTGCCAAGAGCCTGAGCTGGCTGGGCTGCTGTCGGTCATAAACATGTAGAAATGTTTTGCTCCATTATTTACCATCTCACCAGTATCCTTACTAACTTTGCCCTATCCTGGGCCAATTTTTGTAGCAAACCCTCAGGCAGTTGGGAAAGCCAGTGTGTGTGTTGGTAACAAGCTCTCAGGGCTGAGGCCTAGTTAATGACAGTCATTTCCTCTGGCTGGGCTCCATGTCTGTCTGAAGAGGTCATCTGAAATTAAGCACTCTGGAGGCCTACCAGACAATGGAGCTTAGCTGGGTAAGACAACACTGCCCTCAAGTGGCCAGGTTAGCATAGCATGCAGAGATGGAAGAGGAATAAGAATGTGTCCAATCACACAGGATGTCTCTGCTTTATTTCAGAGTGAGAAAGTTTTTTAGATTAAAGCAAAGGTAGCGTTATCCCATCATTTTAATAATAGTTTGTTTCCTCCTGCTTGTTTTTAGAGACCTGTGGGAGCCGGGGAGTGCAATCTGTTTTCCTCTCATTTTCCTCTCTCTCAATTGTTCAGATGCGAGTGATTGACATGTCATAAAAAATAACATGATAGATAGACCCAGTCCCAGGGTAGGTTACTGCAGGGCTGTTCTTGAGTGCTAGCGTGCACACCCCATTTGTTAAACTGTACATTTCCTCCAGGACAATATTTTATATGTGGTCCCCATTGCGTAAGGGATGCACTTGGTGGCTCTTTGTAAAAGTGACCTAATTACCCTACTGAAATCATTCATGTAAACCTCATGGAAGTATGCCAGAGAGAGAGGATGGGATTTCCTAAAGCACCTACATCACCTAGGAGAACAAGGGACTCAAGTTTCTAAATCACTTAGGTATTTTTTGAAAGTCTCACCCAATTACTGTGATGAGGAGGAAGAAGAAAATAATATTTTACTCTCCTATCAAAAACCTTGTTCATCCAGCCTGAGTGGATGAGTGAATTTTGGGAGGCTGACATGAGTTCAGATGTATCCCTTTCACTTAGTTCTTCACCCCCACAATGCAAATCTAAGTGTTTTTGGGGTGGCGGGTACATGAAGTTCTATGTGGAGGAGCGTTCCAGTGAAAGCACACTATGCTTTCTATCACATGCCTTACTTGCTGCAATCATCTGCTTTGCAGAGTACTGGCATTCGAGACGCACTGTGCAGCAAGAACAGGGACTGCCCTGCGGGGGAAGCTGTGATAGCTGGCAATGGTAAGAGATGAGATCATCCCCCTGCACATCCTGAGCAATTAGCTTGCCTTCTGAGGAAGACAATTCTCCACTTAAGAACTTAGCTTGAGAAGACGATTGGAGGAGGAGGGAGAGATTTATGGGAGTCTCTGTCCCAGAATAACAGGGGTGTTGCAAGTCATGACTGAGGTGTCTTGGCAGAGCTTTATGGGAGTCTCTTAGTGAGTAACGGGATGTGGCCTTGGGAGAGCTTGAGAAAGTGGCCATAGAGGTGGACCCAGGACTGGAAGCTGGGGGTCCTGCAGGATGGAGATGCATCAGCAGAGCTGTGGGGAAATCGGGTGCCACACCTGCCCACAGTGCACCTGGTCCTAACCAGTGTTCTTAGTCTTCTCTTTTCAGGAGCACAAAGCCGACATAAATTACATTAATAATGTAAAAAGAAAAGGAGGACTTGTGGCACCTTAGAGACTAACCAATTTATTTGAGCATAAGCTTTCGTGAGCTAGCTCCTCTCGGATGCATACTGTGGCTGCATCCGATGAAGTGAGCTGTATGCTCAAATAAATTGGTTAGTCTCTAAGGTGCCACAAGTACTCCTTTTCTTTTTGTGAATACAGACTAACACGGCTGTTACTCTGAAACCTGTCATTAATAATGTATTTTACCATTGGTTGACTTATATCCTATCCTGCGACACACATTGGTAGCAGCAGCAGGGCAGGGTCAGCTGGCTCCAACACCTAGCCTGGGCCTAACAGGATTCTTGGTGCTTGGCATTAAATATATTGCAGAATCCCCAAGGATCTCCCCGGGGCAGAGATTTCACAGCATGTCTATGGTTCTGAATGCAGCCAGTTGGGAGTCTGGATCAAGAGGAGTTGCCCAAGGCATGTGGCATGAGTAACTGGGTAAAGAGCCGTGGAGGATAGGTGTGCTGGAGTAGTGGCACCCCCTGGGCACTGACTTGGCCAGTCAGCAAAACGCTTCGGAGGCCTGGCTGAGGAAAGCAAGTGGGACAGGAGGACTTGTGGCTCACTTCATGCTCAAATAAATGTGTTAGTCTCGAAGGTGCCACAAGTCCTCCTGTTCTTTTTATGATATTGGGAACACTCCCTTTTTAACAGGAGATAGCAAGATAGGGATGTGTCCATTGATCTCCCTGGGCACTCCAGAGCAGTTGGGACTATGACCTTGGGTCTGGGCCGTAACCCCAGGAGGTTTTTTTTGTTTGTTTGTTTGTTTTTTTTTTGGGGGGGGGGGTCACTGCATATCATTACACATCTTGTTGGCCCTGAGCCATAGATGTTACTGGGACAGTTCCTCCTCCCCTCCTCCCTGTGTGCTGTAAAGGGTGGTTGATGATTCACAACAGCCCAGCTCTTGCCTTTCAAAGTGACCTGGCTTTTTCAAATGGAATCGACTGTATCAGGAGCCCCAGCCTGAGCCGAGCACTGTAGCATGGTCAGCAGTGGCCCCCCAACAGCCCTGAGACTGAGGTCAGCAATTAACAAAGGACCCAGGGCTCCTTGGAAGAAAGGGAACCCCTGGATGTGTCATGGTGGACTGCTGTTCTTTGGGGAGATGAAAGCCAATATCATGCTGAGCTGCTGGGACTGTCGTGGTCCCGGATGTCTCCAGTCAGTAACTGAGAGGGAGCAGCAGTGACTTCACTCTCGCTTAGCCATCTTTATTTGAGGTCTATTGACTTGTTTACAGCCCATTTAAACAGAGCTCTGCTAAACCAAATGGATCACAGTCTCCCTGCCAAGATACCCTGAGGCTGCTAGGAAAAGCAACAACAGAGCAGTTGTTCAAGCAGGGAGAGAACATTTCACAGCTGGGAGGATTTAGGGTTACAATGAAGACAAAGTAACATTTCATCTGCTCTAGTGGGCCAGGAAAAAGGGAGGTATCAGCCTTGAATGACCTTTTCCATGACCTTGTCTGCACCATAGGGGTCAAGACTGGCCGCTGTTTGAAAGTCGGGAGCAACACCAATGGGACGTGTGAAATATTAGCGTGGTGTCCGGTGGAGAAAAAGTCCAAGCCCAAGTATGTTCCCCTTCTGGCAATTTCACTGAGCATGAGTTGCCTGTCTTTTGTCTTATTTTGAAGCATGGCTTCCGTTTCCTAACAAGCAACTGAAGATAAGTCGCTGGGTTGTATTTGCAGAGATTCCCGTTGGCTTGAACGCACGAGGTCAGAAACATCTGCTATGTTTAAAATGTGTCAGGGCAGCAGGAAATTCTGCATGAGGGTGCCTTGGGGCCCACACCTTGCTCCTTCTAAAGATGGTGCACATGCTTCTTGCAGGGCATCTTCCAACTCTTGCTATTGCCTGACTCCCTCTAACACTGCCCTTTTCTCAAACAACTCCCCGACAAAACATGACAACCGAGGGAGGCTGGCCAAAGGGGAAGAGTGTGGAACAGAACTGATTCTCAGTAGGAGCCAAGGGTCTGTGCAGCAGCCCTTTCTCTGTCTTCAGGGGGCATTCTGCAGGATTGGATTCTGCTTCTGCTTATTACATGAACATGTCAGTTAAATGTCAATGGGCAGAAGAACAATGAGTATAAACCCAAGAGAACTTTGCCCCCTCTCTTTCAGGAAACCGCTTTTAGCGAATGCAGAAAACTTCACTGTTTACATCAAAAACTCGATCCGCTTCCCTAAGTTTAAATTCTCCAAGTAAGTGTGTGCCTGTCTCTGTTTCTTTCTCTATCAGCAACCTTTCTTTTGTCAATAATCCAAATAGCTCCTGTGTTTTTCTCCTCAATGCATGTTGGCATGTGATCTGAACACTCCTGTCTAGGACGGTGACTGTTTCCTGTTGGTAACCGGAGGACAGTATTTGGTTTCTGGCTATGTAGGAGCAGGGAAGGTAATGAAGGATTTGATTTTAGGGGAAGATTTTCAGTCTGGTGAGAGCTTCCCAGCCAAACAGTGGCTGGATTTAGACCATCACTTATGGAACGTAATCTTTGACAGTTGTCTGGCTATGTGTATCCAAGCTGACATTGCACTGACCAATGGGATGAATATGACCCATTATTTCCATCATAGGATTTTTATTAATCTAACTGGATAACAAGCCCATGTATATGAATATTGGGGTATTCCCCTCTCATGCCTAGAGTACAACTGGGCTGGCAGCCTCCCTAATAGCCTACATGATCTAAACCCAGCATGTCCATCAACCAGCAGTATTCGGGGGAAAGGGGAGTGGGGTACTTGGGCCTTCATTTAGAAAGAAACCAGCTCCCCAAGCTGGGGGAAGTTGATGGGGGATTGTGTTTTCACTGGTTAGGTAAAAAATAAGAACATTTTGGAGTTTCACCCCCAAATTATTATGCTGTAAAAATGAAATAACCTGGGCAAGTTGAGTGGAAAATGCTGATTTTTCAATATTCCACTTGTAAGGATGGGTGTGAAGGTGGGAACAGGAGCTATTGGCTATGGCTCTACTTACAGAAATCTCTATCAAAACGAGCATTTTCCCATCACCACTCTGGGTAGCTTCAGTTGTGCATTTCTAGCCTATTGTTATGAGAGAGAACACGAGACAGAATTGCAACAGGAAGCTCTGCTTAAAAACTGAAGGAACAATCCAGGTGTGGTTTCGAAAGTCACTGCCTGAATGAGGGTTGCATCCTCCTTTAGAGCCTGATCTTGCTGTCAGGTCTGCATGGGCATAAATCTGCCTGCGTGGATCTATGTGCAGGCTCAGGGTCTGTTTGCATCCAAGCACAGCAGAATGCATTCATTGGGGGTGGCTGCAGAGATGCTCACAGGATAATAGGGTTAGTGGCAAGAATGCCCTTTCTGTCCTATTGGATTATTATGGTGGGTGTCGAAGAGGAGACTCATCTCTGTGGCCTTGGAAGAGAATCTTCCTACGGCTGTTCTGTAGGGCAGGCAAAGAGAAAGGTCAGACTGGTTCTGTTGTTCACTATATGCAGGACTAATGTGCTAAACACTGATGATGAATTCTACCTGAAAAACTGCCACTTCAGTGCACAGCACCTTTACTGCCCCATATTCCACCTGGGCAAACTCGTGAGCTGGGCTGGGAACAACTTTCAGGACATGGCATCTAAGGTATGAACATTCCTTATTCTCCCATACACCGCACCAGCTAAACAGACATTCCTCTCTGGAAAAGCTGATAATCCTTCCAGTGACCAAAACTCCCCCTCACCCCTATGAGGACTTCTCATATCCAGAACTATGGCAGGTCATTGAGCTTTAAAATCATCTTGTCTCTTGCCTATAATAACCCCATGGAACTGAAGTATTTCCACCTGCCCAATTGTGCATTACTGTTGGGTACCTTGTACATGTCTGGCTGAGCACCCTAGTTTGTTATTGTAGGGCTGTGTATGAGTTGCTCACAGGATGTTCTTTTAAAACATGGTTGAAATGTCTGTTTTGGATCTATGTAAAGAAGTCCTGAACCTTACATGTTAAAATGTCACCATCCCTGCCACAGCCAGCTTTAACAGTGTCCCTTGAAGGACAAGGTGGGTGAGGTCATATCTTCTATTGGACCAACTCCTATTGGTGAAAGGGACAAGCTTTTGCGTTACACAGAGCTCTTCTTCAGGTCCCTTGAAGGACTACATTTAACTATACTCCCTAAAGGGAACGTAGCTTTCATGAATATACCATTGACTGATGCTTCCACCTGTGGAACCCTTTCAAGTCCAAAGAAATACAGAATATTTTACTGTTAGTGCTGAAATTTACTGTACAGAGGAGCCAGCGCAAGACCTAAGCCCCTCTCAAGTCCCCGCATAATTAGGGCTAAGTGCTCCACAGTCCTCATGCTGACCCTCTGCACAGGACAGAATTTTACCACTAGTGGACAAAGGTCCTCTTCGCTAAAGTGAACACGTCAGCTAACAGGAACTTAATGAACACCCTGGGCATGAAAATCCTCATTACAACAGAGAGTACAGATGGGCCCTTCTAGGTGGGGTTGGAATTGGTGTCAGGAGCACTGTGAGGAAGCTGTCAGTGAAACTGTCTCCAGATGCCCAGCATGGGAAGAGCCAGGATGACTGTAGAAAAATATGATTAACCACAGTTGCCTAAGTTTGGCTCATCCTGATCTGAGTATGAGTTCAGGACCAGAGGAGCCTACTTCTCTTTTATCTCCCTCAAGGGACACTTGGCAGAGGAGCAGACATGATTTAAAAATGAACAAACCAAGCCAAGCTACAAAAAAGCACACTGAAAACGTGTCTCTCTTTCGTTAAGGGTGGTGTGATAGGAATTCAGATTGAATGGGACTGTGATCTTGATAAACCTCCTTCTGAATGCAACCCTCACTATTCTTTTAGCCGTCTGGACAACAAGTTTGCGGAAAAATCCATCTCCTCTGGATACAACTTCAGGTAATCAAAGGCAATGATGGGACTGGGTACCACTGTGTAACTCTCAGGCACAGGGGCCCTTGAAAATGCCACTGTAACAGTATCGGCTCATAGGTTAAATCAGATTCTGTTCCTAACTATTCCTGGCTAACTCTTTCAGCTGAGCCTATGCCGGTTCCATGGTATATGGCCTTTTAAAATTTTCATCGCAGTTTACTTACACACACACACAGTCTCTCTCTCTCTCCACAAAGCTAGTACCATTCACACACTGCAGACACCGAAGTCTTGATGTATTTGCAGTGATTCCTAATCTAGAATTAGAGATCTTCTATGAGTTTTGCTGAGTCTTTCATATTCTGCATTAAGCACTGCTTCTGCATCATCACCCCCACCACGGTCAGCCAGCCACTGAGAGTGATCCATGGAAATTGAACAGGTTTAGGGTTTTTACCTTCCAGTCTCCCACTGTAATGATAAGGAAATGTACGCTGAGGCCATTACAGTGATTTCAATAGGCTTAGAGCTACCCAGCAAGAAAGGCTTTCCTATTAGTCTGGCTAAGGCTAGAAATGAAACATGATGTCAAGAACTGGCTGATACAGAACCCATCCACATGCTCCTCTGAGACCTCAAGTTTAGGACATCAAATATACCCCTGATTTTTAAAGGGAAATATACCTGGGTTTGAACAGAGAGGGTGAATTCAAACTTGTTCTTACGTGAGGGAGGCAGGTGACTGGGTTAAAAATCAATGTTCTTGCATTCTCTGCTTTCTAGATTTGCCAAATATTACAAGGATGCTGAAGGAGTCGAGTACAGGACACTGATAAAAGCCTACGGAATACGCTTTGATGTGATGGTGAATGGCAAGGTGAGGAGCCTAGACCAGGATATTTCTGGTCCTGGAAGAAATAAGGGTGGAGTCAGACTTTTGTTGTTGGGTAGGTACCACCAGAGTGGGAAAGGGCAGCACTAGGGCGAAACCACCCCCTTGTTTGTGAGGGGGGAGGATTCTTGGCAGGCAATGTTTCATTGGCACTAGCAAGCTGCCTTGATACACAAAGGGAAGAAAAGAGCCTGGAGTGCAGCTGAGGCTGAAGGGAAGCACTAGGCTGCTCAAAGTAAGATTAATAGATTAGTCAATATCAGCCAGCAGGATCCACTCTACACATCTCATGCTCATTGAGGAAACTGGTTCATGTGATGTCCAGCAGTAAGAGGACTATGGAAGATGTTATTGGGTTTCCTGTCAATACCCACTGTAGTATGAGAAGTAGAGCTGGAGAAAGAGGATCAGCATACAGGAGAGACCTAGTCTGGTGTGACACCACAGCCCCAGGAAGGCAAGCAGGGCCAGGCTGCTACCAGACAAACCCATGCCTCTTAGAATGTAGCCCTAGTCTCAAAGCTTGCTCAGTAACTCTGCCTGCTGGCTTCCATCACGTACTGCTAATGAAACACATGCATCGAGCCAAATTTACCCTAAGTGTAACTCTGTGGCCATCAGTTCAGCTTGTGGTAACTGCTCGGCTAACACAAAGTGTTTTATTATTTCTTTCAGGCAGGTAAATTTAACATCATTCCAACGATAATCAACGTGGGCTCAGGACTTGCGCTTATGGGTGCAGTAAGTAAATGTATCATCCTATTTACGGATGAAAGAAAAGCATCAGAACCTGAACCATGTCCAAATCCTGCGGTTGAGATGTTTCCAGGATAAACAGTTGGCCTGAAAAAATAGTCAAGTTCTTTAGAAAGGCTGATCGGTTGGGATTGTGCCTTTAAAAGGGAGCCATCAGTTAATACACTTTGCGCTGTGGGCACCCCAGCATGGCAGAACACATTAGGGAGAACAGACACTGCGGTAATGAGCACAGTATAAATGCTTAGATTATAAACTGTGCCATAGCCTTTGTTTTCCTCCTTTAACCAGTGCCTGCTGCAAATTAGGCCTACTATTGTACTTGAGAGATGCAACGCATGCACAAGGAAGAAGCTGTGATATGCTGACATCTCTTAGCTCAGATACCATGGTGATGACTATAGTGTGAAAGCCTAGACAGACAAAGCAAGATTAATCCCATTATCACTGAATTATTACTGAGTAGACTTTATAATAAGCCCCCTGTGAATTGTGACTTGGTGTCTTTTTCCTTCTCTTGTTTGTCCCATTGTCTGAAACCAATCTGGGCAAGATACTCCTGCTGAGGGAAATTGGCATGTTGCTGTGTTAATGAATAATAAAAGCTAAATAGAATCACATTCCTGGTCCATATGTAGCAAATGCGGATGTTGATGTTTGTGAACCCGGTGTCTTTTCCATGCTAACATGTACCAGTCTTAACGCTGGCTGCATTTCTTGGTAGCAGAAGTCACCAGTTATTTTTGGGTAAGCAGATATGGATGATACCGAGAAAGGATGGTGCAGCAGTTAGGGTGCTAGTCTGGGATTTAGAAGACCTGGTTTTAATTCCTGCTTTAGCTGCAGACTTCCTGTGGAACCTTGGGCAAATCACATATTTCCTCTATGCCTCAGTTTCCCATCTGCACAACGGGGATAGATAATACAACTGTCCTGCCTCACAGGGTTGTTGTGAGGTGCTCAGATGCCCTGGAGCTATCTAATTAAGTTATATCTAGTAGCCTCGGGTATTCTGGTCCCACAGAGTGGAAACAATTGCTTTGCTAAAGCCTTTCATATGCAAGGTTGGGATTGAAGACATGATTATTTGCACTGCAGTAGTGCCTAGAGTTGCCAAACAGGACCCCAGTGCGCTAGGTGCTCTATGCACATCAGGCAAAGACAGTCCTAGGCTCAAAGAGCTTACAGTCTGAGCATGAGAGAACAGGTGGATGCAACACGCAAACGAGAGCACAAGGTGACAGTGGGAGGATCACGATTACCATAATAAGTAACAGTCACGGTAGGCTGGCTGAGAGTAGCCATTGTCAAACATTTTGTAGGCTTCACAGCACAGGTGAGTTTTCAAGAGAGATTGGGAGGAGGACAAGGTAGTGGCTTTGGGGATTTTTACAGGGAGATTATGCATTTGCTTTCCGTTGCTTTTTATAGTACTGTGCTGCCTCCAATATTTTGCAGGGGGCTTTCTTCTGCGACGTGGTGCTGCTGTATTTGATGAAAAAGAGCAACTTCTATCGAGGCAAAAAATATGAGGAAGTGAAGTAAGTGGGACTCTTGTTGCATTTATGTGTGTAGCATTAGACCGTCCAGTCATTAAATGGACAGAAATATAGAAACACGGGAAATTTTAATTGTAGAGGAAAGGCATTTGCTTCCAGGAAATTACATGCATACAGATGAATGTAGCCGAGCTGCTCCCTCCATAAGTCATTTCTGGAGTCAGGGAAACTGCTGTGTCATTGTTCAAGCTGCAAATGGCCTCCTGCCTCTTCATCCATAATGATGCCAAATGGAATCAATGGCAACTACTAAAAGTATTGGATGCCTTGTCCTTTCACTTATAAAGATGAAAATTACAACTCCAGCCCGAGAGCTGCTATGTTAAAGGGTGGATTCAGTGCTAAGCTGATGTAGGCCTGGCAGGGATGCAACAGGGGCCATGTCCTCTCAGGTATGGCAGACTTAGACCCCGTAGATCCATTTTCTGTGCCACTGGAGTTCAGCCAACTGAGAATGGCAGCGTGAGTCACTGCTGCACCAGCATCCATCTAATAAAACCTCGAGTACATAGTCCCTGTAATAGAACATTGTCACAGTGCCAGAGCTCCATTGCTCTGAATCCTGAAGTCTGAGCGTCACGTTGACATTTATTTTTCATGTACCGTCTAAGCTCCTTTTGATTATATTTGTGTGCAATCTACTTGAATTAACAGGGAGTTTACAGATCTACATCAGTGGAACAACTGCCCCCTCTGTTTCAATCATGAAGTTGCCAACAAATTGTGGGAAAGATTTTTTTCTAAAAAACTTGACATCACAAATTCAGTATGAGCTTTGTGGAATAGATAAGGTTATTTGTGCATGTGGCTACGTGAGGAGCTCCTACTGGAGTTACAGCAAGGTGCCCTGAGGCCATTGCTGGCATTATGCAAAAATCTATGACTCAACTTAGCTTCTGTGATGTACAAGTGGACCTTAAAAAACAATCAATTGAAACAACAAACATTTGTTTTGAACAGTTATAGTTTAGTCAAAACAGACTACTTATGAAAATGGCTCAGTTCTGTCCATTAGCCAAGCCAGGGAGAAATTTACCCATCTCTAGAAGCAATGGTTTAAACATTCTTTGTCTGTGTCTCCTGGAAATGCTGAAGGTCCTACCAAGACCCCTCTTCTGCTTCACAAGGTAAATAAACTCAAGGTACTGCCATTCTTGCCTTTTGTTCCCACAGGTCCAGTTCAAGGAAGTCTTTACCAGGTGGAACAGTGAATGGGAACCAGAACTCAGAATCACTGGCTACATTAGAGCAGCAGAGACAACTACAGACAGTTGAGACCTAAGGGTCTGTCAATTGGAAAACACGTTCCATAAAGACTACGGTGGTAAAACACAGCAACCAAACTTTGAGGTGGAGACACCCCTGGTCAGGTCTATTGTATCATTTGGATGCCCAAAGAAGTCAGTTATAGCTATTCTGTTCAAGAGAGCAGTTTGCTAAAAATATCACACCTTCTGACCTAAGGCATTCTTCCCTGTCTTGAGCTGATGACACCTGTCATTGCTACAGAATTTTTGTATTATAAAGAAAAATGTAGAAGAAACCAGGTGACATTTTTATATGCACATACATAGATAATCAGCATTATTCCCTAGCACTGCATTGCTTTGCTAGTGAAAGATCACTATCAAAGAACATGTGGCATTTGACATTGTTAGGAGGGTTGAGGTTGGGAAAACAGAATCACCTTCTGTTCAGCTGCACTGCACTGCACACCAGTTCCCAAGTCTTGCATGATCTACCTGTAAGAGTAGATTGAAATAATTTGGGCTGCTGTTGAGATAAATGAGATCTAGCGTTCCATTCAATTTGTCTGTAGTTCAGGTAACATCATACTACAGGTAAAGTGACTCTAAAGATGTTTTCACAGGAAGAGCACTTACTATATAGACCATGGTATCCTCCTATTTCCATAGAAGCACTTTACCAACCCCACTCCAAAACCAACCAGGCTCAGTGATATTTGCAGTTGGCCTGGCAAAGCTCTCATGAGCAAATAAATATAGAACTTCTGTTAAATCTAGTGTTTAAAAATACCAGAATAACCTACAGTAAAGGGATGGGGTTTGTCCCCTAGTAATTGGTCCAGGTAACTGGACATTTTGGGGTACAAGAAAGCATAGTGTGGCACAGCAGTTAGCTGATTAGGGGAATATTTTGAAACAAGTTGGGTGATACTTCTTTCTAAGGAAGTTGACAAATGCTTGTATAACTGGCCTGATAACACTTTTTTGTCTGAATTTTCTTTTGAACAAACTGCCCTTGGAAGCTGAATGTGGAAAGAAAGTATCAAGCATTCAATGTGTTAACAGCATGCATCAAGGCACCTGTCAATGACAGCACATTCAATGACCAAGCCTCCCTTCCTTTACCAGTTGGTTTCATCTGCTTTTCTCAGAAACTCCCTTTTATTGTCACTGTGCTTTTTGTTTAGCTCATGGATGATTATCCTCTCTACCTTACTTACTCATTCCTGAAAGAGGAGGAATTTGATACTTCTGCCAGTAGGAATGGATAGTCACTGTTACTGGGTCAGGCAGGCTCTAGTGAGGGACAGCTACTGTGTCTGCTCTTTCGTTATCCATAGTTTAAAATGTGGGGGTGTGGGAGGGGAATAACACCAATTGAACTTTGTTTCCCAAGTCATTCTGTATCTCCTAACCCCACAAGTTACAGGATTTATTTAAAAGTTAGAAATCTAATACTTAAAACTTTTTTTTTGCTCCATTGGTTTTTGACTCTCAAAGCTCTGTGGCCTAAATTCAGATGGTGATATAACTTCCCAAAAAACACTAGGAAGCAAAAGCACAAAAGTCAATTCTACTTGGCTCTGTGCTTCCTTAGGATGAATTTGACTCACTAGCCTTGGATGAAAATGGTAGGTGGTGAAGATTAATCTGCCTTGTTTTGAAATATGACATTAATAGTCCTACATCAGTCTTTTCACTCAATTAAAAAACTGGTGAATGATGTGTTAAGGTGAAACCTGACAGCATTAGCTTGATGCAAACAGGACTGTGTAAACTTACTAAGCCAATATAACTATCTTAACCATCTATACTTAAGTAGTTTTTGAAGCTGAAACAAATATAATACAATGCTGTATCACCTCATACTACGGTATGATTCAATCAAACAGCTCATCAGAAATAAAAACAAGGCAAGGCTAGGCCTGCTTTGTAGTCTAATACTTTAACCTGCCCAAATAATGCTACCTTGTTAGAAAGAACCTAACTCACTTCCAGAGTTGAAGACTTTAGGTCCCTCATCACAAAATTTGATCCCCATTTTTTTTCTTTAAACTCAGTACAGAGATTATTCATAAACAGTAACTACCGGATTCTCAGAGGGTTTTTTTTAAATAGAGTTTGATATTTTTCTTGGAGTTAATATACAGCAGTGGAATTTGTCTATTTTAGGCCAATGTTGCGTCTCTTCTGTAAGTTGCATTATTTTAGATAATGGTGATTAACCATATACATGCTGGTTTCTCCATTTTGTTTTTAAAAGCATGCACAACATTTGAACAAGCAGCAAAGAGTCCTGTGGCACCTTATAGACTAACAGACGTATTGGAGCATAAGCTTTTGTGGGTGAATACCCACTTCAGCGGATGCAAGCATCTGACAAAGTGGGTATTCAGCCACGAAAGCTTAGGCTCCAGTACGTCTGTCTAATAAAGTGCCACAGGACTCTTTGCCGCTTTTACAGATCCAGACTAACACAGTTACCCCTCTGATACTCAACATTTGAACAGTACAAGTATATTAATAAAGCTGCCCATCTAAGCATAGCTAAAGTGCCCATGTTTAAAAGATGCATGACAATACAGAAAAATAGCTCTGACAGAATTAAGTAACTAGACCATGTTATTTTGCAGGAGACCAAAGATAAAACTATTGTAAATATATAGTATGGCTGACAATATTTATAGTATCATTGTCAATTTCCCTTTATCATATATAATGTCTTTGTTTTAATATTAAATAAAGTTTAAAATAGAGGGAAGACTACTTTAAAAAAAGCATTTCAAAGTATAAGTGGGAAAATGTTTTACACTGACTGTTCTGTCACTGGTTAGTAATTTATGTTTTAGAATAGGGTGAACTGCAAAAATGCTACTGACTATTTGATTTTCTCCTTGTATGGAAATACTGCTAAGTGTATATCAGTGTGCTTCAGAGCCCTGTCACCATACAAGTGCATAGACTATATACCCATTCACTAAGAAAATGGATGAAGAGGGATTGCAGGGTCTATCCTATAGCTAAAAGCTACAGTTTACAGCTCAGTCGGTCCTTGATTTTTCTTGCAGAAAATGAAGTATATTACCACAATAATGCATTGTATGTTTGGGGAAATACTAAGAGTGAGTCTATTCCAGATCTCTGGCTGTGTGTTTGTTCACATTAGCTATAATGGATACCTATTCATAGGATACTGTGGTTTCCTTTGGCATAATGTAGTATGGCAGTGGAAAGCACTGTGCTACTTACTACCTTTTATATCTGCCATTAAAAAAAATGCTCTGCAAAGTCAATGCATGGAAGAGACTGAAATGTTTTAGTAGCTTTAATTTCCTGTTTATAAAGTGACTGCAGCCAGGATTACTTACACGAATGATCCAGACAAATAAGATACTTCTGTCCAGAGCTTCATGTACATTTAATTACATATTACTGTGAAATTAACTTTGTGTCAGTGCTGCCTTTCAGATTTCATTGCATTAAGCTTCTGGTTAAAAATACTTTACCAATGCTTGTACGCTGGTGCAAACGGTGACAGTAGGAACACACAGTAAAATATAGCTGCTATTTCTGATCTTACAGATGCAGAATGTAAAAGGAATAAAGCCAGCTGAGAATAGTGGACAAATGGCGATTTTTAGCGATTCACAGGATACTTATAGAAGCGTGGGAACCAATTTAAGGGACTTTTCCGTAAGACGTTTTACATTCAATTTACTTAGACAAATACTACAGAATTTTGTTCTCAGACATAAGTTACTGACCGCCTTAACAATACAAGCAGTGAACAACAATTTAAAAAGCTGGTATAGTTGTTTAGATGAGTTTTTGGCAACAGTCCTCCCATTTCATTAAAACCCATTGCAGCTAAAGTGGTTACTACTCTTTTTAGTAGACATGCACCATGCCATAGAGGAAAGTCCAGAAGAGGACATACGTGAAGAGGCCTCCGATAAGCCCCCCAGTGAAAAGTGGCCTTCGGGATTTAAAGTACTTATTCCACCGCCGTCCAGCTTTTAATACCAAAAGCACTGAGAGAAGGACAGAAGCCAAGAAGTAGAAGATGAAGCCATGTAAACCAGTCAGGCCAAGAATTCCTGCTGTTGCTCCTGACAAGGCAGAAACGGATGTCCTGCAATAATCCAGAATGGCTGCATTCCCTCGGACTGCTCCTTCGCTGATGAACTGAGGCCCTTCTCGCTTAGCCACCATGGTAGCCATTGCTCTGGTTTGGAGTCAAGGATTTCTCTCTCCCAACGAGACTACGTCAAAGGAGAGAAAAGAAACTATTATACTAAGTCAATTTCATTTTATTTGGGAAGATGGGACAGAACAATTTTCCCTCCTGTGCATAACTAACAACAGGAACTGAGAGTGAAAAATGCACTGCTACTTGGAAATTGTCCTCTTTAGCAAAAATCACCATCAATAAATCGATAAACTGAAGAGTACCTATAATCTGTTGCACATTTTGGTAACATCACGCCTGACAGCATATGGAATGCATCAGACATCAGAACATTGTTCATACCCTTTGAAAAAAATTAATTTGAGTAGTGTCTTGGACAAACTGTATTCCCAGTTATCTGCACTAGAAATAAGTGGTGGTCTTTGAATAACTACAAGAAATCAAGGAGCTATTCACATGTCCACTAGCTGTTATAACTGATGGTATTCAAAGAGCTGCTAAAACATTCAAGCAAATCAGGTAGTCTGCACTTGGACTCTATGCAAATATAAAATTAACTTGAGTTAATCAGGTAAGTTTACATCTAAAACGCAAAGCCTTTTAGTCATTAACACCACACACAAACAAAACAGTACCAATCTCATTACATATGTTTACAGCACACAAATTTACTTGTTAGAGTAAGAAAAATTTAGGCCATCTGAAAAAAATAGAATTTTTGTTCCAATCAATGTTCCCTCTAATTTTTTCCACCCATGTGCGCAGAATAAATTGGGGATGTGCATCTCCAGTAGAAACAGAAAACCCATATATGTATATATTTTTAAGAGTAACTATAGGGATAATTACTCCAGCTAGAACAGGTTAGGCATTTTAGGACTCACTACTCAAATAATTTAAGTGTAAGAGAAATAAAAATTATGAAATGCATAGACCAGTCAAAACCCTAAAATAACACGTTGAAAGAATAAAATTAGAGACTATATGTGCATTGCAGGAAGTACCAAGTAGTAACACTAATACAATTATGTGTTGGGAGGTGAGTGTGTGTGTGAGAGTGACAGACTGGGTGTGTGCTGGCTGCTGGGGATGATTCTGAGAGATGCCATGCGCTCTCTCTTTAAGACACTCACTGAAAGCTCTCCTGCTCTGTCCTGAGCCCTCATCTCCCCTTCCCCACTCTGCAGAGATGGGGTATATGGGGGTGGGGGGAAGTGTGAGAGAGCTGGCTGCTGGGGAAATCTCAGTGCACTGTCTCTTTAAGAAAGGCACTCATCATTCACCCCAGCAGTTCCAAGTCCTTCCTGAGCCAGGCTGTGTCCCCTCTGCCCTGCTCTGCAGAGATGGGGTACAGGGTCAACATCCTGACATCAGCAACACCCCCCCCCCCCGCAAAGCAAGTAGGAGAGGAGCAGCTGCAGGACAAGCACTGTGGGGGGAGAGGCACATGAACACATATTGCCAGGGTGTAGATGTTCAGCTAATCACCTGGGCAGCCACTTGGCCCAAGCATGCAGCTTGCAGGGAACCTAGCTTCCAGTATAAGACTTGCAAGCCCAATTTAGAGATGAGTAACCTCATTATATGGCCTTTTCCTGCAACATATTGTTGTGTACATACACATAGTTCTAACAGCAACTCAACTTTTAAATTCACATCCTCCTTTTCCTTGTTATCCTCCTTGTTGTAGCACACAGAGTTTGGATAAGATTTCCTATTTACACTTAATTTCGATCAGTCTGGTCTGTTCAACAATGCCACCTCTTTAGCTAACTACCTAAATTTTGAAGTTGTAATTAAATCCAAGGAAGTAGTATCTAGACACTACAGGACCCAATTAACCAAATGTAGCTGCACACTGCATTAAAACCACTACTTGGCATTTCTATAGCATTTTTTATAGAATGATTTCAGTGTGCTTTACTAATATTAAAGAACCCCTGCTCCACTTGGCTTAGACCCAAAATAACTAGATACAGGGATCACTCTACTCAACAGTGTAACGCAGCTATCACTAGGGTGGAACATGCTAGTTGTTCAATAGCAACACTACCTAAGACTTCAGGACTAAAAGCAAAGGGCATTGTGCTTAATTGAAGCTTCTGGGAAATTTGGAGTGCCTCAATGTAATTACCTGAGGTGAAATGCAACCAGAACACAAAAGCGAAAGGGCTTGTCAAGCAGTTTAGACTCCAACCGTAGCTTTCTGTAAAAGAAAGATTTCACAAACTTTAATATTCATAGATATGTTATACAAAATGGCAGTAAAAGCAGATTTAAATCCACATCTCCTCCTTTCCCTGGTCCGAGTTAAAGCAAAACCACCCAGCCCCAAGCTAGCTCCCTTTTCCCCATGCTTAGTGAAGCACAGGTGAGGAATCTGAAGTTTAAACTCACCCCTCATTTAGTGTTCTCTGGGGTCACCGACTCCAGGAGGGACTAAAAGAAAGCACCGCTTTCACCCCCAGCCAAGACACCAAGTGCAGCTGCAATTTAGCCCCGAGCATGGCTGGGGATACAGGATCAGCCTGGGGGATGGAGTCCGCAGTGCCATGGCCGGGCCCGCGGGGACACCACCCTGTGCTGCAGAACCAGGCTGGCCCCAGCTCGCTCCTGCACCTTTATGGGGCAGAATATCGGCCTCGAAACTACTCTGCGCCCCTTCCCGCAGCCCGGCTTCCACACTAGAAACAGCAGGTCCCGAGCGCATCACCAGCGGCCTCCAGGGCGAGCCCCCCCGCTCCCACCCCGCCCCGGGGGGGGCCCACCGGAGCCTCACCCCCACCCCGCCCGGGGGGCCGCCGGAGCCCAGCCCCCGCCCGGGGTCCAGGCCTGGACGGGGGCCGCCCAGAGCAAGGCGCGAAGGACACGCCTGAGGCAGCGCCGCCAGGCTCGGTTTGACCCGAGGGTGAGGGTGAGGCCGGGCCCGGGACGACGTCACTACGGACCCCCAGCGGCCGCCCGGCCCCGCTGAGGTAACAGCCGCGACTCACCCGCGCCTGCCGCCGGCGGCCGCCCGCCATCTTGGCTCAAAGGCTGCTGGGAAACGTCGCGCCCCCCCCCAGCCCCGCTCCGCTCTCGATGCGCACGCGCCGTTGCTCTCTCGGCCTGAGGCGGCGCCCGATTGGCTCCTCGGCTGCGGAGCGAGGGGCGGGGCCGGAGGGACCTTTTGTTGGCGAGGCGGCGGGCGCGAGCTGCCGGGCGGGGCCATGTCGTACATCCCGGGGCAGCCGGTCACCGCCGTGGTGGTGAGTGGGGCAGGGGCCACCCCGGGCGGGGCCGAGCGCTGGGGAGGGGGCGGCCCCGGGCGGGACCGTGTCCCCGTAGCGCCCCGCCCGGCAGGACCTCGCCCGGAGCAGCCCCCTCAGCTCTGGCGGCGGGTCGCGAGCCGCTCGGGGCGGCGCACGGGGCAGTCCGCGCTTCCAGCCGGCCCGTGCGGAGCGCGGGAGACGCCCCGGGGCAGCGCTGCCCGCCCCGCCCCGTGCAAACACTCGGCCGGGCCGGGCCGGGCTGGGCGAACCTGCCCGGCTCCCCGCCGGCTGCGGGGCCGAGCTCCCTACCCCGGGCGGGGCGCGCTGCCGCTCCGGTCACCGGGCGCAAAGGGGCGCGCGCGGGCTGGGTTCCTGCCCCCCACCCCCCCGGGGGGAGAAGGGGAAAAGTCTCCTTCGGGCTGCTCGGCTGCCAGCAAAACCCACCACGGCGGCGGCGTTTGACAGCAGCGCAGCGCGTGTGGGAGCGGGCGCTGGGCTCGGGTGGCGCGGGAGCCGGGGTGGAGGCGCTTGCTCTGGCCGCGCCCCGCTTCGGGGGAGTCGGAGGGAGGTTCCGGGAAGCGCTCGGGCCGAGGCTCGCGCGGTGAAAGCGCCGCCTGGCGGTGGAAGGGGCCGAGCGCTGGGAGAGCTGAGTCCCAGTCTGCCGCTGGCCAGCTGGGCGACCTGGGGCCGGGCCCCTCCCGGCTCTGTGCCTCTGTTTCCCCCGTCTCTACAACGAGGCTGGTCGCGACCTCCTTTATAGAGCACTCCATAAGAGCTACCTAGTCTGTACGAAGTGAGCTGTCTCTCACCAAAGCTCATGCTCCAATAAATTGGTTCGTCTCTAAGGTGCCACAAGTCCTCCTTTTCTTTTTGCGGATAGAGACTCACACGGCTGCTACTCTGAAACCTGGGCAGTCGAAACGTGGAGCGAGCTAGTGTACTGGAGGCAACTCGAAGAGACCTCTCCAGTTCACTGGCTATTCTGAAGCATGTAACAACTCTTTCCCCCATCCTTGATGCACCTGCATGTGTGCATGTATACACGTACAGCTAAGTAACAAGGTGGTAAAACGGTATTTGAAAAATGTGCTCTGAAGCAAAAGAACCGTAGCATGTTTGTAGATTTGGGGTAGGGGGAATGGAAAAGTCAAACTAATTCATTTTGGTGGTGTGAAAGGATTGGGTGACTTAGCTTCCCTTATTGTATTTTTTTAATTAAGGATTTTACTACAGATCTACTTTAGGTTATACCATTTTTCTTACCACTTTCATCCAAAGATTGAAGTATCATTGTCCCCTCTGTACATCCAGGAAAACTGAAGCACAGATGTGATCTGACTTGCCCAAGATCATATAGTGAGTCAGTGGTAGAGCAGGGAACAAAAGCTAGCTGTCCTGTCTCCCAGGTCCACTGGATTATGCTGTCTCCGCTATTTGCTTATGGTTACGTTTCTGATGCGCACAAGACTGCAGCGATGCATGTCACTTTGCGGTAGCTGTAGTGGAGGGGATGAAAAAATAACCTTTTTTGCACAAAGTCTCTGACAGTCCGATGAGAACAAAGAACTTAGAGGCTGTGTGAGCTGGTGTGAGTTCTGCCACTAATGCAAGCCAGTGCAGGTTGGATGGGGGCTGATTTGACTCCAGAATCAACCCTTCTCCGTAGAAAATAAGCCCAGTAAAACGTACCATAAGTGTAGAGGTGAAAATTTGCCACATATCGGTGTGGTGCACACCGTGGCATGCACTAGCTGTCCAACCAAGTGACTGTCAAACAAGTCAGATTTCTGACATCTCCCTGCAATGCCAGGCAGCCTAACCGAGCGCAAACTGGGATCATGGTACGTGCTGTGATTTAAGAGGCATAGCATAGTCAACTTGCCACTTATCAGAGGACTTCACCTCAGATGTCAGACCTCTCTAACAGTATTTTTCTTCAAAAACCATTGTGATCTTGATGGAAAGTGTTCACTCTTTAGCTTGGCAGATGGTGCCTTCTGTTAAGGTGCCTTCTGGGATAGAAGATGATGGTGCACAGATTACAATGGGTTACTTTTCCTGTGGGTAAACACCCTGCACACCATGTTGCTCAAGGAGCATAGGTTTTCTTGAACTGGAATCTCAGTATCACCAGTTAACAAAACAAAACCAAGAATGTCCTTGTTCAGCTAAAGTTGTGGTGCCTTAGCGCCACTCCCCCCCCACGCACGCTTGATAAAAATGCCATGTGACTGCACGCTGTTGCTGTTAGCCTTGTTCTCAACAACTTGCCTCCAAGCCAATTCCAGTGTTGAAGACAACATAAAAAGATACCAAATCTGCTGCCATCCACTTGTTTGGCTGCCAGCCTGGAGTCTGTTCCTTGTCTGTCTCTTATTATGGTATGCTGCAATTTTTAGTTTGTCTGTGGAAGTTGTCAGTATTTCCAATGAGCTCATATGGAGTCTCACTCCAATTAAAATGATTATTTGTTTACTTGGCTGAGTTAGACACCTCCCTCTTCTATTCCAAATGGGCTCACTTGACCCAGGGAAGCATTCTGATGAATGGAAAAAGACAGCCGTGCAAACTTGAGGGAAGAAAAACTTCAAAAATCGTACATGTAGCCTTTAGAGTAGCAGCTGTGTTAGTCTGTATTCGCAAAAAGAAAAGTACTTGTGGCACCTTAGAGACTAATAAATTTATTTGAGCATAAGCTTTAAGAGCTACAGCTGAATACACTGTATGCATCCGATGAAGTGAGCTGTAGCTCACGAAAGCTTATGCTCAAATAAATTTGGTAGTCTCTAAGGTGCCACAAGTACTCCTTTTCTTTTTACATGTAGCCTGTAATTTTGCCCTCAACCCATGCTTTCTTTCCAGAAGTTGCTGTCAGAAGGGAAAGCTAGTTACCATACCCAAAATTACCTAGAGGAGATAGGTTGTTTACATTTTGGAGTATTTCACAAGGAAGAACCTTCCCCTGAGCAGGGAAAAACAGTTTCTAATCTCTCAATGCAAAGTGTCACTCTGGTAGCATGACAAGACTTACTGACTGTTCTGTGTCCTCCACTAGACAGTGCTGCATGGTGCTCTTTAAAAGTTGAGTGGCATCTGCTTTAGCTATTCTAGTCTTGTGAAGTAGATTAAAAAAATTTAATTTTGTACTTCACTAGCTAAAACCCTTGTGAAAATGAGATGCCAAGCAAGCTTTTGAGAATTAAATCCTTGTTTCTGGTTTTATCTGTAATCTGTGGGTTTGCAATGCTATAGTTAAGAGTTCTGTTACTATAGAGGCAGTAAAAAACATAGAACTGTAGTTGGTCATACTTGAGTTCATTAAATTAAAATGTTCTAAGATAGTAATGTGAACTACTTTCCTTGCTGAAACAAAGATTGCAAAGCAACTCACTTTGAATTACTAATCACACTTAAACCAGGCTTCCTGGTGATGTGTATGATAAATCTCTTAATTTTGGTGGAAGTAGGTCATGCAGCAAAGGCTGCACAAATCATTTGTTTGGCAGAGCAGTTTGTAGCCTGGGGGGATCTGGGCCTAATTCAAGAGGAAAGACTAAACAACTTCTTTTGCAGAGAGGCCCCGGCTGGACAGGGTTCTGGATGAGATCATGACTCCCCTTCATATCTCTGTCACTAAGGAGCGCCTCTGCTGTTACTCATACGATTTAAAATCTCTTGGTGTCTGAACTTTCTCATCAAGACTTTTTTAGTACTCTTAATGCCGGGGCGACTTTACAGCTGGTCTTGTGAACCCTTTGGTAGTTGGACTCTCTTCAGCCGAGTTAGTGGCCTACATTCAGAGTACTTTAAGTTTCTGAACTTGTTGCAGACAACAGAAGTCTCTGCCCCATTATCTATTGTGGGTGAGTGACAATAGTAGGATACATACTCCCATTGGCAGAGCGCAAAGGAGGAACTCGCAGTTTTTCCATGGACAAAACAGAACAAGATGTGTGGGTTTGAGAGACTGCTCGTTATTGACACTTGCATTTTACTGGCTTGAAGGAAGCTGATCTCCAATATAAGTCTACTGCTATTGGAGCCATCCCTCCTTCCATTTCAATTGTGGTAACGGAGATAGAAGCTAAACTCCTTTAGATGCTGAAGTGCCAAGTCCTTTAGGGATATGTTTGGAGATGCTTATTTCTGTTGTGGCTTACTAGCAAGGACAACAGAGTGCTCCTCAGTTACTGCTGAAGGGCAGAAATGGTTCATCTTAATGATAACTTTTAAACAGGATCAATTAAAACAAACAGCTGTTGCCCAAGTTAAGTTTGCTTGTCTCTTTGGGATAGATAGCAAATGCTCCCATCCACCAATGGGTTTTAGATCCAGAGATCCCTGCTCATTGTCTAAGCAAATATAAAAAACATGCTTGTGATATGGCCTTCGTTTGTAAACTATCTTATGTGCTCCCTTTGTCTGGAAGTTACACAGTAGCTCACCAAACAAAATCTGTTGTCCTATGTTCAGAGATAGTTACATGTAATAAAGCTAAACTTAATCTACTCTGGCTGGAGTAGAAGAAGGGATGTGAATCCTGCACTTTTTCCCCTCCCATCTCTTTCAGCAAAGAGTTGAAATCCATAAACTCCGTCAAGGTGAAAATCTGATTCTTGGATTCAGTATTGGAGGTGGAATTGATCAGGACCCTGCTCAGAATCCTTTCTCTGAAGATAAAACTGACAAGGTCAGATTCTCTTTGAACTTAAATAATTAAGACCCCCAGTAAGAGGCTGAGTGCCCTCAACTCACCTTGAATTCAGTGAGTGGCACACACTTTTTGTAAGCCTATGCCTGGTCCTCCCTCAGTCTGATTGGTCCATGTTATACTCCTTTCCCACTTAGTCAATGTAGCCAACTTGCACTGCTGCTGCATTTGGGCTCTTGTGTGACTCATCTGTTTTCTAATATCAGATTTGTTTTTTAATGGAATCCATTTTTAAGGTGCTGCTAAGTAAAGGTTATTGCCTTGTGTGCATTTGTAACCATTCCAACTGGAATAACTAAAACATGACTCTTACAGGGCATCTATGTAACAAGGGTGACAGAAGGAGGCCCAGCAGAAGTTGCCGGACTCCAGGTTGGAGACAAGATAATGCAGGTAAATTCAAAGGTAGGAAGAGGAACATACTGGAATGCCTAGATGCAGAACAATCCCAGCCCAGAAGATCCCTAGGGAGCACTGCTTTCCAGGCTATTTCAGAGGTAGGGTGATGGTGAATCTCATCCACTCGCTCTGTTCTTGACTGTTTCACCTGCTCATTGTTCCACTGTTGTATGTGCTACCCAAGGAAGTTTATAAAAGGTCACTGCCTTCCCATATGGATTGTCTTGGGAATCTGTCTGGAAAAGCTTCCCTATCTCCAGACAAGAGGCTTCTGGCTGTAACTGCCAACATGAATGCCCCCTGCAGAAGAGTGACTTATAGGTAGTTAGCTATAAGTCACAACTGAGCACGTGGTCTTGAATGGTCATGAACCTCAAAGCTCTGAAAGTGGTGCCTGGCAACCATTCTGCAATACCAGAACTCGAGGCAGATCATGAAGAAGCAGACGGACACATGTTCTTTCCCCCAAACATGCCTTTGTGGGGCTGGGCTTTTAATAGTGATCCATCCAAGGTACTAAGGGTAACCCAGCAGGTAGAAGAATGTCATTGCTACCACATTAGGCACATACCTGGTGGTCATCCCCAGAGGGGATGTAGATGCAACCCTCATGGTGAGGGTTTTTTGTATCACATGTCTAAATGTTGTGGAGTATCCAATTTGAAAAATTGATAAAATCCAAAAAGGGCCTTTACTTGTAGAATCATAGTCTACTTTTAACAAAATTGGCAGAAAGCTTCTAAATACAACTGATAATGCAAGTGTGTACTCCAAATAGTCCTGTATGGAAAGTTTTTGGGAAATATTTAAATCCCTTTGTGTATAGTTGATGCAATCTGCTCTGGCTGGAGTAGGAGGAGGAATGTGAATCCTGCCCAAAAAAACCACCCCCCACCCCCATACTTTTTTGCCTTCAGTTAAAGCAGAAGTCTATAGTCACATGACAGTATGAGCTTGTTTGTACCATGTAATACCTCACAATACAGTGTAGAATGGACTCATTTGAGAAGAGTTTTTGTCTGCTATGTTTATGAAGTTATGTAGATAAGACCCCTACCCCTTAATTATAAAGCATATATAATTTGATACCTGCTCAGCTGGAGACATTAAGCTAAACAAGTACATACAACTATAATTATCGTCTTACTGTCACTGAGTACAATGACAATACATGTATACTATTTATATAACCGTAAGGACTCAGTAGCCAGGCTATAGAATGTCTTGTATGACTATCTTGTGAATAACAAACTAGCACTCTAATGTAACCCCTGTATACAACTGTGAGCTACTGGATATCTAATGCAATGCTCCTTTGGGCCGTATTAACTCAAAAAATAATCACAGAAATTTGCAGACTGTTGAAACATTTCCACTGCCCCTCGGAATCTGTCTCTGATGTGCTCAGTCGCTGCACTTGTTACTGTCACAGCTGCATGCATCAAGCACACCAAATCTTCCCTGCAGCATTTGCATCTCCTTGTTGCACAGGTACTCCCACCTACACTGCACAAAGGTGAGGCTGGCTGCTGGAGCAGGCAGCTGGACCATTGTGTTAGGAACTACCTATCACCCATCCGGTGCTGACAGGGGATACTTGAGGATACTGAACTGCAGCATGATTCTGTATGTCTGACTGATCAGTGGCATGTTTCAGGTGCTGCCTGAAGAGGCTACACTTGGCAGTTTCTCATTTGTTTTGTTCTTGGCAAACAACTCAGCCACATGATCCAGAGATGGTTACTTCTTTCCCAATACAATAGTGAGATCTGTTGACTAAAAAACAGCAGTTGGCTTGGAATGCAGTTACCTACCTTCAAATCTTGCTAGTGATACTGAGCAAGGACTATTGACTCAGCTAATGCTTGGTTCTTCATTACCTCTCTGGTTAGGTCAGGATTGTCCATGCTGTGAATTCAAAGTAAGGGTCCTAATTTATAAAGCCATTAACAGGCAGAGATATAGCTACTTCCTAGACCAGGGTACTCAAATATTTTTTGTCAAGGTCTAGACTCCAGAGAAAATAAGTAAATAAAAAGACTTAAGGTCTATTAAAAAAAGTGTCTGGTGGTCTGGATTTGGCTGGCAGTCTGCCTATGGACTACCCCTGGCCTAGACTATCAGATAATCTTTGATGGGTGACGAGGTGTCAGCATTTCAGCTCTTTGCCCTCAAACTGCTCATGCTCTAGGTAACTGGAGCAGGTTTACACATGCCCTGTCTGTCTCCCTGGTGGGACTCAGTCTGTAGGCCTGCTTAGGGACTGCCTAAGGCCACACATGGCAGTCTGGGAGGAGCTGGCCTCCCTTTATCTCCATGGTCAGGGTACTCACCTGGGATAGGGGCAAGCCTGGGTCAGTTTCCTCCTCCTGCCTTATGAGATGGGATTTGAACAGTGAGCTGCCATTGCTCGAGTGCTCTGAGAGGCAAGGTAGCTTTCCCTCATGACTGTTAATCCAGTGGTTACATAAGAATGGTCATATGAGGCAGATAAAAGGTCCATCTAGCCCAGTCGCCTGTCTTCTGACAGTAGCCAATGACAGGTGCCCTAGAGGGAATGAACAGGTAATCAAGTGATCCATCCTGTTGCCCATTCCCAGCTTTTGGCAAACAAAGGTAGGGATACCATCTCTGCCCATCCTGGCTAATAACCATTGATGGACCTATCCTCTGTGCACTTATCTAGTTCTTTTTTGAACCCTGTTATAGTCTTGGCCTTCACAATATCCTCTGGCAAAGAGTTCCACAGGTTAACTATGTTGTGTGAAGAAATACTTCCTTTTTGTTTTTAAACCTGTTGCCTATTAATTTCATTTAGTGACCCCTAGTTCTTGTTTGAGAAGGAGTAAATAACACTTTACCTTCTTCACACCAATCATGGTTTTATAGACTCTTTTCCAAGCTCAAAAGGCCCAGTCTTAATCTCTCCTCATATGTTCCATACCCCTAATAATTTCTGATGCCCTTTTCTCAATTCCAGTATATTTTTTGAGAAGGGAAGACTATATCTGCATGCAGTATTCTAGATGTTGGTGTACTGTGAATTTATATAAAGGCAATATATTTTCCATCTTATCTATCCCTTAATGATTCCCAACATTGTTCGCTTTTTTGACTGCTGCTGCACATTGAGTGGATATTTTCAAAGAATTATCCATAATGACTCCAAGATCTGTCTTGAGTGGTAACAGCTAATTTAGACCCCATTTTATATATAGTTGGGATTGTTTTCCAGTGAGCATTACTTTGCAGTTATCAACATTGAATTTTGGTGTGTGCATCTTTGTGAGAGCTCCTTTTAGTCATGCATGTTGTTGCATGTGTGGTGTCTACAAAAAAAAAGTGAGATCCCTTTATTAGCAGACTGCTTTGGACTTAACTATCTTGAGTAGTTTTGTATCATGTGCAAATTTTGCCACCTCACTCTTTTGCCACCCCTTTTATGAATGCTGAACAGGACTGGTCCCTGTACTGACCTTAGGAGACACCACTATTTACCTCTCCATTCTGAAAACTGACCATTTATTCCTACCCTTTGTTTCTTGTCTTTTAACCAGTTACTGATCCATGAAAGGACCTTCCCTCTTCTCCAATGACTGCTTACTTTGCTTAAGAGACTTTGGTGAGGGATCTTGTGAAATTTAAGTACACTATACTTGTCCACATGCTTGTTGACCCCCTCAAAGAATGCCTGTAGGTTGGTCAGGCATGATTTCCCTTTACAAAAGCTGTGTTGACTCAGACCCAACAAACAATGTTCATTGATGTCTGATAATTCTGTGTTTTACTATATGTCAACCAGTTTGCCCAGTACTGAAGTTATGCTTGCCATGCTCCTCTCTGGAGCCTTTTTTTAAAATGGGTGTTACATTAGCTCTTCTCCAATAGTTATGTAGTAGACTCTGGGTCAGTTCCCCCTTGTGCCTCATGAGAAGGGATTTGTGCAGGCAACTGCTATCTCCCCAGTGAGTGCCCTAATTGCTGCACTAAGGGACAGTCTGATGTCAGTTGCTTGTATTCTCCTGTTGAAGCTCTTCCACTTTAATTAAATAATAATTGGGTCAGACACCATAAGAATCACTTAACCCACCCACTGGAGTATAAACTCACCCAGGGTGTGGGAAGAGTCTGGTTAAAGTCTCACTTTGTCTCCTGAGAGGGGATTTGAACAGCCATCTCCCTGCCATGCAAGTAACTGCCCTAACAGGTAGGCTATGAGGTATCCTGCTGTGAGGGTTGCTCAGTTAGAGGTTAATTAGGCCAAAGCAAAGATGGGCTGTAAGGCACCCTTGGTAGTGTAGTGGTTATGCTGCCACACTGTGCTGGTGGAGAGCAGGGCTCAAGTCCTGAGCCAGGAATGAGCCTCATGGAGTTCAAGTCCTTTTTCTTGAAGCTGTTCCACTTTAAATATTAATTGGGCCAAAGCAAGATATAGCAGCAAAGAGCCCTCTGTGGTGCAGGTGTAGGGTAGGTGCCTAGAATGCGGGAGACACTGGTTCCCTTCTCCAGGACAAGGGGATTCAAACCGGGAGCTCTCCCTCACTGAGATGTGCCCTGGAAGGCTGGGAATCCCCCTACAGATCCCTTCTTCAAATCCTGGTTCTGCCTGTTGAACCAGAATCCCCCACCTCCTAGGCAATATCCAACCACTGGACTAGGGAGTGATTCTAACTCCTGGCCTGGCCCAAACACTACTTAAGTAAAGGGTCAACAGCTCCAACAGGCAAGTATGAGGCCACCCCCACCCAGTAGAGCCTACACTCCAGTGAGCAGGCAGAGGGTCAATTGAATCAGACTCTCCTACAGCCTGGGGGAAGAACTCAAACCACTGGGTTATACAGCAGTCCTGATGCTAGCTGTGGCGCATTTACTATGTAATTTTTTTTAAAGTGTACCAGCTTCAGCAAGAGCAGAAGAGAAATCCACACCAGACCCTCCCTTAGTTCTGCAATGAGGGAACTCACCTGAGAGCCAGCAGAAATGTCTGAACAGATTTTCCCTTGGGTAATGAAGTGTCCTTGAGATGGTGAAGTGATTGGGTGCTGTTCATTAAGTCTGTGCTTCCACTCGGTTTTCTCTCTGCCTTCTCCACATTTCAAGTCCTTCAGTGCATGTTCAAACTTTCTCTAAGCTAAGTCTCTTCTCATATACTTCCTCATTCCAGGCGACACCAGGACTCCTGCAGGTATGTTTGTCGTACTAGCAGTTCTTAAATTGTCCGGTACTTCTCCAAAGCAAACCTTTGAACCTTAAAGTTCACCCTATCTTGACTTAACCCACTAGTGCCAAGACACTGACAGACAGGCCCCAGCTTGCTAGTCACCTTCACAAGGCTAGCTCCACTGACAATATTGTTTCCTGATAAACCTTCTCTTGTAGGTGAACGGGTGGGACATGACAATGGTAACTCATGACCAAGCGAGGAAGAGACTGACAAAGAGGAATGAAGAAGTGGTACGGCTCCTGGTGACCAGACACTCCCTGCAGAAGGCTGTTCAGCAGTCCATGATGTCCTAATTATGCAATGGGCTTGGGGGAGGGGGGCAGAGGGAGGGATGGATCTATAGAGTGACACTCCTTTTTTCTAAGGAAGCAAATACTAGACCTGAGTTGTTTGCAAACACTAGTGCTGCCCAACAAGGTAAATATGCACCATTTTTACTCTAAACTGAGAATAGTAAATTCTAGCCATTTCAGAAGCAAGTTTCTCTTTCAGAAAGGCTTCCAGTAGCATATGCTGCATAAAACAGCACCTTACCCTACTGTGTATGCAAAGCTGTAACACTACAGCGGCAGGGGAAGTTAGCAGTTAACATGCAAAACACTAAATACTTCTCTTAGGGAAGAAACTGTGGAAAATGCAGTTAACTTAGTGGGAGATGATTCTCCTATAGTGCAAGAGTTCCCCATTGCTTAGCATTTAAAGCTCTGTTAGCTGCTTCTGCAAAGGAGTGAATGATTAACAGTGGGGAGAGGAGGTAATGTTTTTACTGTAAGTTTTCAAAATCTAATGTTAAGGGTTAGATTGTTCCTTGCTAGTTCAGGCTCAGGTTTTTGAGATGCTACATTTAAGTAAAAGTTTGTAGAAAGTCCAATAAGGACATCTCTACACTACTCTTAGCATCAAGTGCTACCAGAAGTTAAGCAGAATATCTTGCAGTGCTTGAGGGATAGTCTGTCCTGAAGAGTTCACTGCAAGATTTTAGTCTGCTTCACCAAGCAGCTCATCATAAAAGGGACACAAGTTTGAACTAGCAGTTGGTGCAGAAACAGATTATAATGGAAGCTGTGTGGGATTCAGTAACAAATTCCAAGACTTTATAAAGCAATCATAATTTTGTCTTCTATAGAGGTACTTTGCAACTGTAAAGTACTTGGGAAATTAGCTTTAACATGCCATAATTATTGCAACTCTAGGGCTTATGTTTTTTTTAACAAAAATAATAATTGGGAAAGAGATGGAAACTTTTGTCATTGCTGACCATACAGGAGACATTTACAAAGTTCCACTTCCTCATTCCACATTTAGCAGAGAGAATCTTCGAATAGAAGGGGCAGCTGGTCTGTTTTGTAGTGGGAGACTTATTTAAATCTTGTATTAAGTAGAAATGTGCAAACAAGCTTGCAAACATCTATTGTACCAAAATTCCTATCCTTGCACCTGTGGTAGGCAAATATACACTACAGAAATCCTTCACAAAGGCCAAACTATGGAGTTGTAGGAGCTTTTGCAGAAGAGATTCCTACAAATCCTTAAAGGGTTTTATACTCTTCAGTGAAACTCATTTACACTTTAAGGCATTATACAGGCTAGCTTTAATTACAGTTATTCAAAAAAATTGCTTCATTGTCCAGAACTAGTTTTAATGACACTGTATATGACCTCTTTACTTCAGCTGTCTTCAGAGCAGTTAAAAATTTTTTTAACTAGAACACTGAAGAGGTTGTAGACTAACTTATTACTGCAGTGCTATTTAGGTTCTGACTTGAATGAATTTTATAAACTTGATAAATGCATCTCAAAGAATGTTCCACTCTATCTCGACATACCAGCAGATGCCTCTTTTTATACTTTACCTTATTCAGTAATACTAAAAAATCCAAAAGGAATTTTGGACATTTAAATTACAAATCCTGTGGTAGTAAATAGCTTTACAGATAGGCCTTATTTTTGTTTACTGTAGAAAAAAGTACACTGCTATTTGTACTGTGGTCTTGATTTTACACAATAAAATGAATTTAAGAAACTGTCTCTAATAAGAGGACAACTTATGTATTTACACCCTTTTTGTGCAAGCTTCCTACCCCTCCAATTCTTCTGATTTAGAACAGGTTGAGTGCTGCTTGACAACATTTAGACAGCCACATTCTGCTGAAGTAAAGATATGCTAAACAGCTAACAGTAAAGTGACAGTCAGCAAATTCTTCACCCATTTACAACTTGGAGCATCTCTTGGGGAGAAGTACATTCCCTTCTGAAATTTTACCATCTTAAACTTTTCAGTGAAGAACAAGTTAATTTTCCCTCTGGCAGGAGGGTCACAGGATTAAGTAATCAGACCTTGAACACTACTGATTCTAAATCGTGTGTTTAAGAGTCCCTTTTAGTATAAGCTATTCCTTACTCCTAACATAGCATAGTGCCAAGTTGTACAGTTTAAAGTGCAAGAATGTTCAGCCCTGTTTAGAGATTAAATATCTTACATCCTTTGCACGCATACTACAGAGAAAGCAATTCAGAGCACCGGAGTAAGTTTTATTCCCAATTCACCACCTTCCTACATTACCTTGTGTTAAGGTCTTGTTATTTACTTAAAGACCTTATTTACCCCAAGCCACCTACATAAAATGGATGTCTACCTTGCAGAGGGAATCTTGAGGCTTTGAAATCTTTACCTGGAAGGTGCCATAAGTGCTTATCAGCTACTGCCTAGATTACTCAGGAAAAGGGAGGAAACAAAGATTAATACAAATTTTAATCATTAGGCTATTGAACAAGATCAGACTTAACATAAAATTGTTCCCTTGCATTAACAGCACAGACTAGGCACTTCAATGGAACCAAATGTGAACAACTCTACAACTTAGTGCAGTAAATATTCAGAAGTTTGGCACTAGATTTAGCACTTTTACTGAAAGTGCTTGGTGGTATATGGTAGCAGAGATCACAAAAGTTTTTTTTATTTAATGTTTAGGTACAGCTTTTGACACAGTCATATGAACGTGCTGTGAGATTAAATCTGATGAAGACTGGTCTGGTCTTCATGCTTCTTGGTTAGTGCCTTCATTAACCCATTGTACCTACTTGTAACAGTATCTGTGGTTACCAAGCAGTCTTTTCCTGAGCCGCCGCCTTCCACTTACAACTTGGTTTGGGAGAAGATGAAGTCAGCAGCAGTAGAGTTAGATTTTTACTGTCCAGTCCGCAAAAAAAACCAAACTGTTTCTTGGTCACTACTTTATAAAGGTACCTGGTTCGGTTTTTCACCCTCCAGTTGCGTTCAGCTGAAGGAAGCCCAGCTCTTTCCTTGCCCCACACAAAATGCCGTATTGGTCAAAGATAGCCACTATTACTAGGCCAGCTCAAGACAGGCTGGCTTGGAATTAGCTTCCAGGGTTGCAAATCTTTTCCAGCTGTAAAGGGTAGGGTAATGGAGTATCCATTAAGGCATTTGCCATTAAGCAAAAAATAAGTTCACGACAGTCCTATACGGTAGAGGAATTATAAACAACAGCATGACTCTCGCACTACTCACGTGGATACCTGGTGAGTAGTCTGGAAATCCATCAGCCAGTATAGAGGTAAAACCAATAAATCCGTACTGTTGTCTATTCAGGGTGGGGTCTTAGTTCAAAGACTCATAGCCTGATGTTCTATATAGACAGTAATGCTGGATGATAAAGACTACATCAAAGGTGATGGAGAAGAGGCCCAGTCCAAACTTAGTTGGATCTCCAAAGATTAATATCCATTCATCTGTCAAAAATTAAGGTAGTCTGAAAATCTGCATTGTCACCCACATTAACTGATTTAATCGTCTTAAACTGGTCTTGGCTATCCTTAAAAGTCAAGGGATAATGGCTATCCCATAGTTATGGGTCTATGAGATAAATTGTTCAAGTTTGTCATTACCGTAGGTTGTTACTAAAATGGTTTATTTTTAACAGCACAGGTGTTATTCATCAACTTTAGTTTGATTTCATGACATTGTACGGTTAATGCAATAAGGTATTCTGTGCTGTTGTATAGTTACACAGAACTGTGTAAATAGCTTACATTAGAAGACAGCCAAACACTTATTCTTTACCACATTTTTATAGCACTGATGGCTGCATGTATTGCCATGCAGGACACCTAGGTTTGGGAATGACCTTAAGTGGGTCTGGACTGGAAGAAAGTGCTTTGTGGCAGGTTTTTCTTTAATTGAAAATGTAGGCCCTAAAAGACACTTCAATTTCATGCTTACCGTTGTTGTAAGACTGCAAAAACATCTGAAGGAGGCTGAAACTTCCACCAGTAAAATCTAGTAACACATTTCCAATGCTCCACCCTTCAGTACTCTTCCGCCGAAAATTCATGTATGCCTACAAGGGAGTCAAAGTGAATTTAAATATGCTGCAGCCTTTGATCTTTACCTATAAAATGCAAATATTTTTGCAGATCGAGCAGTCAAAACAAGCCAAAACTTTTTATTCTACCCCAGCAATAGAGAATTCTCCACTTATTTTGACCTCAGATAAGCAGATTGAGCTTTCAATGCTTCAGTTAACCCCAGCTGTAAGAGAAAGCCTTGCTGCTTTAACAAACTACAGTTTTCAGACATTGCAAGTTACTTGCATGCTTAATGAGCACAAGAGCCATCAATCAAGTGATTGGTTTTCTCACAATTCTAACATAGCATAGTCAGCATTCTAGAATCATATGCACTACATATTAAAGAACCTACAGTGCTCTTCCAGGTAGCCTCCTATATTAGGATGTGGCCTCTTGCTATCTGCCTGAGTTAGGAGACATTAGTGCCAATTTTTACCTGTGGAAAATATTTTATCAGTGAGATTCCCAGTTTAATGTAAGAAAAGAAAAATAAGAACTGTAGCCATGTGATTTCTCCAGCTGCAGCCACGGACAGTGTGGTAAATGTGAAGATCCATGCAATCACAAGTAGCCCAATAGCAACTCTGGACACTCTTTGACTAGCTCGCTGAAAAACAAGACATTTTATACATTTAGAATTCATTATACCCAGCTCCCTCCCACCCCAGTTACCATAGGATGCACAATGCTAAGCATAACATACAACCAAAGCCCATTGTGGAACTGGCTAGATTGACCCCTCCTCCTCCTCAAGGATCCCCACATTGTTTTAGTATCATAATAGCTTGCTATAGGTTTAGGATAAAACAGTGCAATTTCCAAGTCCCAATTCCCATGGGAATCTTGTTCAGAATGTTAGCAGCCAGGAGGAAGGGGTCAAAGTCTTTCTGCAATGTTTTTGTGGAACTTGTTTTATTACTCAGTTCTAAATTAAGACTATTTGCGGGGCTTTATGCTCGTAATAGCATATTTGAGATGGGCACAGAGAAGCTTCCAAAGTCACGCTTGCCACATACCCTGACCTTTCCTGAAAGCATCCCATTCTGGTAGAGGGAGCAAGGAGCGCACATACACACACCCCTCTTTCACAACTTGGTAATCCAGAAGAGGTAAGAATATTTTTTTCCACCTAGCAGGTTTACTGCCTGTAAGTGATCATCCACACACATTTTGTAATTGGGAAGGCAGTGAACTGAGCACAGAAGTGGAACCCAAGAACAACTCCCACATTCCAAACCAGATTCTGCCACTCCGCATGGCTTTGTAAGAGTAATACAAATTGTGCCCATATTTTCCGCTGTAATGGCAGTTGTATTCTCCTATCTGAGAAGGATGTTGAGAATTAATGTTTGTAGAGTGCTGTGAAAATGAAGAACCCTATAATTGCTAGGTATAATTGCCTCAAAGCTTAAACATAATCAACGGTTTTGACTTCATTTGGACTATAAGAATATCCTAGGTAAACCCACCTCATATATACAGCACTGAAATATTGTAAAGAGAGTTAAAGCTACTGCATGGAGACTGAAGAAAACATCATTGCTGTCCACAGGGTTCACTCCATTGGGATACTGGCGTAGGAACTGCTCCTGTGTATTAAAAACCCAAGCAAGTCAGCTACCGTAACTCTGTTCTACAAGTAATGAAATATTTCATTGAAAGAACAAGTGCACTTACCTTGATATAGGCAATCCAGAAAAGTCCTACATTAAATACACTGTATGCTATGAAACCAGTGAGGTTGAACGCTATGTAGTCAAAGCTTAATCCAACAACACTAAGAAAGAAAGAGAGACACCACTTTACATGTAAAGATTCATCTGCGGAGCAGTATGGTCAGTGCCATAGAGGGACAGACTTTCTGGCACTAGAAGGTTCTGATTTAAGTGTTTTTTACAATTACTGTCCCAAGCAGAAACTGCGGCCATACCACTTTATAAAAGAAGTAATTTGTTCGCAGTGAGGGTTGCCCCTCACACATACTATATATTTTGATAGCGTTTACAATAAAGTTTACTTTCAAAATTCATATTCCTATGTTAACTGCAATGAATCAGATAGCATTTTAAATTAGATCCACAACCAGAAGCATTACATCAGAAGGAGTCCATTCCTGCTGCCCACTGTTCTGTCCTCACATTCCAGGTAAGAATTTAAAAAACTTATAGACAATCGTTTGTTCACTCACTAAGAGCCTCAAGTCAGAGGCAAGATAACCTGTCATTGTTAAAGGCATGCATTCTAAATGAATTGGTTAGAAATACAGTGTCTTCTACAACCCTGGGGGAAAAAGAAATCTTGTCAACCATCCATATTAAGTCATAGTTTAGCGTTAGGTCACTGGAGAACGCACTTAAAGTTCCATTCTCCCTCCAATTCATGTGCTATTGAAAGTTCATCAGGGCTCAAATTCACATGTAGTCACTTGCACTACAGTGTGTGCGCAGTGAAGCTGTGTGCCCTCCCTCCAAGCCAGAAGGAAGGTCATGCCTGACTAATCTAATCGCCTTTTATGATGAGATTATTGGTTCTGTGGATGAAGGGAAAGCAGTGGATGTATTGTTTCTTGACTTTAGCAAAGCTTTTGACACGGTCTCCCACAGTATTCTTGTCAGCAAGTTAAGGAAGTATGGGCTGGATGAATACACTATAAGGTGGGTAGAAAGCTGGCTAGATTGTCGGGCTCAATGGGTAGTGATCAATGGCTCCATGTCTAGTTGGCAGCCGGTATCAAGTGGAGTGCCCCAAGGGTCGGTCCTGGGGCCGGTTTTGTTCAATATCTTCATAAATGATCTGGAGGATGGTGTGGATTGCACTCTCAGCAAATTTGTGGATGATACTAAACTGGGAGGAGTGGTAGATACGCTGGAGGGGAGGGATAGGATACAGAAGGACCTAGACAAATTGGAGGATTGGGCCAAAAGAAATCTGATGAGGTTCAATAAGGATAAGTGCAGGGTCCTGCACTTAGGATGGAAGAATCCAATGCACCGCTACAGACTAAGGGCCGAATGGCTAGGCAGCAGTTCTGCGGAAAAGGACCTAGGGGTGACAGTGGACGAGAAGCTGGATATGAGTCAGCAGTGTGCCCTTGTTGCCAAGAAGGCCAATGGCATTTTGGGATGTATAAGTAGGGGCATAGCGAGCAGATCGAGGGACGTGATCGTTCCCCTCTATTCGACATTGGTGAGGCCTCATCTGGAGTACTGTGTCCAGTTTTGGGCCCCACACTACAAGAAGGATGTGGATAAATTGGAGAGAGTCCAGCGAAGGGCAACAAAAATGATTAGGGGTCTGGAACACATGAGTTATGAGGAGAGGCTGAGGGAGCTGGGATTGTTTAGCCTGCAGAAGAGAAGAATGAGGGGGGATTTGATAGCTGCTTTCAACTACCTGAAAGGGGGTTCCAAAGAGGATGGCTCTAGACTGTTCTCAATGGTAGCAGATGACAGAACGAGGAGTAATGGTCTCAAGTTGCAGTGGGGGAGGTTTAGATTGGATATTAGGAAAAACTTTTTCACTAAGAGGGTGGTGAAACACTGGAATGCGTTACCTAGGGAGGTGGTAGAATCTCCTTCCTTAGAGGTTTTTAAGGTCAGGCTTGACAAAGCCCTGGCTGGGATGATTTAACTGGGAATTGGTCCTGCTTCGAGCAGGGGGTTGGACTAGATGACCTTCTGGGGTCCCTTCCAACCCTGATATTCTATGATTCTAAGGAACCACCCACTCTGCCCAGGTGGGCAGAGCCAGATCCACCTTGTCCTTCCCACCAGAAGTGGATAGATAGGACAGGAAGTATAAAAGGTGGAGCTCCAGCTCAGTTAGGTCTGAAACAGTGAGGGAGATAGATGCATCCTGCTCGTGAAGGAACCTGTGTCTACAGGGGAGCTGCCAGAACTGCTGCTGGCCACCTATCCTGGGGAGACAGAGGACACCCCTTCAATCTAGGTACACCTGGAGGGGAGGAAGTTGCCCAGGACAGCTGACTCTAGTCTGCTGTAGCACTGCCTGAAACATGGTCAGCGTGTTGCAGCTAGATTCCCCACTGACAGACCACTCCAAGATTGTTAGAATCAGATCCAGTGATCGGTGGGCCTGGGTCTCCCTACCATCCCACCCTAACGTAGGCCAGGTGGTAGGTGTTAGCCTACTGTCGTCCAGAGCTAGGACGACAGGTTAGCCCTGCCCTTGCCTGAGCCCATAGACTCTTTGGGGTTCTTCCCTGTTAGACCAGTCAGGACACTAATGCCTGGTCTGCTAATTCCCCCTGATACTAGGCAGTGATACTGATGATGTAGTGAGGCCTCCCTCTGACCCAGAAGAGGAGGGACATCACCACTGCAGTGTGTATTTTAAACACACTCCCATCTTTCCAGTAACTTATTCACATGGCAACTGAAATTGAGGTGATGGAGATTAGGGGTAAATTTTGCAAAAGCACGTGGGTGATGTGGTCTTGAAAATAGGTCTTTGGTTCTTAAGTCAATTAGGCATTTAGAAAATTACGCTAGGTGTCTAACATGCAAAAAAAACTGTACTCCCTGCCCTGGAGTAGACTGTATGTTTTACATATTTGAACAGTGCTTAGTAGAATGATGCTGCAGTCTCCAGCTGCCACAGTATACATACATACACAATATGAATAAGGCTAAGTTTTAGTCACAAGTATTTAGTAAAAGTAACGGACAGGTCACAGGACAGAAACAAAAATTCAAGGCCCATGACCTGTCCATGACTATTACTAAAGATACCGTGACTAAAACGTGGGGGCAGCGTGCGGCCCAGGTCCCTGGTTGGGGCTGGCTCCCTTCCTGGCTCTGTGCTCTCTCCTGCCCCTGCAGCAGCGTTTGTGTGTGGGAGGGGTCAGGGGCACGAGATGGGGTGAGGCGGGCTCTGGGCAGCACCCACCTGGGGGCCTCACCAGAAGCAGCGATATCTCCCTTGCTCAGCTGCTAGGCAGAGGCGTGGACAGGCAGCTCTGTGCACTGCCTCTGCCCAGGGCACCGCCTCTGCAGCTCCCACTGGCTCGCAGCGCTGCCTGGCCACGCCTTCGACTAGCAGCTGAGCGAGGGGGATGTTGCCACTTCCGGGGAGCCCCCCAAGGTAAGTGCCGTGCAGAGCCCGCCTCACCTTGTCCCATGCCCCAATCCCCTGTCCCCTTCCACACCCAAACTGCTGCTATGGGGGCGGAGGCCTGAGACTGCCCTAGCAGTGGCCAGTATGCCTGACACAGGGGCTGCCTGAGCTGCCTCTGAGCCAGGCGCACCGGCTGCTGCAGAAGTCACTGAAGTCATGGAATACGGAACGTCCGTGAAACTTGCAGCCTTAATCATGAATAACCATTCATTGGAACAGGTGAGAAATTGTGGAGTTAAGCAGAATTGTGACTAGGGGAAATTTACCCTCCTACGCATACATAATAGGCATAATCTAATTTCCATCGAGATGAGTCTGTTCAGGAGGCATACATACTAGTGAGTGCATTTTTCTTTGAACCCTATTACTCAATTTTTTTAGCTACAAAGTTGCCAGTATGTTCATGACGCTACATGGGCTCCCTCTGATGGTGAATTTAAGATCTGAAGAGTCCACTATTGTGCTCAAGGGGAGAAAGAAGGGCGGCGGGGGGGGGGGACCCAAACATTGACAGGTTACTTCTCCAGCAAAGAGAGTTGTTTTGTTTGAGTGGTCTTTTAGTATTTTTAAACCTTTCAGTGAGTTGGGTCTTGATCCTGCAATCGGAGCTACATATGTGAACTGCTGCCCATTGACTTCAATGATACTTTGCAGGGGTCCATTTGGACAAAACCAATTGCAGGGTCAGCGCCTTGGAGTTCTGACTCAGACAGTTGTGAGGAAAGTAGCCTTCTAGGAAAGGTACTTGAGCTTGCTACAAGAGACTTTATATTAATGACGTTAATGGACTCTTGTGATAATGGGGTATGGTTTTCTTCTTTAATGGGAACTAACTACATTAGAAGGATCTCTGATAATTCCCCATCCTACTCAGAAACCAGTCCACATGACCATTTGTATCACTGCTAAGAGACTCACACACATTTCACAGCTAGTCTCCTTACCTTTTTCGTCGCCAGTTTTCGAAAACCTGAGGGTAGAAGGAGATCGACCAGGCAAAGAAATAGATCCAGCCAGTCACCTGGTCTATAATCCTCAGTATGTTACTATGAATCACTTGGAATCGAATCCTGGGGCTGCAAAGGAATTTGTACTAATCAATCAGTTTTTAAACAGTCAGTATATTCTCTGCACTTTTCCACAGATCATACTTCTTCATTCTAATTTGTGGGGCAGAAAACTACTCAGTTACTCAAAATTTAGGGTTGGGTTTCAGTAGAGCAATAAAGCTTTCCCCCTTTTCACACACCCTTGTGGTCTTTCCAAGATTTCTACAAATCCTAGTGATTTGCCTACCCTCAATCCTCTATTCTGTCATTTTCCCCTCCCTTATACAGGCCTTCTGAAGCCTCTCATCTTCCTCTCTTTCTTCTATGCCTCTTAGTATGTTACTGTTGTGCAACAGCAAGGTTTTACTCTTCATGCTTGTCAAGCAAAGCCTTATTATCTAGCTTGTCTTGTGTTCCTGGATATGTTGTGATGTGGGTAACGATAGCCATGATCAAGACAGTTAAAAGCAGAAGTGAAATGAGGAAGTGACAAGACCATGCATTATCCTGCAGAGCTGTGGTATTAATGGCAACAAGCAAATGCAACTCAGCATTCCCCATCTCACCAGTTTCTGATCTCAAGGAAGAGAGAGTTCCACCTGTGAACACATGATTCCTTAAGAGACTCTTTAAGCAGGAAGGTTTGTGGATGTGCTAAGTACTTGTGGCTTGCATTGAAGTCTTGTGAAAGCTGTGGGTGTGCAGAGGAGAGTCAGGCTGTTAACATTCAAGGATATGAATCTCAGAAGCGTGTTCGCAAGATAGGCATAGCAACAAAGCAGTAGCCCATGGAGTTTAGGGCCAAATGGTATCCAGCTTGAGTAGTGTTGTCATGCATGCTTGGAGCCTTTTCTTGTGTAGTTTAGAGCATACTGCTGAACCCGACCTATGAATGCTTAGGAGGTTAGGTTTCATGGATTACAAGATACAGAAGCTACCAGTACCACTTCACGTATCTCAACATCATTTTTTTTTTGGGGGGGGGGGGGGAGGAAGAAGGAGAGATAAGAGAAGATGACTATGTTTATGTTAATCAAGGGAACTTGCAGTGTAATCAGTAGGATACTGGGAGATGGTGTAGGGGCGGGGGAAATTATTATACTACTTTGGATACCAAGGAGTTGCACATGATCTGGGTTGAATAGTAGTTTAACTCACCCAGTTTCATTGGCATTACTGGCATGAAGATAAACTGTAACTTGTCCAACATCTTTAGCTTTCACTTGAAAGCTTGAATTTAGACCTGCAGGCAATATTACCTGTCAGACAAGGAAAAAAGGTTACATCTATTCACCTCATTTTTAATGAGGTCAGACTATGACCAATTGTAAGCTTTAGTATAAGGTCTGAAGTCAGTTTTGTTACTCACTTGATCAGGTAGTTCAACAATGGTTCCATTTTTTGACGAATATGTGATATTAAATGTTATCACCAACGTCTCATTTAATGGGGCACTGTGAAGATAGACAAGTCAAAAGAAGCCTATAAATCCATGTGTTTAAAGGAGGTTTCAGGCCTTCTGGGAGAATTGATTCCATGCAGCTTAGGCAATATTGTTTTGGATGGACCACATACAATTCACACTTAATCATCACTTGTGGCACCAACATGATACTCTAGAAACAGATACTGTCCTTTACTGACAAACCAATCTGAACTGGATAGAACTTGTATGTATCCCTTTGTGCAGCCACTAGTCAATTCTAACAGGGGTTTGAAAGATGGATAAACACCTTTAAAAAAAAAAAAAAGGTCTGATATTTCCCTATTTCTCCTCCCACTTTGTAAACACCCCACCAATCCCCACCACTGCAGTCTTCTCTGAAGTCTTCCTCCCTCTCCCCACAAGTCATCTCACATTGAGAGGAACTTTCCATTCTTGGGAAAAGTCTCACTATTCGTGAGAGACTGAGAAAATGAGCACTGGACTATAGTAAATATCTACTCCACAGCTACAGTGTGTGTTTCAGCTCTGAGATGGCTACACTTCTGTGCTGGGAACAGTGACACCTGTTCAATTTATAAAACATTTAGGTGTCCTTCTAGATAAATTTGTACATGAAGCATGTTTTTGTTAGGCTCATAGTAGTTAGAGCTAGAAGAGACTGAGTCCATCTTCCGGCAAATGCAGAATTCAATACTCCAACAGAGGACATATGAATTTGAATCTTACATCTAGCCAAAACTTATTGATACAAAAATACAGACTTATCTGAGCTTGTACCCAATGGTGAATTTTCATCCCCGTGAGGGCCAGTATGAAGGCTATGTACCACAGCTCAAGTGGAATAGTGGCCTTGTACTAACTCACTGCACACAGATGAAACTCACCTGAAATCAGTGGTTTTCAACCCTCCAGTGGTGGGGGTTCACAGACTATGTCTCGGGGGTCCGTGAAAGGTAGTCATAACTGTAGAACAGTGGCTTTCAACCTCTGGTCCACAGACCCCTGGAGGTCTGCAGACTATGTCTAACATTTTCAAAGGGGCGTGCACCTAAATTAGATGGGGGAGGGGGGGGAGCCCACAAATGAGAAAAGGTTTAAAGCCACTGCCCTAAATGAACAAAGCCACCTCATCTTTCCTGCAAATCTAGTTAGTTATCTGAACAAGTTTTGTCCATTCTCTGTTCTGGTCTGATGCCTGTGGGTGTAACAAAAGCAGAGAATTAAAGGAAGAGAAACTGAAAATGATGCTCTAACCTTACCTTAGCGTCACAGTGATATTTGTCAAGCTACCCTTTTCTACTGAAACCACTTCAGGGACAGAGAGCATGATGGCTCCATCTGGAAAAAGAAAAACATTAAGCTTAGATTTCTACAAAAGGAAAAATCTCCTTCCTGAAAAGAGGAATTGTTTTCTTGTGTGGCAGAAGAAAGCAATTTGAGAGTACAAACCAGTTAGACGAGCTCCTAGGGGTGGTCAGCAGGAAGGGTTAGAGTGGCAGACAACTAGCAACAGTGTGGAAGTAAGCATTGGCACTTTTCCGAGTGACTGAATAATTCTGAGACATTAATGAGAAAAGTGCAGACTGAAAACAGTAAATGGGCCAAACAATGGTCTCCTGGAACAAAATTAATTGCATGTGTATAATGTGTTTATTATAAATACTTTAAACTCTAAGCTAATTATAAAATGCTAAGTGTTATTGTTTCTTGCTATGATCAGCAATGGATCCTAATTACCTGTAAGAATCAGAACTCTTTAAAGCTGGTCTTAAAATTGCTACATGATCCACATGAGCTGTCAAGGTTCCTTCCCTATTCTGAACTCTAGGGTACAGAAGGGGGTCTTTCATGCAGGTTCCCACAAAGCTTATTCTAACCAGCTTAGGTTAAAAACTTCAAGGTACAAACTTTGTCTTGTCCTTGAACCCTATGCTGCCACCACCAAGCATGTTAAACAAGGAACAGGGAAAGAGCCCACTTGGGGGGGGATATTTTGCAGGAAGACCTCTCAAAGCCCTACACCCTTTTTCCTGGGGAAGGCTTGATAAAAATCCTCACCAATTTGTACAGGTGAACACAGATCCAAACCTTTGAATCTTAAGAACAATGAAAAAGCAATCAGGTTCTTAAAAGAAGACTATTAAAGAAACGGTAAAAGAATCACCTCTGTAAAAATCAGGATGGTAAATACCTTACAGGGTAATCGGATTCAAAACAGAGAATCCCTGTAGGCAAAACCTTAAGTTACAAAAAGACACAAACAGGAATATACATTCCATTCAGCACAGCTATTTTACCAGCCATTAAACAAAAGAAATCTAAACACATTTCTAGCTAGATTACTTACTAACTTTTTACAGGAGTTCTGAGCTGCATTCCTGATCTGTTCCCAGCAAAAGCATAACAGACAAACCCTTTGTTCTGCCCCCGCCCCAGCTTTGAAAGTATCTTATCTCCTCATTGGTCATTTTGGTCAGGTGCCAGCAAGGTTCTTAGCTTCTTAACCCTTTACAGGTGAAAGGGTTTTGCCTCTTGCCAGGAGGGATTTAAAGGTGGTTACCCTTCCCTTTATATTCATGACACAAGCCCAGCAGAATACCAAGAAATTCAAGAACTTCAGCTCATTATCCTGCCCTTGCAGTACTCAAGCAACATCTTGCTATTGTGCTTGAAATTGTTGCCATTGAAGTGTGCACCATGCAACAATATTCATATAAGGCATATGAGAAATAAGATTATGCTTTTCTTGCTTGTCAGTCACTTTATTTAAGTGACTAGGGTGTGGTTACATTTCATACACAAGCAAGTGCCACAGTATAGCTCAGCCTCCCACAGACAGTTTTTCCACTCCCCTGCCCAAATTCCGACATATGCCTAAAGCCTGCCCAGGAATTCACCACTCATACCTGCTAATATCAGAAGCTTATAAAAGCAAAGAATAAAGACCTCTTAATTAGGGGAGAAGTGTTATTTTAAATGCAATTTTTAGAAATCTTTTGTTAAAATTCTATATATTACAAGTGACTGAATTTGGTGGTCTTATCTTGTAAATACTTCTGGCACCTATAAACCCAATAGCTAGCATAGACAGGATCACCAAATTCATCACTGACTTCAGTATAATGAGGACTAAACCTATAGAGTCTAGCCTACTGACCTACCCTAGTCACTTACATCAATAATGAAAGAAGACATGCTGCGCTGTCACTACAAAATAGTCTGAAGGTAAAATATATAAGGGAAGAAAGTTTCCCAACACCACAACAGCTGGAGCAATTCTTTATTAGAAATTGTTACACTGAGCCAATACCCTTATAAACACACCACTATTTCACACCGGTCACCTTTAACAGGAGACTATTTGGTTTTCAGCACAGATACCCTTTTCTTTTACAGCCATTTTAGCGAATAAATAACCGACTGCTGATCTGGTGCACAGCTAGATAAGCTTCCCTATTTGGAAGACACTTACCACAAAGTTTTAGCAATGAGAGCGAAAAACACAACACAGAGAGAAGTAGCCATCTTTTCACCATCATGCTATTCTTCAGACCGCTACAAAGCAAATGAAAGGAAGTTTTGTTTAGGCTCCTGCATAATTTCAGCAGCAGAACAGTCCCATCGAGCACTCTTTTTCCACTGTGCCCTGCATCCCTTCATCTCACCCATCACTTCCCCACACACCATGGCCAGCCCAGCACTGCCCCTTCACCTCCACACCTTGCCCCCACCCATCCCAGGGGCTGGGGCCACCTTGAGCCTGGCTTGCCAAGCTCCCACTCACCACCGAGCGTGGTGCCCACCCTGCATCACCATTTCTGGCCCCCCATCCACCCCAGCGGCCAGGATACCTGAGCCTAGAGCCCTCCCTTCCCCAGCCCCCCTCACCACCATGCCTTGCCCCACACCCACCCCAGGGACCCCTGAACCTAGAACCCTTCCCCCACCCACCTCCCTCACCACCCTGCCTTGCCCCACACCCACCCCAGGGACCCCTGAACCTAAAACCCTTCCCCCACCCACCTACCTCACCACCCTGCCTTGCCCCACACCCACCCCAGGGGCCCCTGAACCTAGAGCCCGCCCGCCCTTTCCCCGCCCCACACCTCCCCCCTCACATCTCCTCACCCACCCCAGCGCTCTAGGTAGGGCAGGGGGAACAGGCGGGGTGTCTCAGCGCCCCAGCCAGGGGGCGGGGGAGATGGGGGGCGGGGAGGGCTCGCACCCACGCGCCCCCTCAGTCCCACGGCCACGCGGCGCGGTGCATGCTGGGACTTGTGGTCCTCATGGGCCACCCCTCCGGAGGGGGATCCCCGCTCCGCTGTACGCCCCGAGGGCAGAACAAACCCCCTGGAGAAAGACCGACCCGCTACCGCCGGGCTGCTCTGTCCGACTAGCGCTCTGCCGGCTCCTTCCTCCCATGTGAGGCGACCGCCTATATCAGGCCTCCCGCTGGCTCCCTCTCGCGTGCCGTAGAGCCGCAATGGCCGCCCTCTGCCGCCATCTTGGGTGTGGCATCTGGTGCTGGGGGCGCTAGCGATGATCTGGGGTGTCTCGCTCTTGGTTTAATTAAAGTATTGCTTAAAACTCTTTAGATACGGGTTTTTTTGGGGGGTGGGCCCTGGGAAGCGCCAGACGTGGGTCGCGGGCGGGCGTGTTGCCACACTCAAGATGGGAGGCTCCATCCCTCCCCCTCCCCGGCTCTACTCGGGCAGCGGCTCCCTGCTGCTGTGGCTCCGAGATTCGCAGTTCAAGGGTCAGCGCAGCCCAGGGCTTAGCCCAAGCCTGCCTGGAGCTGGATTTAACCCTCAGGCGGCTGCTGCCCCAGGCCCTCCAGCCCTGGCCTGCCATGGGAGCCCGGAGCCAGCTGGACCTGTGCCCTGGTGCTGCCTGTGCGTAGGGCAGAGACCTGGGCACCCTGCCGGTGGAGAGACGAGTAACCGAGAGCCACCCCAGGGAGCAGGGCTGGAGAGTGGGAGCCAGGCTGCCGGGCTGAGTCCCTGCGCCGGTCCCTTACTGCTGCCTTGTGCTGGGTGTTTACTTGGGCAGCAGGCGGACTGAACGCATCCCCGTGGTGCAGGAAGTGGCCGCTGCCACAGGACAACACAAATGATGGCTGATAACCAGGCTATAGGGCTGAGTCCATGCGCCACGCCTGGAACTGTGTGTGTGTTGGGCATAGATCTGGGCACCACCTCAGTGAAGGCTGCCTTGGTCGTAGAGACAGCGCAAGGGCAAATTGTGACCCAGAGCTGTTCAAGGGAGACACAGGCCCAGGCTAATAGCCCGGCTGCTGGAGCACAGGTGAGAGAGAGCTCAAGACAGAGGTGTTGTGTTTTACCAACTCAGCTTTGTGCCACCATGTTATGTCAGCTTCAGTGACTTATCAGCGTTGTTTTAATGCCTTGCAGGATGCCGCTTGGCTCTTTAGGAAAAAAGGGAAAGGAGGCATGTGTGTCTGTCTGTATGTCTCAAATCTAATTTAAAAAACTTCTCTTGTGCTGTATGAAAAAGCCAAGCCGAGTAAGACAGTCTGTTTCTAGAAGGGTCAGTTTTTAAAAGAATCAGTGGTTAGGTACCTAAATGGTTAAGTCAAATGAAGACAGAATTAGTGTTGATTAGTGTTTCTGGCTGTCCAGTGTGCAGTGGTTGTGTAGCTGTGTTGGTCCCAGGATATTTGCGAGACAAGGTGGGTGAGGTAATATATTTTATTACGTTGGTCCAATAAAAGATATTACCCCACCCACCTTGTCTCTCTACTATCGGCAATGAATACTTTTTTTTTTTTCCTAATGATTTGTGGAGTTTCAAAACAGACATAGCTCTGAGCACTTTCTGAAATGGCATCATAGTTAGCTGCCGTAGCGGTCTTTGCTCTAGCATGATCGAGTGAAATTTACAGCCCAAACCCAAGTTATGTACTTCGCCTGAGAATCTAGAAAACAGCAGAAAGCCCAGATACTTAGATCATATTTATCAGAACCTTAGAAAAACCTAAAATAGATCTTTCCCTGCACCTTGATCTTTTATGTGATGCTGCTTCACAGGGGACAGAGGCAAACTGCCCTAGCCCATTTTGCACTTTACTTCGGGATACAATCATTAGCTTCATGAGAGCACTGCTTAAATAGGGCATGGTGTGTTAGAAAGAAGCAACAAGATCCTTTCATCTTAAAGGGCTTCTGGTCCATTGTGTCTATTGATACAACCTGGCAAAAACCAGGGCAGAAAGATAGAAGGTACATCTCTATGCTCTTAATGGACTTGTTATGATCCTAGGCCTTGCCTTTTTTAGTAGTGAAGACAGGCACTACAGTAATACAAATAATAAGTAATTATAATAACAGCAGGTAAACATCTTGTTTGTTTATACAATCAAAGTTATACGTTAATAGAATAATTCATATCTATTTGTGTGTGGGTAATTAAACTTTGTTTCTAATGTATGTTATTTAGCCACAAATCAGCTAAATTAGTGTGTGTTGAAATTTTGAACTATGTAGTAGTAACTCAGTAATTCAGCTATAGTAACAGTATATTGTTAAGCTAAATAATAGATGGTGTTCACTTCTAGCTACTGTTTCACTGCTTAAGTAAATGCAGTACATGAATCTAGTAGATTATGTCTCAACACCCTCATAGCTGATTTTACGGTTGCAGGGAATGGAGCAAGATGTCCAGAAAATAATAAAAGCCTTGAATGAATGTCTTGCGGCTTTTCCCCAGGAGCACCTTCAAAGGGTTAGTCGCATTGGTATTTCAGGACAAATGCATGGGGTTGTGTTTTGGAAAACAAACCAAGGTAATGTCCATCTTTTGACATGTTTGCTATAAATATTGTAGTATAGAAGCTAAATGGCAGAAGCCATGGAAGATGGGTCTATTGATGTTGGAGATCATTTTTAGTTCTGGAATAATTTGCAGAAAACTGCCATAAAACATCTTGATGTTTTATGAAATATAATAGTCAGAAAAAGTCCTGTTAAACATGCATTTCTCCTTAATTGTAGTAGACAGACATTTACAACCACTCATTCCGTTTAACCATGTTCTTTGTTGACATACTAATTAAGGATCTGATCTTGTGAATCCTTATGTGAGCAGTCCCAGTGAAGTCAACAGGGCTATTCACGTGAGGAAGGTTTTGCAGGATTGGGATTTGGAAGGGAATTGGGCCTTTACAATTATCTATCAATTGTCCTCTGTTTGTTACCAAATGAAATGTGCTTATGGAACACACAGTACTCTTTTTATCCCATACTAGTTGTTTCCCAGTGAGTTGTCTGAATACCTTTCAGTTAATTCCTCTTCAGTACAGAGGTTACTGAGTCTATCCTGCTGTGGAAAGTTAGTAGCCTTACACTTTATGGAAATGTACATAGCATTACCCATTCTGCTCTGGAATGTTGTTTTTAAAGATTCCAGTTTGAATGCAAAATACAAGGAGTGAAATTCAATAAATATTTGAATTGATGTCAGATGTTTTTAAAAAGCCCAAAGCATTAAATGAAATAGTTTTCTGATAAGCCACAGGTGACAGACGCACAATACTCTTATTGCTGTTGACTCCATGAGTATCTGGGAAATGGAAATGCAATTCTGCATGTGTAAGTAGTTGTAGGATCAGCATCCAAGTCACAAGCAACCAAGTCGACCTCTGTGACTTATTCACATAGGCCCCAATTCTGCAAATACTCAAGTAAATGTCAGGTTTCAGAGTAGCAGCCGTGTTAGTCTGTATTCGCAAAAAGAAAAGGAATTTGTTAGTCTCTAAGGTGCCACAAGTACTCCTTTTCTTTTTTCAAGTAAATGTGTAGCTGCATGCATTTGTTTACAAGATTTTGGTCTTAGATTGTAAACTCTGTAGGGCAGGGATTATAATATAGATTTTTCCTCAGCTACACTAGTGTAAATCCATTTTGGTCAGTGGCATTACTCTGGCTTTCAGAATCTGATTCCATGTCTTTATTCTCTCTATAACTCAAAATACACACCTATAGGCAATAATAAAAAATATTAAATAATAATAGCTAATGTTGAACTCCGTAGTTGAAGCAGAGATTTGCTGTAGACCATAAAACTGATTTTCTGAAAGCACTGGTCATTGTCTGTCAGATATTGGCAGGATCTCAATTGCTTTAAGAGATCCTGAACTATTCACCGCTGTGATTTTATTTTAAATACTAAAACCATCACCAAGGAGTATATCCAAGGACTGATGGATTCATGGGTCTGTTGCCCACTTTCTAGCTGTCCCATGAGTGCTGCATAACAAAACCTCATGACTCCATCAGCCGCATAAATTCTCATGTGGAGGTGTTTAATATTTCATTTCAGAAAGCTATATGTCACTTTTTGTTTTAAATTGCTGTATTCAACAAAATGAAGGAGAATGTTTGTTTGCTCTCACTACTTTGAGTAGATTAAGTGAAACCGCATACTCAATGTTGCAAATTACATTTTTAATGGCATCATTTAGGGTTAGCTTTGTGGTTAATAATAGTTCTTAGAATCAATTTGAAAACTAGAAAATAGATGAAGTGGAAATACAGTTGAAATAGACTTAAAGGAATGGGTATCAAAGAAAAGGAAATAAGACAGAAATGGACTTTGGACGCGTCACATAATACTGTAACTTTTACATTTTGTTTAAAGTTGCTCTGTGTGAGAGTGAAGTTCAGGAGCTGTATCAAAGTTTCAGTTCAGACTAGTGGAGGCACTGGTCGTCATAGAATGATGCCTTCTGCCATGTTTGGTATAAGCTCCCTCTCTGCCAGTACGGCTTAACTTCTATGGGTGAGAGCCTCACTCCCACTGTGGCTCCTTTATGCTGTGTAAAGGGTCCATAAAAGCCCTCTGGCCAGGGGATAACTTCCCCAGCACAGGAACTGTGCAAGACACCTGTAAGCTGCCTTCCTAGGACTCCTTCACGACGCCCAGTATAGGGAACACACTGGAGTGGGGTTGAGGGCACAGAAGTGAAGCATCAGCATGCAGAACTGTGGAGATTCTGGGCAGCCCTGGGTGGCTGGCATAATTTAGACTGGCCCCTCCAGGTGGCCTAGGATTGTGAGGCACTTAGAGGCACAGCACAGAATCCTACCTTTTGTATTTAAAAGGAACAAGATAGGAATTACCCTGGCAATGAAGCTAAAAAAGAAAATTGAATCAATATAAATCCTAATGAAGGCAGTCCACCTTCTCTATGAGGCTGTGTTACAGAGCTAGGATGTTCTATGAGCCTGTATTACAAAGCTAGGATGGCATGTACTCTTTACTGCTTGGTGGTTACATGTCTCTGTTGATAGTTATATTATTGCTTGATAAACCCAGATGTAAGTGATACATAAGTTATATATCACTTACATATATAACTTTTATATATATTACATAAGTGATGTGCCAGCAATGCCCCTCTGTCATGTACATTGGCCAAACCGGACGGTCCCTACGTAAAAGAATAAATGGACACAAATCGGACATCAGGAAGGGTAACATACAAAAGTCAGTAGGAGAACACTTCAGTTTCCACGGTATACATCTGATGAAGTGAGCTGTAGCTCACGAAAGCTCATGCTCAAATAAATTGGTTAGTCTCTAAGGTGCCACAAGTACTCCTTTTCTTTTTGCGAATACAGACTAACACGGCTGTTCCTCTGAAACCTGTCAATCTTCCTGGACATTCTATAACAGATTTAAAAGTAGCTGTATGTGAACAAAAAAACTTCAGAAACAGACTTAAAAGAGAAACAGCAGAACTAAAATTCATTTGCAAATTTAACACCATTAATTTGGGCTTGAATAGGGACTGGGAGTGGCTGGCTCATTACAAAAGCAGCTTTGCCTCTCCTGGAATTGACACCTCCTCCTCTATTATTGGGAGTTGACTACATCCACCCTGATCAAATTGGCCCTGTCAACACTGGTTCTCCACTTGTGAGATAACTCCCTTCTCTTCATGTTTCATTCTATAATGCCTGCATCTGTAATTTTCACTCCATGCATCTGAAGAAGTGGTTTTTTACTCACGAAAGCTTATGGCCAAATAAATCTGTTAGTCTTTAAGGTGCCACCAGACTCCTTGTTGTTTTTGTGGATACAGACTGACACGGCTACCCCCCGATACCAGATGTAAGTGGTACTTTGTATTAAAAAATAGACATATTCATGAGCTATCTGTTGTATGAAATTGAGCCCAATGTTAGAGCAAGTGTAGATATTTCAAGGCTAGAAAATGACACATCCAAGTCATACTCTTAAAATTTGGGCTCAAGTGATTGATGGATTCCAGGGCAGAAGGGATTATTGTGATCATCTAGTCTGACCTTCTGCGTAACACAGGCCATACAACTTTCGCAAAATAATTCCTAGAGCATATCTTTTCGAAAAACTTCCAATCTTGATAAAATTGTCCATGATGGAGACTCCACCATGACACTTATTAAGTTGTTCTAATGGTTAATTACTTTCACTGTTTAAAAAAAAATATTTACACCTTATTTCCAGTCCAAATTTGTCTAGCTGCAACTTCCACTCATTGGATTGTCACGTTATATCTTTCTCTGCTAGATTGAAGAGCCCATTATCAAATATTTGTTCCCCATACCTATAGACTGTCATCAAATCCCCCCTGAAGTCTCTCGTTAAGCTATGTAGATTGAGCTCCTTGAGTCTGTCACTATGAGAGATTTTTTTTTTTTAGTCCTTTAATTGTTTTTGTGGCTCTTCTCTGAACCCTCTCCAATTTATCAACATCCTTCTTAACCTGTGGACACTAGAACTGGACACAATATTCCAGCAGCAGTCGCACCAGATCCAATTACAAAGGTAAAATAACCTCTCTGCTCCTACTCAAGATTCCCCTCTTTATGCATTCAAGGATTGCATTCGCCCTTTTGGCCACCACGTTTAACTGGGAGCTCATATCCATTACTTCCCAGGATAGAGTCCCCCCGACCCCCGTAAGCACGGCCTGCATTCTTTGTTCCTAGATGTCCTACGTTTACATTTAGCTGCATTAAAACATGTAGCGTTTGCATGCAGTTCTAAAAGTTCAGTGCAGTTCTAGCAGCCTTTTGCTCCACTTCTCAGGGCACTTCTTAGCTGCATGTTTTTGGTGGGTCATGCTCAGTTTAAGATGTCACATTCTGTCTTATCTCGATCTGTGCCTGTTTGGATGGATATTATGGGTGCTAGGAGGACAGAGATAAAGCCTCTGGACAGAATGTTTTTTTTCTTCATCTCAGGGTAACAGTCTTTGAGGCAGATTATTCAGGGCTAGAAAATATGATTGGTTAGTTTGACTAGAGTCAGTACTGCTGTATTTTTTTTTTTTTAAGTGTTAAATGTGTTTCTTTGTAGAATATTTTGAGTCACAGGAGTTGAAAGGTGCCAGACAAACTGCGGTTAATTATGCTGTGCTTCTCAAATACTGCCGATTTCAGGTTGCAAATGGGCCGAGAGTGGAACTGGTCACACCTTTCAGCCTGGAGAAGTCAGTCATCTGATTACGTGGCAAGATGGCCGCTGCAGCAGCAGTTTCCTCTCTTCTCTTCCTCAACCACAGTCACATCTAAGCGTGGCTACAGGATTTGGATGTGCCACAATCTACTGGTATTTGAAGAACAGGTAGAAGCACTGTAACTTCAGCTGTATTCATTAGATTTTCTCTGTCATGCCGTTTCCTTAGCAGTTTCTTGGCTGGAATTCAAGCCAGTCAGTGTTCTTGTAGAAGCTAATACCAGTTCAGGGTCTGCAGCTGTATATTTCTTCCTATCTGTCATAATGCACCAGCAGGAGGAGACCTGTGAGATGAAGCAAAACTTCCCTTTAATCATAATATTAATTAAATGGCTGAAGATCATTTCAAATGGAAGTATTAAACATTAACCATATACAACTGAGTTTGATATTCTCTCATCCTTCTACTTAAAAATACCACAGAACACTTAACAAGAAAAGAAACAGCTCTGGTTATACATGAACGGAAACATCATCAGTTAATATAATTTGAACCCTATAGCTGTGCTTTAAGCATAGTTCCTATATATACTTATGAAAATCTAAAATCTGTTGGGGGAGTTGTTTTGGGCCAATTCCCGCAACATGCTAAGAAAATTGGGCCCTACATTAGCTGCTGTTCCCTTCCCTTTTAGGCATTAAGCTGTCCTAGCAAGCCTCTGATGAGGTTTTATACATAATCTGCTGGGTTGTCACATGCTTTGCATGGGACAGTTTTTCACTTACAACTTGCCTTTAGCCATAGCAGGGTGTGGAATCCACAAAACCTTTGCGTAGATTCTGAAACCACTTCAGCTTCAATAAGCTATTACATCTCCCAAACTGTCACCATCTTCCACATCAAGTAGGAGTTCCGTTTTGCTCAAAGGAATAAAAGACTCTCTTGATCTTGCATTCCTCCTGAAGTTTGTTTAGATAGTATCTGGAACACGGTTGATCTCTCCACACTCGTTTTTATACTGTTATTTTCATCCTTGGTACTTTTGCTTTAATGCATATATTGAGCACCCTAATTCAACTAGATGGAATTAAGATTTTTTCAGATGCTCCAAAGCTGAGAGCAGGACATCTCTGTGCAAGTCTGCTGCTGTTTCTCTCTTTATAACAGGCTTTGCAGCTATGCACTTTGCCACAAAGAACTTGTGTGTTAAAACTGTTTCCCCCATCTCCCTGTAAGAGTGAGTATTATGCATGGTAACACACCATAAATCCAATTCTATGGAAAAACTAGGACTTGATCACTGAGGCAGTCTTTATAGTTGGTTCCATGCAATTTTAATTGTGAGATTCTGTGTGTTTCTAAAGTTCTCTGGAGTGATAGAAGCAATCTTGTTTTTTATAAAGGATGCAGTTACTGATGGGACAGAGTTAATGTAATATTTTACTAATATTAAGGAGCCTTAGGAATTATTTCTCATTGTCTTTACTTAATACTGCTCTGCATCATTTGACTTTCATGACAAAGATAAGAAAAGAGATAATACCTACCTTATTTATTTCCTTTTATATACAGCTAGGAATTCAGCAATCCTCATCTGCAACAGTGTAATTAAGTTTTATTGCAAAGTAACAATTCACTGAAGAACATTAGACACACTGTTCAATTTTTTCTATTTTTCTTCAATAAGCAGCTTTTTTGTTTTCCCTCAGACACTCACTGTTAAATCATTTTTACAGTAAACCTCAAGTACCCTATTCAGAATATTTGGAAAAGATCTAATTGTATTATTGGCCTCAAAACCAGGTGCCAATGGAGTAACTGCAGTGTTGGAGGTAGATGCTAGAGATGGTTGAAATTTTTTGCTTGAAAGGTTTTTTTATCAACAAAGAATGCTTTCTTTACTTTTTTTTTTTAATTGAAACAAATTTTTGCAGGGAAATGTCTGATTTCTATGAAATTTTTGAGTTGCCAAAAATGATTTTTTTCCTTAATTCGGATTTTTGGTTTTTCTATAAAATCCAAAAAGTTTTGAAGAAAGTTTTTGACAAAAACAATTATTGTAGTATAACGTTTTTTTGTGGGGAGGAAAAAATGTTTCCTAACCAGTGCTAGTGGACACTTGTTTTCTAAGGATTTCTCTCATTCAGTTAATTAACATGTTTCCAGAAGGTTTCTTTTGTCATGTGTTTCCAGTTTTGTCCTGAATATCAACTACAAATGGAAATGGTTGGCAAGTGGACGTTTAACAAAGCAGCTGTTGTTTTGTTGTTAAATAGCCCAGATTTTCTGAAGCCTTTTGATGCAGCTGGTACCATCCACGACTATGTGGTTGCCATGTTGTGTGACCTGGAAAGGCCATTGATGTCCGTCCAGAACGCTGCCAGCTGGGGATATTTTAATTCCAGAAGTAAAAGCTGGAATACTGAGATGTAAGTGACAGTCATCCAATGGATTTTATTTATTGTCTGTCCCAGATGGGGTGAATACTCCTGTAGACCATAAGTATGATTATAGCCCAGGAAGGGGTGATTGAAAGCTGCTATCTCTGATGATTGTTTGGCCCTTTGCTGAATGAATCTGTGTGACTCAGTGCAGTTTGTGGTGGGCAAGTATATCATATAAAACCTCATCACTGTTGGCAGTCATTGGCATTGTCATTTTTAGAAACCCTCAGAGAAGGCATTATTGGCTGGCTCAGCAAAGAGGCCATGGATACTGAATTATTTGCTTCCTTCCTGCTGGGGTTCTCTCTAGGGCATGGATGAGGTACAGCAGTGAGACAGAGTGGGTCAACTGACAATGCTCTATCTACATGCTGGTTAAAGAGAATTTCACTCTTTAGTGCCTTCAGCTGAGCTCTTTCATAAGCATTAAAATTTCCTCACAGTGTCATTTAAAAGGTGTCCGGCTACCGGGCATCTGATGAGACATCAGTTTTATTCTTTTTTTAAAAACGACTTGCTCTTTCAGGGGGTGGAGTCCAGGGCCCTATACATTTCAGGGATTGGTTTGGGCCACGACTCCAGGGTGAAAAGATCTTCTAACCGTGAAGGTAAAATATTTTCTAGCCCATTGAAAGGGTAACAGGACCTTGGATTTGGCTCACTGAGCTTTTTCTGACTTGAAGTAGTAGTTGTTGTGAGGTAGCCCATACTCACGTTGAAGTTTGGTTAAGAAGCTTGTTGTAACTAAGATATTCTGGTTTGTTTTTGACATGCTAATCCTCTGCATGAGAGTGTCCTGGGAGTCAGTGTTCTTTGGCACTTGAAAATTGGTTATATTTCTGTCCTTTTGATTGTCCCTTACCATGCTGCTTGGCTATGTGACTTTGGTGGGTTGAACATGTGATCCCTGCTAGATCAAATCAAGTATAAATGTAGGTGGATTTATTTACTCTTCTGGGCTATTTTGTACAAGGCTGTTCTAGTTCCATTGGCTGTGTTGGCTAAAAACTAAAAGTCTGAACTTGTCCAAGGCAGAGCTAATTGGGTGGGCAAAAGAATCTGTAAACCCAGCAGCCACAAGCACATGGTCAGGCTAGCCTGTGACCTCAGGGATGTTCACATAGCATGCTGTCGTATTGACTAATCCATCTGTGTGTGTGTGTGTGTGTATATATGTATATATATATATATTTTTTTTTTTGGTTGCAGTTTGAGAGAATCTGGCTTTCCCCTTGACTTGCTTCCTGAAGTGGGTGACCCTGGTGGCATTGCTGGGAGGATGCCCCATGACTGGCATGGAATACCAAAGGGAGCGGAAGTGGGAATTGCTCTGGGAGATTTCCAGTGCTCTGTTTATTCTTGTATGACTGAGCGGACTGATGCAGGTATTCTTATACAGCTGGGACACAACAACTACAGTAGAACCTCAGAGTTACGAACACTTCAGGAATGGAGGTTGTTTGTAACTGAACAAAACATGGTTGTTCTTTCAAAAGTTTACAACTGAACATCGACTTAATACAACTTTGAAACTTTACTCTGCAGAAGAAAAATGATGCTTTTAACCATCTTAATTTGTCGCACAGAAACAGTTTCCTTGCCTTGTCAAATCTTTTTTTTAAACTTTTGCCTTTATTTTTTTTGAGTGGTTCAGGTTTAGCGCAGTATTGTACTTGCTTTTTTTTTTTTTTGTCTCTGCTGCTGTCTGATTGTGTACTTCTGGTTCCAAATGAAGCATGTGGTTGACTGGTCAGTTTGTAACTCTGCTGTTTGTAACTCTGAGGTTCTACTGTCAGACCTTTCAATAGGTCTGAGTACCAGTTTCTAGTCTGTGAAAGGACTAATACAATTTTTCCATTAATACCATAGCACTCTTTTTTGCCTGACTGTTGTTGCTAGCTCGGTGTTTATATTGTGCTCAACACCACGGTATGTGGATAACTTATTTTCCTCTTTCAGCGTAGCTTGCTAAAAGATGAAATCTTTTCTTTCTTGTGTTGCAGTTCTCAATATCAGCACCTCTGCTCAGCTGACAGTCCCCATGCCCTTGGGATTCCAGCCCCCAGAGACACCAGATTCCTTGTCAGCTGTTGCCTATTTTCCTTATTTTGATGGTAACTATCTGGCAGTGGCAGCATCACTCAACGGAGGAAATGTGCTGGCAACATTTGTGGATATGTTGGCCTGCTGGATGGCGGAGTTGGGTAAAGTATTTTGGGGATAGACACAGCTTAATATGGGAGTTGATCAGCAAGATATGAGGGACTGAGTCAAAGCAGCAAGTCTTGTACTGCAGTGGTTTTCAACCTGTGCTCTGCACCTCCATTCAAAATTTTTTAGGGGTCTGCAAATGAAATAAGGTTGAAAACCACTGTTGTACAGTATGTGTCATCTGAGCAGAAATCATGACGCACGCGATTTGTTCCCACTGTAGTGCTAGAATTTCCTACAACAATTAGGGGACATGCTGAGAACAACACTAACTGGAACCTGCATTTGGATTATGTCTGGGTTTTATTTTTGTTTCAAGCACTTAAGTGAGTGAGAATATCTTTGTGGGTTCCATTTCAGAAGGAAAAATTTTCAAAGGAAAAATTATAAGTCAATAAATCAGAAGTCAGTCACTAATTTCCATGTTCATAGAGTCTATAAAGAGTGACTTGATTATGTTAATTGCCTGGAGTTGCAATTTTCGCAGAACTTTAAATGCCTAATGGACTTTAAAGAGCCAGGTTTAGTGCAGTATCATATAAGACAATCATGTCATTTCCCCAAAGTGCTTTAAAATGTGTTGTCACAACTTCTTTGATATCCTTCCCTTGAGTTGTCTCAGTGCATCAGTAAATTCTAAAACCCTTCCAACCAATGCTTGAGTGACCTTTGCACTGTCAGTATAGGAGGTGGAGTCTGTGCTGATTGCCCCTATTAAGAAAAGGTCACTAGCTGGTTAGTTTCCAAACATGCAAAATTATCTTTACTGTTGCTTTTTCATTTAAATTGAGCCAATAGCTAATGTTTCAGAGAAAACTGTTCCATTATCAGAACTGCAGTGTTTATAATCAGAAAAGACTTCTTGGATCAAAATACTCTGGATGAGGAGAGTCATATTCCTGCAAAAGTGATCTCCTTAGGGACAGGAGAAGCCAAATACATAGTGTTCTGTTGAGCCAACCTACACCACTGAAACAGCACCCAGCATGATTAGCATACTTTAAGCCTCCAGCATTCATCTCTGACAGGTGAAAGGAACACCAGGCTGACAAAATTAGTAACACCATTTCCTTTTGGCAGGGTATGACGTTCTAGAGTCCCATGTCTATACACAAATGATCAACGCAGCCTTGGCCCAAAATGCTACCAGACTCTCAATCTGCCCAACTGTATTTGGAGAAAGGCACATGCCTGAGCAACTGGCGTCTGTGACTAGTATCGCTGCTTCTGAGCTCTCTCTGGGTCACGTCACCAGAGCTTTGTGCCATGGGATCATTCAGAATCTGCATTCCATGTTGCCATTTCAACACCTGAAAGAGGCAGGAGTGAAGAGAATTCTGGGAAGTGGAAGTGCCCTTTCCAGGAATGAGGTGCTGAAGCAAGAAGTGGAGAAAACTTTTCCACTTCCTGTGATCTATGGAAAGGATGTGGATGCAGCTGTAGGCGCTGCTATGGTGATGCTGCACAGAAGATAAATCCATAGTTCAGGATTGTCTGATACAAAGTTTTTTTTTTTTTTCTGGACATATCAACACTTTCTTTCTATTTCCTCATCATTCCTGACGTTGCTTTTAATCTACCATTCCACTCAGTATGGAGAAGAACAGCTTCCATTAATGTCCCTCTCTGGTTCCATATGTACTCAGGGCCCTGCATGCTCTTATGTTGTCATTCCTAATTGTGCAACAATTTACCATATGAAATTTGGCTGTGTGAAGGGAAAAGCTCCATTACGTTTGGGTTGAAGATAATACTTCATCACAGGCTTATTTTCCTGTTAGGTAAGAAGAGCCAGTGTCTGTTGGTAATGGCATCTGTAGCCTTTGTTAGAGATGTTTTGTGGTTAAACTATCTCTTTCCATATATATGTGTATACAACACAATGGAGCCTAAAGGTGCTACTGTAATACAAATAAAATAATAATTTACCATATCTTATGCATTGAAGAGTCTCTCTCTGAAGGGCTGAGCACCTTTTTGGCTCTTAAGTAACAATAAAATGTTAAGAAAAGCATGTAGGAGGGAAGGTGATAGGATCAGTGAAGTATATTGCTGCTGATCCAAGTTAGATTCATGACTAGCTCATAAATGACTTCAGTGCTCACGCTTCAGAGTGCCAATTGGTTACCAGCTGGGGGGTCAGGAAGGTATTTCTCTTGTTTATTTACACTCGTGTGTGTGGATTGGAGCTTCCTCTGAAGCATCCCGCATTGGCGGGATATTTGAATAGATGGTTCATTGGGCTTTTCTTTTGTTCTAGAAAGGTTATAGTAACCCTCCTGATAGATCCGTTCCCCTCTCTTCTTACCGCAATGTGACTTGAAGTACAATCAGTTGTTGCCAGTGAGAGGTGAAATGTGCTCACGTGTGTCAGCCCAAGAACGTCCTTTCAGGTTTCCTTGATATGTTCTATTTTAAGGAGTTTATAACTCTCTGCTTTTTATATATTGGAAGGAACTGAGCCTTGGCATAGCAATTTGCAGGCTGGATTAAAATCTTTTTTCAGTTTTGAGCATTGTTCATGTGAGCTTGCCATAAGTCTCTGGGTTTCTATCCCATGTGCCATGGTCCTAAAGCACCTCGCTGATCATTCTACCCACTCCTTTATTTTAAAGTAAAAGCATTTGTATTTTATTTTATCATCCAGGAGAAGTTGGACATGCATTTCCTTACTAGAGAGAGAGGGAAGTAAATAAAGTGGTTTCATATTATCTGTGTACAATTTTATTAACTAGAAGCATCTGTTTTAACTGAAATATGGACCTGCATATTCATCTTGTTCATTAGCAGCATCGAGACTGACTCATATTGTCTTAATGAGAAATCTGCTTCCTATCCCAGAGCTCTAAGTCCACAGACTTTAATTAAGGTGATAGATTAATCCCCTGCCTCCTCATGACCAGTCTTTTCCATGTGGTGAGTAAAGAGCCATTGGTGTAACCAGGAAACACAGACAAAGTGTAGAACATAAGAATGGCCATACTGGGTCAGACCAAAGGTCCATCTAGCCCAGTATCCTGTCTTTTGACATTGGCCAATGCCAAGTCCCCCAGAGGGAATGAACAGAACAGGTAATCATCAAGTGATCCATTCCCTGTCGCTCATTCCCAGCTTCTGGCAAACAGAGGCTAGGGACACCATCCCTGCCCATCCTGGCTAATAGCCATTAATGGACCTATCCTCCATGAATTTATCTAGTTCTTTTTTGAACCCTGTTATTGTTATAGTCTTGGCCTTCACAACATCCTCTGGCAAGGAGTTCCACAGGTTGACTGTGTGCTGTGTGAAAAAATACTACCTTTTGTTTGTTTTAAACCTGCTGCCTATTAATTTCACTTGGTGGCCCCTAGTTCTTGTGTTATGAATAGTTGAAGGTTATGATAAAACACCCTATTTTGTAGCACTTTGTTTTAATTTTGCTAGTTATATTGTTTGTGTGCATCAGCAGGTCTTCTTCCCTTTTTTGAATGATACCGCTAGGAGCCAATAATATTTCCCCTTAAAAAACTAGGTCTTTGCAGCTGCCGCTTAGTAATCCTTGAATCCAGCTGAGCCAGTTTCAGGGAGCTGGTAAAATCTGGAATATGGTTCATTACTATGCTTTATCAAGACAAGAATTTCCCTGATTAATAGACGCCTAGACTTTAAGGTCAAAGGGGACCATCATGATCATCTAGTCTGACCTCCTGCACATTGCAGGACACAGAACCTCACCACTCCACTCCTGTAATAAACCCCTAAACTGTGGCTGAGTTACTGAAGTCCTCAAATCATGATTTAAAGATTTCAAGTTACAGAGAATCCACCATTTACCCTAGTTTAAACCTGCAGGTGACCCGTGCCCTATGCTACAAAGGAAGGCAAACCTCCCCCAAGGTCTCTGCCAATCTGACCTGGGGGAAAATTCCTTCCTGCTCCAAATATGGCGATTAGATAGACCCTGAGCATGTGGGCAAGACCTACTAGTCAGATACCCGGGAAATAATTCTCTGGAGTAACTCAGTCCTCCCCATCACCAGCTGTGTTTGTTAAAGCTCCTAGCATATCTCTTGTCACTTCTGTCTTTTGCCACCTGATGAGAGAGGATATTCGGTGAGTAAAATTCATTCCTGTGTGCAGAGTTTACTCAAGACTGAGGCACCATTTAAGCCTCAGATGTATGTAGGACCCATTGCACAGGGGTAAATTTCACCATTTTATTATTTATATGCTGCTGCAAGTATACTGATCACGCTATATGATACACCCAAACCAGGTCCCTGCCAAGTCTAATACAAACAAACCCAGTATTTAGGACAACAGCTGAAGCATGGGAAGGTGCAGAGACCTGTAGGTGAGGCAAGAGCAGGACATCGTGAAGAGCAGAGCATCTTCACGAGAAAGGGAGATCAGAAGGGGAGGGGAGTTCCTTGATGCACAGGAAATGGGAGGGTGTTCTAAAAATGTGCATCCATGGGGTAGGAAGGGTCAGAGAAAGTCTGAAGCCAGGAATGGGAGATGGAGACAGAAGAAGTACTTAGCAAAAAGAGATGAAGAAAAGCCTAGGAAGCGAGAGGGGGCATGAGAGACATGGTCACAGCGCCTCCGGGGTGTTGTTTTTTTGGAAGTAAAAGGCAGTAATAGGGATAATTGAATTATGACTGAAAATCTAGCTAGTGCAGCTGAAGCACTTAACTTTCCTTCCTCATAGTTCTGAAAAGCTGGATGTGATTATCTTAGTGAACAGTCCAGCATAATGAGGTTTACTGGATGTTTCACTGTGCATTGTAATTCTCTTGTTTTGCTGAGACTGACTGCTGTGAGTCATGACAGCAATGTGCAGAGCAAGGATATGAGAGGAAATATGGCCCTGTGGTGGGGGCACTAGCCTGGGATTTGGGACCCATGTTCAATTCCCTGCTTTGCCGCAGGTTTCTCGGGCAAGTCACTTGATCTCTCTATTTGCCTGTGGTACAACCGTAATGGGGGCCATATAAGTTGCTTAGCTCTATAGATAGCATGTTGCACTCACTCTGAAGACTCCTGTTCTCTGCATGATGAGTAGATACCGGTAGGCTTGGACCTCACTGCAGTTCTCCATTGTTCAGATGTAGTAGGCCTGATTATGTACTTTTCCTATGCTGGTGAAAAATCTGGAGTGATTCTTTTGGACTGGAGCTACCCCAGTGTAAGTGGGATCAGAATCAGAATTCAAGCCACTTTGGCCAGACGCTCCAGACTTATGCTGAATTCATCTCATCTGATCTGGAGAATCTATCCTGTTTACACTGGTGTAATAAAGATCAGAATTGGGCCCTAACCTGCCATTATTTTTTAATTTAGGCGCTTCAAAAAATCATCCATTGTGAAATTGGCTTATACAGGAACTGACACTGTTGAAAAGCTTTGGTACGTGGTGCATTTTGGTATAAAACTGCAGTGTTTCATCTGTCCTCGAATTGCCTAGAACAGTGGTTCCCAAACTTGTTCCACCACTTGTGCCGGGAAAGCCCCTGGTGGGCCGGGCCGGTTTGTTTACGTGCTGCGTCCACAGGTTTGGCCAGTCGCGGCTCCCAGTGGCTGCGGTTCGCTGCTCCATGTTGCCCTTTTTTCTTATCTAGAAGTGCTGGATACATTTCAGTCTTTTTCCTGTTTGGAATCAGTAAGTGTTAGTCCTTCCTACATCAATTGATTCAGCAATTGTGAGCTCATCACACAGAGCTGACAAACAGCCACTGCAGTTCCAGGAGGTTTTATTTTAAATGACTTTTCCTTTGGGTTATCTATGGAAATGTGGTATCTTGCATAACAATCTGCTAGGCAGAGGCCTGGCTGCAAGATCAATTAGGGACCAAGCTGTCTTATGTCCTTCAATATGTGAATATTTCCCATAGCAGACTCTATACTGGGGACAAGTGCCCAGGTTTGTTTTATTTTTGTTTTTTAAGTAGAGGATCCATTCGATTCTAAAGAAATTTTGCCGGAAACTTGCCTCCAGTGACTCCCTGAGCAAGACATAAATAGGATAAGTTGTAGGTCACACATTCCTGCAGGCAAGCTCAGATTCTACCGTCTTCCTCTTGTTATGTTAATCCTCTTTCCCATGTGTGTTGTCCCCTCACTTCCCCCCAACCCTCTCCAGCTGTACCAAACTGCTACTCTGTCTCTGGTTTCATTCACTCCTCTGGCTGCTCTAATTTTCCTTTATTGATACACTGAGAGTTTCTGTTTCCAGGATGTCTGAAATCTGGAGATGTATCTATGACTGAATGTGGACACTGGGGTGCTTGACTCTTCTCTTCTCCACTTGTTTAACTCCATTAACTTCAAAAGGAATTGCCCCAGATGTATTGTTGGGTAAGCCAGAACAGAATCAAACCCTGCTGTTTGAATATAAACTCAAACTCTGATGGTCAGTGGTAGATCAGGTGCTAAATGCTCACCTTTTCAGGAAATGCACATGTTCCTACAACCAAATACCTAGTTCGCTTATCAAGTCCAGCTCTGGGGAATCAGTGAAGAAGTAGTTCCTTCCAGTAGCACTATCCGAGGATCTGGCCCATTGTTAATTTATGCTTCAGCATTAATAAACAGGCATTTTATTTGTTCTGAATAAAATGTCGTAGGCTGTTCTGATGAATGTAATTCAATTTGCTGTGAATATTGCAGCATCCCTTTTCATACATGTTAAGGCCAGAAAGGGCCATTGTGATCACCTAGTCTGATCTCCTGCAGAACACAGGCCAGAGATTTCACCAGTGATTCCTGTATCGAGTCCAAAACTTCTGGCTGGGCTAGAGCATATCTTTTAGAAATGCTTTGTCTTTCTAGCCTATTCCTTGATGTAGATATCCTAGACAGAAGGACAGATTAATAAAACCAGCCTGCCTGAAGTAAGGAAATACTTCAAGTGTTCAAGCTGCACTTACATTAATTTTTCACAGCTGACTAAGGTAAGCATGTATTATTTCAATGAAACGCGGTGTGTAAACAGATTAATAAAATGGTGTTTGGATTTTTTAAATTGGTTTTCGAAGTTCATCAACTCTGATTGTAATCAAACTCTTCCTTGGACAGTATGTAGATCTTTATTATAACATCACTAATAGCCACTGCAAAGATGAACGATCTCAGAAAAGATCTCTACAAACTTTCACGTTAAGTGATGTGTACAGCTGAACCACAAAAATAACTGACTTTCCCAGGCTGAATGTATCTGTGAAAAGGAAATCTGGAAAGGAGTGTCCATTGCTAAATGTAATTTGAAAAAAACAAACTGGGATTCTTGTAAAGAGCTTTGATACACTCTCGGGAATAGCTGCTGCTGTTACTTCTGCTTCTAGGATAGTTCTTAATTATTATATTAGTCAAGTTCATGTTCGAGTGCACATCCTCAGAGTGTAGAACAATCCCGCAGACAAACGAAGTGGAGGGAAGATCTGTGATGTTGCTCTAAACAAATCACCTAAGAAGAGAGGACTTGTAGATCAGATAGTACTTATTGAGACGGGATTATTTTGCAGAAGGTGGCATTTTTTGGAGCTTTTGTAAGTCTTTGCATGTATATTTGAATAGCATACTTGTGCATTGTTTGTAAATTACCCCTTGGTATTTATCACTAGATGTGGTTCGATTGGAGTCTCTTGTAAGCAATATTTTCTTTTATCTGGTTGTTGTATAGGATTGAATTTTGATATACACTGGATTAGAAGAGCCCAAATTAGGTACATTTTATCCGGATAGCACATGAGAAATTTAAAGACAAAATATCTTTCCAGTGAATTTTGAAGTCTCTGTGGAAGATTTTACATCTTGCAAATTCAGACCTGTATGAGGCTGAGTAGTTTTCCTATCATTATTGCAGTTTCTACCAAGCGTTTTTAAAACTAAAGCTTTTGGAATGATGAAAATAGGGTGATGGCGTATTGATAAGGCAGTGCGAGAAAGGTCATTGGGCTGCTGCCTATACGGTACCTGTTCTGTGGAGAAATAAAGGTCTCCAGGTTCCAGTCTGGCATTTTTTGCCAGATGTGCATTCGCTTAAAGGAGACACCCCCCTCTTCCCTGAAAAAAACCCAACCCCAAACCAAAAACCCATGAATATTTTGTTTGCCAGTGTTTTTCATTCTTTAAACCCACTGTTGATTATTTCAGGGAACATTTTATAGTTCTTAAGTATTTTAATATCAAACCGTAAATGAAAAGGTTTTTTTGTTTTTAGTTGTTTGTTTGTTTTTTGCATTATTTCTTGTTTGCAGAATCATTTAAGATATTAGGAAAATTTCTTTTCTATTTATTTCAGTTTATTTTTGTGAGGGACCCACAGAACTGGAAATTTAAGCAAAAATGTACCCCACAGCTAAATTATGGTAGATGTCATTTTAACAGTTTCTATTTTTGTTTTATGGTTGATGCTGTAAATGTATATTTATGAATATTTTAAGAATTTGTTCGATACATATTGTGTATGGTTATTGAAAAGTCAAACCGACAACAACATTCTCATTCCATGTTTACTTCCATAGAAAATTGTACAGGTGCCATTGATTTAGAGGTTAATGAATCCTACTGAACTGAAGATCCTGGTACAACTTTACCTGTGGTCTTGCTAACTCGCCTCCATAAGCACGTTTGAGGTCACTGGTCAGCTATTGCTTGTATACATAATAATTCTTAGCATGAAGGTCTGTTTATAGCTGAGGAGGGCACTTGCTGTTGCAGGATTTCAAAAACCCTTATTTTCAAAGCATTAGATTTTCCAGACAATTTGGGATTTCAGGAAATCTTTTGTAAGAGGACATTCCACACACTCTCAAATCTGGCTGGGTCAAAGTTCAAAAGGGGTACAGTGAAATGCTTTCTCTACTTCTGATCCTCCAGAGTATTTTATATCTAATAATGATATGAACAGTAGTTCCTACCTGCATGTCACGTTCACCTCGATGTATCAGTGTTTGCCTCATTTCCTCTTGATCACACTGCATGTACACTTGGCTGTTTAAAACACTTTAATAAGAAAACAGTCTAGAAACAGTCTTAATTTTAGCATGACAAGGTGGATGAGGTAGTATATTTTATTGGACCAATTTCTGTCCAATAAAAGATGTTACCTCACCCATCTTGTCTCTCTAATATCCTGGGACCATCACGGCAACAACAACCCTTCATTTTAGCATATCTGTTGTAATTATAAATCAAACACGATCAAAGTGCTGGCCTTCCGAATATTACTCATCTACAGTAACCTGTCCTTTTTTGCTTTCTTAGTATCCCTGAGGTGACTATCAGCTTTCAAGGTCCACCTGTCTAGTGGCTATCTTACTGGAACCGGTTCTCCAGTCTTTTACGCCATTTAGACATCACTGTGACTCCACTGAAGTCAGTAGGTGGTAATTTCCCATGTTAGCCAAACGTCTCTTTGCTACCATATGGCTGAGATGCAGCCCTCATGCACAAAGACATTGGTTGAGGCCCAGTTCACTGGCTAATAGATCAACATTTGGAGTAATATCCTTAACCTCTACCCACAAAAGACTAATTACTACCCCTCTACTTATGTGCTTCTAACAGGCCCATTCACAACAACTTAGCGTCTTCTTTCAGTCCTGTCCTCCAAATCTCTTTCAGCAACAACTGACATTTCAAACTTGCTGGACACCTGCTTCATTCATTTCTTTAGCACACCTCCTTTCTCCATTCCTTTCTCATTTGCTCTCCCTAGTGTCAGCTCCTTACTTTGTCCTGCTTCTCTTGATTGATGCTTATCCTGAAAATAACACAACTTTCCCTCTCCCCTTCTTGTGTCCCCTGACTCTCATCAGATGGGCAAAGGGAGAACAAGAGAGCTTGTTTGTGGTAGATGCCATGGACCTGATTCTGCTGTTACTTACCGACTGGTGCAACTCCTTTCATATAAATGTGTTACTCCTGATTTACCCTGGTCTGAGAGCAGAATGAGCCTTGTTGTTGCCAAACAAAGAAATTTACTTTGAGCTTTAATCATTCATGTGCAAAGAGGTGTGAGTTGTTTTCTCCTTGCCAGGGATCTATGATAATCTGAGGTGATGTAGTTTGCTCCTATGATCCTGTGTAAAATTTCACTCCTGGGGGAATTCTCCACCACTGTGCAGTGAAGAATTTTGCAGAAATTGAACACGCGTGCAGAATTTTCTATCCCCCACCAAAATGGACTGCAGTACTGCTAGCTGCCATTAGGGGCCACTGGACTCAGCAGAGCCCAGCTTGCACATAGAAGACACTGCTGGAGGGAGGAAGAGGGAGTTAGAGGGTTTCTGGCAGCGGCAGTTCCCTGCATGCCCTGAGGGAAGGAGAGGGCCGTGTGCAGGAAACTCTGTGCAAGCCTGGGACCAAACATCAGGCTGTTTCTCCCTCTGGATCCCTGGGCTCGGGGTGGGGGATGGGGCTCTGTGGGGGGGAGGGGATGTGGCTACTTGGGCCGGGAGGGCCCCGCAGGTGGGCTCTGGGGAGGGGTTGTGGGTTTCTGGCCCCACGGCTGGGCTCTGAGGGGGGAGAAGGGGACAGAGAAAGAGGAGCTGGGTTGTCATACGGGTTTCTTTAACTCTCTACTCCCAGGGGAATTTTTGGGTGTGTCTGTATTGTTACAGGCATACTTGCTGACAGCTATTTTGAAATATATTACCAAAATAATTGAAACTGGCGTGATTCTGCAGAAGTAGTAAAAATGATTTTCCATATCAGTTGGTTTATTAATCAGTGCTGCAGCCTCTTCTTTGCTGGATCATCCCAGAGGGAATGTTGCTGTGCACTGATTTCACATACTGAGGATATTTCCTTCAGGTTAGGAGCTATTCGAGTGAATAGTTACGTTGAAGCATGCAGAAGACTCAAGCTGCCTGCCTAACAAAATGCTAAAGGACAGGACAGTGTGAGCTATGAGTCAATTTCTAAATAGTTCAGTGCTTCACCTGGTGGGGAGTAGCCTGTTTGCTGAGGATGGCTTCATGGCTGGTGAAGACGAGATCCTTCGTGTTAGGTTTCTCCTCTTCATGTTCATAGTAAGATATTGTAAAAATTCTTTCATGAACAAAGTAAAAAATATATATAGATGAAGACATGAACAGTGAAACCTTATGCTTCAGGGCATCAGTGGATTGCTGCAGGGATGAAGAAGAAAATTTCTCTTCACAGTACCAGATACTACCTTGTTAGTGAGGTTTTCATTTTAGATATTGGCGTCTTCCAAGACAGGATACCAGGACCATACCAGATCAATGTGCCTGTGTAGCAATTTGTACCTTTCCGTAAGCCTTACAAGAGCTACATGTGTCTTGGTTTCCTCTTCCTCCCCAGCATGCAAAAGGACCTGATATTGGCCCTACTCTCTTTCCCTCCTAGCATGTATATATTTTTATTTGCTCCTGGCTTTGTAACACTCTATAAGTCTGCCACACTATTTCCCAGTGTATGCCAGGTTCTGGCTAGTGGGGTGGGGGGAGAATCTCTGTTGTTGAATTTCCTTCAAGACCTTACTCTTGATTCTTTTACTGTAAGTCAGAGCTTTGCAAGCCAGAAGAGGCTTGGTCTGTCTGTGAAGCAGAATACTAAATCAGTGTTTATCACCAGAACGGTGGTGGTGGTTGAGCAATGTACCATCTGATAGCTGTTTGATGGGCTTGTATGAAACGAGTTGGAGGTGATGAGGTCAATGAATAGAACAGAAAAGATACAGCCCCAGCCTTAGTGAACAAGTGACCACATCACAAGAACCATGACCACGATTGGCACCAATTGACCCCCTTATTGATCATATCAGCAGACCGGCTGAATTCCTCTCTTAACCCAAAGCAGTGGTTGGTCTCTCCAGATCAGGAATGAGGCTGAGAGGAGCAGTGAGTAGAAAGTGTATATTGCTACTGTACCTTCCCAGGTAATACAGAATGGCAACCAGCACCTTCACTTAAAAGAAAAAGAAAGCAACTCCCTTTCTAACTGTTACTGGTGAAGAGTCCTAACCGAAGCCAGACTAAGCTCCCACATAGTTTATCAGGTGGCAGTATTAATGTCACTGGGTTCCCTGCAGCCTGCTGGCCATGTCATCCATCCTTGGAAAGATGAGGAAACTTGGCAGTTCTGATGTGGAGGACTCTGAAGTCACGGACGAGCACACAGATGGTGAGAATTCCTTTCTGGGAACCCCTGACAGCCTTCAGGGTAGCCAGAGCACCAAGGTACAGCAGCTGCCCAAAAGCAACATCTTTGCTAGACGAGGCCGCTTTGGGATGGGGGACAGCGATAAGAACATGGCGCCCATGGACTCCTTGTACCAGATGGACCACCTGGTTTCTGCTCCCGTCATCAAGTTTAATATCAATATGGAAAGGGCAAAAATACACAATCAGTTTGCCAAGTAAGTTCCTGATATATTGGATATATATTATGACAGGGGTTGGGCTGCATAACTCAGCATTTACCCATTGCACCAAAGTATTTGCTTTTACAGCAGATATTTCAGTATTTCCTACGCTTTAAAGAATGGGAAGTATCCCAAATACTATGGTACATTTAATGACTATTGCCCATCCTGGAGTTGTATCTCTGAATACAATCTACTCTCCAAATGAATCAATAGGAGTGAACTCAGTGCCTCCAGGAATCAAACCCTTTGGTGTCTTTCTCAAAATTAGTGGGCACCTTTGAAAATGTTGCCCTGAATCATTTACCCAAAGCTATACAGTGAATCCATGGTAGAGCTGGGGTTAGAACTTGGGAGTTCTTAGCTCCCAGGAGCGTGATCAGATGTTAGACTTAGTTGCTTAACTGGATTTGAGTTCTTGTTCTTAACTTTTCACCAGTAAAAACATAATTTCACCAGTACATCTGTTTGTCTAAACATTTATGATCTTATAGACTGTACAATTTCATATATGTAATATTCACTAATGTGTGTGCCACTGAAAGCCAGTAATGGAAGTATAATTGGTGGTTTTTAAGAGACTTGCTTAATCCTTACGTTTCAGTAACTAAATTTATCTTTGTTAGGCTCCTATCTACCAATTCCATTGCAAGCTGCTCAGAAAAAGCTTTCAAGTTCTATGATCGCAGAAGGATCTTTGATGCTGTAGCCCAAGGTGACACAAGTGATCTGAATGACCTGCTGATCTATCTCCATGAAACCCGGAAGCATCTCACAGACAATGAGTTCAAAGGTACCCAGTAGTGTCAGATGCATCCAAATGCCAATTCCCTCTTCCAGCAGCGCTGCTGAGGTTAAAAGATCAGCATGGTGTTAACTTAAATACATGGTAAGACATCGCAGAGGGGTTCTGTGTCATGCAGGAGTTTCCCATAGACTGGGCAATTCTCTATAAAGATGCTGGAAATTTCAGAAAAGTTTGAGAGGTTATTTGTGAAACCCTAAATGTCCGTAGGTTCTTCCATCCATTCAGAAGATCCCAGATCCCTTGTTATTACTGCATGCCTAGGTGTCAGAGGGCAGGTTTGTAATGCCCCCTTTTATAGCTGTAACCCTTTGTGTTACAGAGCCGGAAACTGGGAAAACCTGCTTATTGAAAGCCATGCTGAATCTGCATGATGGGAAGAATGATACGATTCCCCTGCTTCTGGAAATTGCGGAGAAGACAGGCAATCTGAAAGAGTTAGTTAATGCAGAATATATTGACAACTACTACAAGGGTAAGAGAGGCAGCTGGAAGAATGTCTGGCCTTGCCTGAGCCTAAGTCTGTATAGAAAGACTGAAGATTGGTTACACAGGACCCCTGAGCCCTTTAGACGTTTCTCTGTATGTGACCAAGAATGAAGCTCTGGTTCTAGGAAAGCAGAACCACAAAGTGCCAGAGAGCCTGACGATTAGTCAGCACTTGTGTTCCTGAAATACCTGGATCACACCTGCTATTTATGCCAGTGACATGTTTGGTTAATGTGGTCTAATTTTCTTCCCTTTCTAGCTGCACGTTGCTGGAATAGGGTTGGGAGCACATTGGCAGGGGAGCAAGGAAGCCTGTGTTTGCTGCCTCTGTGGGCTCCATTCTGTTGATAAATAGAGCACTTCAGTCTCCAGTGCTGTTCAGTTTGTCCCTTTTCACCAGCATTGCATTAACCTCTGAAGGAAGAGCCTGTAGTGTCTGGCAGCTGTTTCTCTGTGTTATGTGATGTGAGATTTTCATGGTCTGATGCGTGTTTCCCTAGGTCAGACTGCTCTCCACATTGCCATCGAGAGGAGGAATATGTACTTGGTGAAGCTCTTGGTCCAAAATGGAGCAGATGTTCATGCAAGAGCCCACGGAGAGTTCTTCAGAAAAATCAAAGGGAAACCGGGCTTTTATTTTGGTAGGGAAAACAAGGAGCATGATACATGATTTCAGTCACTGATCAAGTAACCAAGAGAGTTGTCCCAAATGTGAGCTGTTCAAATACTCCTGATTATGGGGGACCGGATGACCCACAAATAGCAAGGGGGCTAATCCAACCTTCCCTAGTATTTCCCTAATGGGGACTGGGATTACAAAGGAGCTAAGGCAGTTAGGCATGCATTTCCCATTGCTATTCAGTGCAAGATGGGTACCTAACCTCATTTGTCTTCTGAACTACCTCTGTATCTCTTGATGGGTTGTATCATTATTAAAGGCACCTTCTAGCCCTGCACTCAATATTTCTATAGCCATCTGTTTTCAGTGGGAAGAGGATATTATAATCCAAGCACTTTTTTTTTCTGCCTAAAACTTAGTGTGTGAGGTCCCAACACAAGAAGTCTTTTTGTGTGTGTGTGTGTGTGTGTAAAACTCCCTTAAGACATTCAGTCCTTTTAACCAAAATACATAGGGACCATTCAGTGTGCATTTCTAATTCGAGAATTCTTTTTTTTTCAACTCTCCGTATGCTGGGTCCAGATAACCCCAGTCTATATTGATTAGCAAGGTATGAACATGTTCCCTTGTGAGTGACATTCATCCATGTTTAGAGGGCCTGCACAAGTTTTATGCAGTGCTTAAGTCCTATAGGGAAATACAATTTTTACAATGAGACTATGATTTGGTACAGTATTTGATGGAGAACTGCTCACCCCTGTCTGGTCATGGTGGGAGGTGGAGACTTGTACATTCTCCTTCGCTTTTAGGCTCATAAAGGTGACTTTTGTACATATGGTGAGTTTTCTGACCAGTGGTTCATGTTGCTTGCCATTAGGTGAACTGCCTCTTTCCCTGGCTGCCTGCACCAACCAGCTAGGCATTGTGAAATTCCTCCTGGAGAATCCGTATCATCCAGCCAATATAGCTGGCCAGGACTCTATGGGCAATACAGTTCTGCACGCCCTTGTGGAGATTGCAGATAACACCAAAGATAACACCAAGTTTGTAACAAAGGTGTATAACAACATTTTGATCGTTGGTGCCAAAATTAACCCGATGCTGAAGCTGGAAGAGATCACTAACAAGAAGGGACTGACTCCTTTAACCCTGGCTGCAAAGAAAGGGAAGATAGGGGTAGGTGGACACATACCTGTTACCCTTTCAAATGACACACAGTATAATCAAATAATTTACACTGGGTCCATGTCATTACTTGCTGCCTGGGCCTCGCAGACCGAGATGGTGGAAAACTTTGCAGGACTTAACACTGGAGTTTAAAAAGCAAAGCTTTGGCATAGTCTAGATCATGTATCCAGAGGGAGTCGTGTAGTACCGCTACATGTATGTCAGCCTAGATGGAAACAGTAAAAGTGCCCTGGCTGCTATCTCAGGTGGAGTAGGAAGCGCATCTTTGATTGGCTAACATGGCCAATTCCAAAACATTTCCCATTCACCAAGACAGTGACCTCAAAGGGATATGAAACAGGTGCCTCTAGATGTCTGTTTTAGGTTTCAGAGGTCAAAGATAGTCCCAAATCCTAACTGGAAGAGATCAGAGACACTTCTTTGTGTTACTGCATTAGCCCATTTGCCACATTCATATTGCCCATTCTCCAGAACCCAATGAGATCACTGGCTTTTGGATAGTGCAAGCTGTGAGCTGTACAGTATCCCAATGGCTTGATATCAGTGCAGTTAAGCCAGGGAGGAATCTGACCTCCTGTGTTATTGAGAAACTGAGTAACAAAAAATCTACCACAGCTGAAATGTTGGTCACATATTATTCTTTTATGATTAGATTTTCGCCTATATCCTTAGACGAGAGATCAAAGAGCCTGAGTGTAGGCATCTGTCTAGGAAGTTCACCGAATGGGCCTATGGACCCGTCCACTCATCTCTTTATGACCTGTCCTCCATAGACACATGTGAGAAAAACTCAGTGCTTGAGATCATTGCGTATAGCAGCAAAACACCAGTGAGTATGAAACCTCCTCTACACGTTCTTACTGGGTTCAGTGGTCAGCTGCGTTCTGTATAGTGCATGTCTCTGAAGGTTTGCATCCTTAGTTACAAGTAAATAGTGATCAGGAACAGTGCAGAGATGTAATTTTGTTCTTGGCACGAGTCTATGCACTGACATTCCTTTTGCCCACCTGACTGTGGAAGCTAATCCCAGGACTCTTTATTGCAAACATTCCCCTTCGGCTTGAAGCCAGCAGTACTGTTCACAGGAGTGCTTGCTCAGACAAGTAAGGGTACGGTCATGCCATACAGCAAGCCCCTGTGTTGTATGTCATTCCCTGGCACTCTTTTGGGTTCCTGAGAGAAACATTTTATAGTTAGAGCAGGGGACTGGGAGACAGGCCTCCTGGCTTCTGTTCTCAGCTCTGCTCCTAATTCACTGTGCAACCCTGGACAAATCATTCTACTTTAGTTTCCCTATCTGTGAAACAGGGATAATGACACTTCCCTGCCTTCTGGGGATTGGAGAATGTGGTCAATGAGGTTTCATTTACTGTTTGCAAAGCCCTTTGGCAGGTGCTCTCTCATCTTATGTGTGTATTGGCTTCTTTGGGACTCGCATTTCTTCTCTCTCTCGTCCCCCTCGCAGAATCGCCATGAGATGCTGCTGGTAGAGCCCCTGAACAGGCTGCTGCAGGACAAGTGGGACCGATTCGTCAAACGCCTATTTTACTTCAACTTCTTTGTTTATGCCATGCACGTTATCATCCTCACCATTGCCGCCTACTTCAGACCTGTGGAGAAACATGGAAAGGTACTTCACTGGTCATGCTCATCAGTGTGACCACCCCAGAGATGAATTCCCAGGCATGCCTGCCATGTTCATGGTGCCAGAGCTTAAAAGGTTCTTCCTTCTTTCCTGAGTGAGGAAGAGAAAGGGCGTAGAGGAAGGATTCCTCCTCCAGCCCCTCCTTGGAGAATGGAGGAAGCAGTGCTTTTAGGGACCAATCCTAGGGGAAGCCAAGCACCTTCAACTGCTCAGCAGACAGGTCCTTTTCCATCTTCAGCTGTGCTGACCCTTTGCTCCTGTGTTATGCAGCCTCCCTTCAAATTTGAATACACCACTGAGGAGTGTTTTCGAGTCACCGGAGAGATCCTGAGTGTGCTGGGAGGTCTCTATTTCTTTTTCAGAGGGGTAAGAGCTTTGAAATGTCTCTTTAGAGCCATGTGGATAGGTGGGAGCCAAAAATAGGTGCCCCCCTTGATTTGGGCTACTTGCTATTCGAGTCCATCCCTCACTCGAAAGCTGCAGATAGTTTTCAATGGCATGGCCAGGAGCTGTCAGGTTTCTGAGCTACAAAGCTAAAAGAAAAGGAGTACTTGTGGCACCTTAGAGACTAACAAATTTAGTTAGTCTCAAAGGTGCCACAAGTGATCTTTTTCTTTTTGCAGCTACAGGCTGCAACACGGCTGCTACTCTGAAACCTACAAAGCTAAGGTGCAGTTGCCTGTCATGCTACTGTGTGAGAAGGAAGGCCCTACAAAGTCTAGGAGTGCCTGAGCACAGAAACTAGCCGAGACAAGGTTTAACGGGGTACTGAATATAGCCAGGGCCTGCACCATTAAGGACTTTAGAGATCATCAGTGCTATTTTAAACACAAACTGTTACTGTGTGGTGGCCAATGTAAAGAACGCACAGCAAATACAATGTGATCACAGTTGCTCAAACCAGTGAGCAAATGGGCTGCTGTCTTCCACCCAAGCTGCAAGCTCCAGAGTAGTGCTACACTGAGGGGATAACCCTAATTGAAGCTCATGCTTACTGGAATGTGTGTTTCTTTTGAGAGGTCCTTGTGGTGAGCTAACTTAGGGTGAGCTGTTTTCCTTTTCCCAGCTTGGCCCTGGCTCAGCAGACCTCCCGAGCACTTACAGGGGCAATGGTTGCAGCAGCATTTCCAACAAGTGTGATCCAGATAACAGTCAGCACTTAGATACAGAGTGATGGGTCCCCCGGGCAGATTCGCAGTGGAAATCTACTTGCCAGCCTGAAACTGACTTTTCTTCTCCCTTTTTTGCAGATACAGTATTTCCTGCAGAGGCGGCCCTCATTGAAGACTCTGCTAGCTGACAGTTACAGTGAGGTTCTTTTGTAAGCTTCTCAGCAACTTCTTTATTTGCCTTTGAATGTGGCATTTAGGAGCCTGAGGGACTCATGGCCTTGGCTTGAGCCAGGCAGCTCATGTACAGGCTTTGAAATAAGCACAGTGCTTTTCATCCCCCAGTTCTCCTAGCACTTTACACAGGTGGCGCCAGGTCATAACCCTCATTTACAGGTGGGGAACGTGAGGTGCTGAGAGGTTTACTGACTGGGTCCCGCAGCAGAGCCAGGAATAGATCCCAGGACTCTTGACTTGCAGTCCAATGCCCTGGGCACTGGGCCAAGCTGAAACCTCTCTTGTCCCCAATGGTACCTTCCGCTTTACTCTATTGGAGCCCTCTGCCTTCTCCAGTCGGAAGGCTGCTACACAGGGCAGCTTCCTGAACTGCTGCCAGTTCTGTGGTGAGAGAGAGGGAGTACCAGAGAGAGCAGCGCTCGAGGACAACACAGAGAATTGTGGCTTGTCTTGCTGACACCCTGCAAGGCAGAAGAACAGCAGTGGGGTTGGAGAAACAGGGATATGTGGGAAACTTGGGAGTTATCAAGGGGAGAGGAATTGAGGAGGGTGCAGAAAACAAGTGAAGCATGAAAGGAAAGAATCTTTCAAGGGATGGAGGTTGGCCTAGGAGGATATGCCTGTCCAGGTGGGTTCTAATGGGCTTTTGGGGAGTTCCTGAGCCCACTGCTTATGTCTTCATCCCTCCTTTCTTGCCTAACTGGGAGGATCTGCACTCTGCTTGGACCATGCTTGTCTTTCAGCTTTGTCCACTCGTTGTTACTGTTGAGTTCAGTGGTGCTGTACTTCTGTGGCCAGGAACTTTATGTGGCATCCATGGTGTTCTCCTTGGCACTGGGCTGGACTAACATGCTGTACTACACCCGAGGCTTCCAGCAGATGGGAATTTACTCTGTCATGATTGAGAAGGTCAGTCTAGGGAGCAGCTGGCAAGCACTGCTGAATTTTCACAGAGCCACCGACTCAACCTTATGGTTTAAACCAGGGAGAGCAGCTTTATTTTCACCGGGGGGGGAATCTACTAACTGTTCCAGTGAGTCTGAAAAGGCTCATGTCCGTTAACTCTCCTCTCCTCCATTATTTTCAGGCCTTCTCCACAAAGAAGTCTGACCTCTTCATGTGGTCTAGCCAAGCAGCCTATAGAGGGGGACAAAGAACCACACTGTCTTAGCTTGATTCACACATGAAAAGTTGAAAATATATTTGGCATTAAGTATATTGCATATGCATGTAATAGGTTTTATGAATAATGCAAAGGAAATGTTCTCTATATTGAAAGCCAGTACTAGGAAATGCAGTCATGGTGTAAGGCAAGGGCAGTGAGTTCACACTGTATAGTTCCTTCTTGGAGCCAAATCAGGACCTTCCACCACTCTTGGTTGCAGTTTGTGTTAGAGTCCTATAAAATGTTCTGTTTCCATGTTGCAGATGATCCTGAGGGATTTATGTCGTTTCATGTTTGTCTACCTAGTATTTCTCTTGGGATTTTCCACAGGTAATGTCACCCTGGGAGTTATTTTTTCTTAGAGAATCAATGAGATTTAGCAAAAATTACCTTTTCAGTTAATTTAGAATTCCCTTTACCAACTAGAAACTAAGAAATCTACATCACGCCCCCGTACAAAATCTCTACCACATAAAAAAATAAAGAATACTATTACTTAGCATTTATATGGGGCTTTTTACCCATAGATCTCAAAGTGGCTGGCCAAGCAGCATTATTCCCATTTCACAGGTGGAGAAACTGAGACACCACATTTTCAAGAAATCTCTAATTTTGGATGCCTCCATGTTGAGTGCCCAACTTTAGAATCCTGGGGACTGATTTTTCAGAGCTTCTGACTCCCCACAACTCCACCTGCAGTCGATGGCCGTCAATATATTGTGTCTAATCAGATACATCTTTGCAAGTTTTTCATTGTTTGCAAAATGAGCATGATCTCTGAGTAACTTTTTCTTGTATACATGGCTCCTCCCATCTGCAACAGCTGTGGTGACTCTGATTGAAGATGACTATGAGGGACAAGAAAATAACAGCTCTCTCTGCACCCGATCAGTCCAGCTGAAGCGTGGCCGCATGTCATACAACAGTCTGTATTACACCTGCCTGGAGCTGTTCAAGTTCACCATTGGCATGGGAGATCTAGAGTTCACTGAGAACTACAGGTTTAAGTCTGTCTTTGTCATCCTGTTGGTCCTCTACATCATCCTCACCTACATTCTCCTGCTCAACATGCTGATTGCGCTGATGGGGGAAACTGTGAACAAAATCGCACAAGAGAGTAAGAGCATCTGGAAACTCCAGGTTTGTCGATCCCCCAAGGGTTCTGGTTTTATGTTGGAACTAGAAAGAGAACTTGGGGGATAAGCACTTTAAGGGGAATCTGGAGGGATTGGTATGTTTCTAAACTTGCAGATTTTCATGGCTTTCTATCTCCTGATTCCTTACCCATGAGCACAAGCCTGTATGACTGTCCTTGGCCCCTTTCCTCATCTGGTGTATGATGCACTGTTTAAGCAGATGTTATCAATATACACTGAATATTTCACAGATGTTTGCAGTTTAAGAAAATAAATATTTTTATTATTAGACAATAACAAAGTCAAAAACCAGAAGGCATTTAGGCTCTTGACACTGGAAAACCATGATCAGAATATGAAAAGATAGAGATTATGCATTGGATGAAAGCAAGTGCCTTCTGCCAGGTTTGCAGACAATGTCATGTCAGCTTTTGTGTACGAAAAGAAACCCTGTAGTTCTAACTACATAACAGTAATCATCCATCGTTTTAAAAGACACACTTCTAGAGAAATTTCCTGTGTTTGTGGTTGGCGTGATCATTGCCCTAGGCTGACAATGCAGGTGAAAGTTCGGGGATTCTTGTTTTATAAAGAAAGGACTCAACATTTGTATAAATATAGTTAAATGCTAGCTGTTCCCCACTCCCCTTGCTTTTTTCAATTGGTAGAGAGCCATCACCATCTTGAATATTGAAAACAGCTACCTGAACTGCATGATAAGCTCATTCCGATCCGGGAAGCGAGTCTTAGTGGGAACCACGCCTGATGACAAGGACGATTACAGATGGTGTTTCAGGTAACCTGGTTTTATTTTAAATGGACAATCTTTTACAGAAACATATCTACAGGCTGGGATGGCTCAATAACTGGTAATGGGATGCAGAGCTCTTAAACTTAGGATGACCAAAAATTACACTAAGTGATAGCTGTTCAGTGGCCTGAGTGAAATAGGTTCTTAGTCCAATTCGCAATAGACTTGGTCCAGCCTGCTGGGTCTGAGAAGGGCCAGAATGCCAAGCAGACCTTCTATGTTAAAATAGCAGCATTATGTCCTCTCATTGCTGTCAGACTCAAAGCAGCATCATAATTCAACGGATAATGAACAGATACTGCAACTGAGCCTTTTTCTTTCGATATCTGATTCTACGTTGCTTTACTTCTTGGGCCACTGTGACGCAAACTGCTCAGTGGGGAGAATCCTAGTGGAGTGCAGAGATTGAGTATCTGACCTATGCAACAGGGACGTCTATGGCATTCCCTGCCAAACCGTGAAGCGTTGGCAGAACTGTTACACAGCAGGCCTGCGATAGCCGGAACTCTTCCTTGTGTGGTGATTGGTTAGTGGATCTGCATACTCATGGATTCACCAGCCCACAGCCAACCCTCTGCCCTGGGACACAAGGACAGAGTGTGACCATGGAATCCGTTGGTGTTTCTCTGCATAGTATGATATAAATTTAATTGAGTCAGGCTGGTTTCTCCTCAGGTGAACGTTACAGAATTCTTTGTGGGCAGTTGCCTCGGTCCTCAGGCTGAGAGTGGCCTTTTGCAAATATCCAGTAGATGGAGAATTTTATTTGGTATATTAGGGACTTTAATACAGAATATTAAACCCACAGGAGCTTTAATCAGCCACAAGGATTAGGCCAGCACCATTCTGCAACACTTTACTTCACAAAAATTCCAGGATTATTGCTGTGTACCTTGAGTACTTCAAGAGTAGTAATTACTATTCTACAAGAATTCTCTATGAGTAGTTTGTCCACACAGAGAACTGGTTGCGTGACAAAGTTATACTGTGCATGAGGTCCTTGAGACTCTCGATCCCTTTTTGGAGAATAAATTAGATCCCCTTCAACATGACATCACTCTTTTTCTCTCTCCAGAGTCGATGAGGTGAACTGGTCCACGTGGAACACTAATCTGGGCATAATCAACGAGGAGCCCGGATACAGCGTGGGCTTGAAGCGAAACTCAAGTTTTTCTTTTAAGTCTAGCAGAGGTGAGGAATCCATGCATGGAAACACTCTGGTTCTTCCCATATTCTGACGATAGTAGACTATACATTTGGTTATAAAGGCAGCGTAATGTAGTGCAAGTTTATACATCTCTTAGTGAGACTTCCAATAGCTACATGAACTGCTGTTAAATGAACACAGTGGGCAAAAGGATTAAAATGAGCTAACCCTGTATTCATTTTGCAGTTTTATTCTTTGGAATTCTCTAGCTCCCTCAAATTCCTCACTCTGGATGTTTTTGGATGGTGTGTAATGAGTGGCACACCTTGGTGAGCTGGGTAGAGATGGCAGCAGTGTATCATAGGAGCCACTCTCTGATGCCCCAACCCCACAGTTCAGTAGCTCACTAGCCAGTGCAGAAGAACCCCAGTTCATAGATCAGTGGATGCACTTGTCACCTTAAAAGAATGGAAAACTGACAGAAGAATAAAACTCTTAAAAGAATAAAATCTTCACTTGTGCTTTATATTTATATCAGTTTTCCTCTGTGTTGGAAACCAGGAATATTCTAGTCTGTTTCTATAGGAAAAAAACATTAATAGCCACTTTGCTTATAAGTTTCAGGGAAAAACTGGAAGACCTTGGTTCCACTTTTGAGAGATGGGAGCAGGCGAGAGGAGGCACAGAAACAGCCAGAAGAAGCCAAGTTAAAACCCATTTTGGAACATGATTATGAGCCTGAAGACTCTGGGGCAAGGAAGTCTGTGTAGTTTTTTTGTTTGTTGTTGAATATAATTGTTCTTAAGATGAAAGTTAATTATAATTGTTTTTAAGTGTATTGTCTGTGTTCACAGACCATGGACTTGGAGCCCTTTATGAGAATAGGGCATTACTGCAAAAGGACTGAGGAAGTTACTGTATGTAATAACTCGTTAAACATGCTAAGTAAACAGCTTGTTAGTTAAGACCATGTTTCCATAGTTATTTCCAACATAAGTCTGCCAAAAATTGGTCGTGTCTCCATTATTGGTTAGGTATTTATCTCCAGATCAACCACACTAGAAGGCTCTCTCTTGAGCTTTGTACATCACACATGCTGGTTAAAAGCAGGAAATAAACTTGAGTATTTTTGCCCACAAGGAGTTTTCCTCACCTTCCAGTGCAAAAACTACAGACGGCCTAGACCTTGAGGTTTCCTACCTGGCCCAAACAAGAGACATAAAAGTCTCTATTGGATTTCACTGCTTGCTCCCCATCTCCACATCCTAACTGACCCTTGGGAGGCTCCTCAACTGCTTGGTGGAATGCTCTCTAGCAGTCTTCTGCCTGTGGGACTTCTCTGGGATAGAAAGAATGTCACAGCTTCTAACACGGGTACTCAGGCTGCAGTGAGTTCGATTTAAGTTTTCAGTCATCACACAGTTTGTAGCACTGATACAGAAATATGGTTTTATTGAATAGGTTTTAACTTAATCTTTACCATACCCCAAAATTACAGCAATCACTGTTGTTTTGGTCATTGGACAGAATCTATTATCAACTCCCTGAGAAACAGTCCCCAAAAGCTAACACATATTATGCCAGTACAGGTATGCAATATCGGCGGGTATGATTTGTAGAGCCCTGCATGGATACAAAATATATATCCGCGGATATAAATCAGTTGCTGCGCAGTGCCCTGCACTGGCAGCTCCTCCAGCATGGCCACTGGGGTGGGCACCTGTGGGCAAGGAGCCCCATGGGCAGGGCTGGGAACAGTACAGCCATGCAGGAGAAGCTACCAGTGTGGGGCATTGGCTCCTGAGAGTGGCAGCCTGACAAGCTGCTGCTTTCACCACTGTCATTTCCAGTAGAGCCCTGCAGCTTTGTGGATACTGATTTATATCCAGAGGAATCTGCATCCACGGATATAAATTTTGTATCTGCGCAGGGCTCTAAATTTGTATAGTCAAGTTTATAATTAGCTGTACTTACATGTTATATAATTTGCAAGAGAAAGGAAGAGCACATAAATGTGTATATCTATTTAGAGAGCTATATAGTAATGGACAACATACCCCCATATCTCAATGTCTGTACTTTGACCCGTTAACATTTTACCCCCAACTGGGGAGATTGCAGGTTATGTGTTCCATACGCCACCCGTTCCTAAACCAAATTTCGCACCCCTTGATAATCTGTACCTTATTCCCTGATAACCAGAAACTTCTATGCTTAAACTCTGTACCGTTTTCTTTTTACTTCAACATTATCTTAATAAAATTATTAAATCTGTTCTTATTTACTTTACAGTTCAAAGCAAATGCAGAAGGAATCTGACTTGCAGTGAAAGAGTATACACGTACAAGAACTTAAAGAAACCAACACCTCTTCAGACATCTGATTCTTCTACTGATGTGTTGCTTTCTTCAGGTTCCCTTTTCCCCATCACATCTCTCCTTGACCCTGGAGAAGAAATATTGAGAAGGTGAAACTGTGGGCATGAGAAGAACAAGCCAATTTTCTCTGTTTAGTTTGGATGCAATTTGGAGGAATCAGTTACAGTTAGAGGTCTGGGTTTGTTTTCAGTGAAACTGACAAAAATCCAGTTACAAGTAATTACAAGATCAGGAGAACAAAATGCTATCCAACAACCAACTAAGTTTGCAAATGAACTTAAATTTTGGATTTCTTTTAACTTTTGCATTTATCTTCAAAATTATATCTGCTCTAACCACCACACAGAATGACATTATTCTCATTGGCAGCACTTTATTTAACATGGCAAAAACAACCATATAAACCTGTAACGCTGCAGTTCTGTAACATCTACAGAACCCATACCATGGGTGAAATCCTGTCTCCATTTAAGTCAATGGAAATTTGCCATTGACTTCAATGGGGTCAGGTTTTCATCCAACGTAATTAAATATTATCGTTTTAAGAGAAGAACTACCCAAAGTGACTTAGAACTTGCAGTTTTTACATCTCATCAGAACACAAGTGCTTTATCGGGCAGAAATAACTGTCACTGTCTTTTAATATCATGTTAACTACTATAGGCCCAGCCCTGCAGTTCTGATTCCAAATTCCTTTTGAAGTCAGTGGGAGTTTTGCATAAACAAGGTCTTCAAGATTTGGCCCCTGTGTAATTAAAAGCCACAGAGCTCCTCTATTCAACACAAGGCTAGTCTTGGAGGTTGTTGGTATGGTAGCTAATGTAATTCTAGTCATAGGTCCACAGGAATGATTACTGAAGTTTAAGGGCAGTAAAGTTATCCTACAGCTAAAAATCAGGTCTCATCCATTTCCTCTTTTCTTTTCCTTTGCAAGGGGAACAGGATCTTCATTCAGGCTTATCAGTGTGTTACTCCATTGGATTTTGTTCACTTCATTCACCCTGTTCGTTTTAAGCAAACTTATAAAGAGGGGCACTTCATGCATCTGGCAAAAGTGGGTTATAGCCCATGAAAGTTATGGCCAAATAAATTTGTTAGCCTTTAAGGTGCCACGGGACTCCTTGTTATATAAAGAGGAAGCTTACAAATCTGAAGTTTATTTTTATTCATCTAAAAGCTGGGTTCAGCATAGCCAAACTCCATATAACTCTAGTGATGGGGTGCTTCAGAAGGTGCAGACTTAAGATGCATATCTAAACTATCTGAAACTATGGAGAATTCCACCATTAATGTGACCTTCTGCTATATGCAACCCCCCTCCCCAGCTCTATCTGTTGTCACAGGGGTGCCTATCTCCTTAGTATCGAAGAGCCTTCCAAAAAAAGTAAACACAAATCTCTCTCTCCCAGCCCTGGTGCTGTGGCCTGCTGCCCTCCTCTTGTGTCTTTGGTGGAGGGATTACCTTCACCTCCACTGTCTCTGCAGGGCCCACTGACCCTTAAAGCCCTGAATGGTCTTCAGGTGTGCATGTATGATAAGCTGTATCTGGGAACAGCAGAGAGCTTGGGCCCGTCACATTTAGGCATAATAAAATAGCTTAATCAAGCTTTTATTAAATATGTAGTTACTTTGATTTCTAGAGGTCTCACTGTACCCACCATAAGCAAGTTCTCTCATCTTCCTTTTTATCAGGGGTATATCCAACTAGTGTATTGGAGTGAATATTTTTTTCTTTGGAGCCATTTTCTCTAGGACACTGGCAAACTTCTTTCCAGATCCAGTATGGTCATGGCTTTCTGGAAACAGTTACAATGTATAATCAACATGATGCCAAACAGTGAATCGTTCAGGGTATGCTCTAGCATGTGGCTGCTACTGCAGCATGTTCTTGCTGTCAGCAGATCATTCTAGCAGCACAACATTTTCAAAGGATGCAGGTTTGAAAGTTGGGAGGAGGTGGTGCTCTTAACTTTGCACCCACTGAAGTTAATGGTAATATATCCACTGAATGTAGGAACGGCCATACTATGACAGGCCAGTGGTCCATCTAGCCCAGTATCCTGTCTTCCAGCAGTGGCCAATGGCCAGTGCTTTAGGGAGAATGAACAGGACAGGGCAGTTTTGAGTGATCCATCCCCTGTAATCCAGTCCCAGCCTCTGGCAGCTGGAAGTTTAGGGACACCCGTAGCATGGGGTTGTGTTCTTGACCATCTTCCCTAATACCCATTGATGGACCAATCCTCCATGAACTTATCTACAGTGGGAACAGTATTAGGCCATTGTCTGAGAACTTTTGAAAATCCCACATACAAATGTAAACAATTTAAGTGTTTTCTGGTATGACTTTCTACCATTTTAAAAAGCACGTCATACTTACACAGCCAACTTCACATGGAGAAATGGTGACATCTAGTCACCACTTGAGGCCCTTGCAGATGAATGATTACTATAGATACCCTATGGGCATACACTAGTCATTTAGATTTAGCCTATTAAAGGGAATTATTCTGTATTCAGGTTGGATAATAAGGGCCCAAATGGATGTGTTGTGTGTCCCTAGTGTCATGCTGTATAGCTTCCATTCTAAGACCGTTCTGGAACCTGGCTATGATGTAGCCATTTCCAGGTATTTGTTGATTTAAAAGTTTTGTTACCTGTAATAGCCATGTAAAATAGACATTTAATTTTTCTTAGGTTCTTGGGAAGTGGAAGAAAAGTGTGACAGAAGTGACAGGTAGATGAGACAATAGTGTATACAAAATAGTGTGTATGTCTGATCATATTACAGTATCTTGTCACTGATTTTGAATTGATAAAGGCAAAAGCCTCACCTGGAGCTTCCAGATTTCCTCACTTCCTTGGGACACTGCGCTGACTGTCTCCCCCATCAGCGCGATCAGCATGTTTAAGAGGAGCACAAAGGTGAGCATCACATAGCAGATGAGAAGAAGCATGAAAACCTCAGGGTACTTGGAATCCTCATGCCCTGAAAGGTCCCCGAGGCCTAAGGTAAGCTTGAAGAGCTCAAACACTGCAGTGTGAAAGCTATGAAATGGGCTGCACAGTGTGTCCTGGGGACAGTCAATCAGAGAAGCAAGAGCTGCAGAGTAAAAGAAAATCTGTATCAGACACCAGGAAAGGGATGGGAAAAATCACTGCACTGACCAAGAAGATAACACTGAATTTCCATTGTCTGAGCTACTGATACTGAGTACAATATTCATTCAGTTTCATACAAATTTAGACTTGATTTCTGTCAAAATTATTTTCTGATAACGCGAATTTAGTTATCCCTTTGTTGGCATATGTTGCACATAACTATGTAATGGTTCTACTGTTCCTGGGTAAAGTCCATTATGAATACCCAGGACTTGATCTAGCTAGTCCTTTATGGTGTGTTCTTGCTTTTCCTTCCACATATTTCCCGAGCTCTTACTGCACATTTGAAATGTAATGTCCCACCTTTTACTGCACAATCTCAGTGACATATGGGAATTAGAACCTGGTTCACCCCAAACGCAAAGCCCAGGACTGGAAAAGGTTTGAATAGCTCTAGATTTAGCTCAGATGATGGTGGCTTTTTCAGAAATGGGGGTGTGGGCTGCCTAGTGGTAGTGATGCTTGAGGAACCCCAGAATCATAGGATTGATTCATTTCTTATCCTTTTCATCTTTCCATATCATTAAATTCAAATTAATATTTATTCTAATTATATATATTAATATGAGAAACTTCTTACCTGCTCCAAAACCTACTAGGAAAACCCCATAAACCAAAAGGAACCTAGAAACATCCATTAAAATCATCTGAAAAAGCATGGAAAACCTAGAAAGAAGAGTATTATTGGAAAGCTCTTAGACAATAATATGAAAGCTCTGTAGTTCACCAAAATATCTAGCTTTGGAGTCTTGTGGTGTATAGGCATAGAGAATATTTAGGGTTGTAGCTGCATATCCATATACTTTCATGTGTATTATAGTTTCACACAATAGAATACAGTAAAGCTGTCCCATTGTGTTAGCTCAGGATTTGTATAAAGCATCGTTTCAGTACAGCAAACAAATTGTTAGGCAAATTTAAGTGAATAGGAATAGTTTAGCATATTTTACTACTGGTTGGTTGAAACATGTTTGAATGGAACAAAAGAGCTGCTATGGTTTATATTTATGTTCATAATCCAAAGATTTACACGAAAATATTTGTGGAGAATACTTTAGCAATAGGATCTTTCCAGCTTTTGGGGTTAAAATTCTCCACTCCCACATGAACAAGTTATGCTGTGTTTTTTATACCTATATTAACATGTTTTTAATATGTAAATATAAATTAAATCAAAGGTCTTTGAACTTACCTTTTGAATCATTATAGTGTAAATGCCAGTGATTCTGAACCCTCTGAAATAGTACAAGATATTGAACCATCCCAAAGCTAAGGCAAAGACCCTCAGTATAACATAAGCTTCCACTTGCATGATGTACAAGATATGTGTGCATATCACCAGCAGTGTTTGAATGAAACTGGGGGGAAAAAGAAATCATAGTCAAATATTGAGATACTTCCCACCTGTTGTTACTGAAATATATGTATTCATTAAATGTATGCAATGCAATTTCAAACAGTTACAAAGTCTAGTCTGATTGGCTTACAGAAACACAAGACAGTTTGCATTTAAAAGGCTCCCTAGTCCCACTGTGACAAGGTAAAACACTATGTAATATTCAGTGGGGAAAAAAAGAGTAGAACTCACAAGAGAACATAGAAATAGTTATTCTGAAGAAAAGAGCGTAATGTTAAAGGCCACATCCAGAAGATCTCTAAACTCTAAAAAACAAAAATATGGATCAAATACAAGCCCTTCCACTTAACTTAGTTAACACTTTTAAAGATGGGATTTTGAAATATGTTCTAGTTCATCACCTTTGGTAACCTACTGTCTGTTGGAGCGTGATCCCTCTATGACCTTAAGAAAGGACATTAATGTGTTGTGCTGAAGTTTCCTGGGAAACCCTATGCCTTGCTTTGCTCAGTAGGGGTGAAATTCTCCTCTGTGTAGAAGGTCAGCACATGGCCAATACACCACATAGGTCCTATTCTGAGGGTATAAGTGGGATGTAAGTGGTGCATAAGTCTTGTGCTGGTCCTCTGCATGGGGTGAACTTCTCCACAATGCCAGTGTTTCTCATATCATAACAGACATCACTAACAGCTCTAGTGAAGGAGAAATACAGCCATATACTTTATTATTGTGGAGCAGCAGCTCTGCTATAGTTAAAGTTAAGAGTCATTGATTGTTTGAAATATATTAGTGTGTATAGAAAAGGAGTACTTGTGGCACCTTAGAGACTAACCAATTTATTTGAGCATAAGCTTTCGTGAGCTACAGCTCACTTCATCGGATGCATACTGTGGAAAATACAGAAGATGTTCTTATACATACAAACCATGAAAAAATGGGTGTTTACCACTACAAAAGGTTTTCTCTCCCCCCACCCCACTCTCCTGCTGGTAATAGCTTATCTAAAGTGATCACTCTCCTTACAATGTGTATGATAATCAAGTTGGGCCATTTCCAGCACAAATCCAGGATGGCCCAACTTGATTATCATACACATTGTAAGGAGAGTGATCACTTTAGATAAGCTATTACCAGCAGGAGAGTGGGGTGGGGGGAGAGAAAACCTTTTGTAGTGGTAAACACCCATTTTTTTCATGGTTTGTATGTATAAGAACATCTTCTGTATTTTCCACAGTATGCATCCGATGAAGTGAGCTGTAGCTCACGAAAGCTTATGCTCAAATAAATTGGTTAGTCTCTAAGGTGCCACAAGTACTCCTTTTCTTTTTACGAATACAGACTAACACAGCTGTTACTCTGAAACCTGTCATTAGTGTGTATGTTTCTAATATAGCAAAACTTGTATGTCTTGTGATCTGTATTCTTTTCTGCCTTTGTCAGAGTGATCTCATGGTCTTGGATTGTATCATATTCCAGTGGCTAGTAGTGTGATCATACTTACATTCTTATCCATCAAGTAAATGGCTACTATAAAAATGTAAATTTGCCCCACAGGAAGCCAGAGGTTTTCACCTTCTGCCTCATGGAGAGACTGCTGCAAAATAGGTACAGTGGTGTTGGGAGCTGCCATCTGCTGAAAGAAACCGGGAAGGAAACAAGAGAAAAAAGTCAGACTGTGAGAGAATACTGTGATTCACAGTCCTTTGTCTAGGGGTGACTGATGAATATAAGAGAGGAAAGCACTGACAAAGAGCAAGTAGGGTGTCAAAGGTAGATTAAATCTCTTTTTATTTCTCTAGTCAAGGACCAGTTAAGTAAATGGTCTCATATGCTCAGGGTTTTTATTCAGAGACTGATGGTAAAAGCTAAAACTAAAAAAAAAAAAAAAAAAGCACTTTCATCCAGGTTGCCTTTATAAACCAAGGCTCTAGGTTTTCTATAGTTGCACTTTGTCATTTTTAGCTAATTACAGTGTAATGGGTGTTTCTGTATTGAGAATGTTCTCTATCCCGGTTACAAACAGTGGACAACTCAGAGGGGCAGTATAAAATCTTCATCAGTGCTCTGAATGTTATGGGCCCGCAATATCAGACAAGGAAGTTATATGTGAGGCCACAAATGTGGGTTGGGGAAAAAGGGACTTCTAACTAGAGAAATACCCCTTTAGGCAACGCTAACAACAAGATTTGTTTAGTTCACAGTGTTGGGAGCTACTATAGCTTTTGGTGTCTTTATTTCCCATTCATTTCAGTGATCTCTTTCTGTCTTTTTTGTTGCTAGAGGCCCCAGAGATCAGAAAACTGTCTCTCCTTATCACTGTCTTATCAAGTGAAAGAGTAAATGGTAAAGGAACAAGCCCAGGAGCATATAAGTTTATATTCGCTCTATTAATGTGAGTCAGCATTTCCTCCTTATAGAGTACTCTGGTCCTCTTCTTACTCTCTGCAACTTCCTCTGACATCTGAAACTAAGATGAGGTTTGAAGGTGTGATCTAAAACTCACTGAACTCATTGGAAAGACTCTCAGTGACTTGAAGGGGCTTTAGATCAGGTCTTTTAGGCGGTGTTAGTTAAGCCTTCTCATCTCCCATAGTGCTCACTGACACACCATGCCTGTATTCTGAGACTCCTCCCAAACCCACAGTGCAATACCAGCCATGGCCTCATGGCCACTATTTTGCATTGCTGAGTATTATCTCTCATGAACATAAGATGGCCACACTGGGTCAGACCAAGGGTCCATCTAGTCCAGTATCCTATCTTCTGACAGTTGCCGGTGCCAGATGCTTCCAAGGGAATGAACAGAACAGCCCCTGGGGGATGGGGACATGGCCAGGGGTTGCTCTTGGGCACCTTCCACCCACCCAGGGCAGGTGGAGGGACCAGGGCTCCCCACAACAGCCTAGGCTCCCTGGGTTGCTCTTACCACTGCCCAGCTCTGGCTTCCGGCCTGGCTGGGGGAGGTGCCACCGAGAGGGGCAGGGCCTCATTATCCCCCAACTTCTACCAACGTTCTGGCACTCCTGTTCCCAGCATCTGCCAATTAGAGGCTTAGGGAAACCCAGAGCATAGAGTTGTATCCCTGGCTATCTTAGCTACTGGCCATTTTTTAACCCATCCTCCATGAACTTATCTAATTATTTTTTTTGAACCCAGTTATACTTTTGGCCTTCGCAACATCTCCTATCAATGAGTTCCACAGGCTGACTGTGTGTTGTGTGAAGAAGTACTTCCTTTTGTTTGTTTTAAAGCTGCTGCCTATTCATTTAGTCAGGTGACCCCGGTTCGTGTGTTATGTGAAGGGGTGAATTACACTTCCTTACTCCGCGCTATTCATGATTCGATAGACCTCTACCGTATCCCCCCTTAGTCGTCTCTTTCCCAAGCTGAATAGTCCCAGTCTTTTTAACCTCTCAGATGGAAGCTGTTCCATACCCTTAATCATTTTTGTTGTCCTTCTCTGTACTGTTTCTAATATATCTTTTTTGAGATGGGGGATGCACTGACACTGTCAAAAAAACAACATCTGTATAAGGAAGCTAGTCTATGTTCATACTTTTCAAATCTATTATACTTTTTCAGATACACATATTTTATCTGAAGGGCCAAAATCCATATGATGTTTATGTAACAACCTGATATAGACCATGTTAGCTATTTTTACAGGCCCAAAGTCCAGAGTTTGGTCAAGAGGCCAGAGGCCTAGCAAATAGTGAACAATATTAGCTAAGAGAGCAGAACAAACAAAAGACAACCTTGCTTTTTGCTAAGATAAGCTTGGTCAGCGAAATGCCAGGTGGGGAGTCATAACTGGTGTCTTTATTTGAAGTTGAAAACAGACCAAAGGAATGAAAGGGGCCCTGTTCCTGCTGTAGGAAGAGATACCTTCCCACACATCAACCTTGAGTTTATGGAAGAGGTTCAAACATGTCAGTATGAGATATGACATCCTCCCTCTCACAGATGCACATCCCTCCTCCCAAGCCCTTACCAGTGCCTGCCTTAGAAACACAAATGAGCAACTGAAAAACAATCTTTATTGCCATGTAATTTTCATTTGTCTCTTTGCTTTAACCCCCAGGTATGTACCTGTGGACAATCAAAGGAGCTACTTCATTCCGATGGACCTCTAACTGAATTCAACATATATATTTTATACTAATATACATTTTATATATTGTTTGAAGTACTAATTGTATGTTCGCAAAAAGAAAAGGAGTACTTGTGGCACCTTAGAGACTAACCAATTTATTTGAGCATGAGCTTTTGTGAGCTACAGCTCACTTCATCAGATGCATACCGTGGAAACTGCAGCAGACTTTATATACACACAGAGAATATGAAACAATACCTCCTCCCACCCCACTGTCCTGCTGGTAATAGCTTATCTAAAGTGATCAACATGTGGGCCATTTCCAGCACAAATCCAGGTTTTCTCACCCTCCACCCCCCCACACAAATTCACTCTCCTGCTGGTGCTAGCCCATCCAAAGTGACAACTCTTTACATAATCAAGTCGGGCTATTTCCTGCATAGATCCAGGTTTTCTCACATCCCCCCCACCCCCATACACACACAAACTCACTCTCCTGCTGGTAATAGCTCATCTAAACTGACCACTCTCCAAGTTTAAATCCAAGTTAAACCAGAACATCTGGGGGGGGGGGGGGTAGGAAAAAACAAGAGGAAACAGGCTACCTTGCATAATGACTTAGCCACTCCCAGTCTCTATTTAAGCCTAAATTAATAGTATCCAATTTGCAAATGAATTCCAATTCAGCAGTTTCTCGCTGGAGTCTGGATTTGAAGTTTTTTTTGTTTTAAGATAGCGACCTTCATGTCTGTGATTGCGTGACCAGAGAGATTGAAGTGTTCTCCGACTGGTTTATGAATGTTATAATTCTTGACATCTGATTTGTGTCCATTTATTCTTTTACGTAGAGACTGTCCAGTTTGACCAATGTACATGGCAGAGGGGCATTGTTGTTAACTTGAAACCATGGGCAGAGACCTCATGTAATCTTTGACTATTGGCTACTGTACTTGTCTTGCTGCTAGACCTATCCAGGGGTTTGGGACTACCTACTGTGAGGGGGCTTATTCCTTCACCCACTTACTTCCCTGGTCCTTCTCGCATGAACAGAGAGCAACAATACCTGAAGTCCAAAGGTGCAAACAATTCAATGTTTATTGGGGTGAACTTCCAGCAAGCATAATTCTAGTTTCCTTCCTTAGCATCCCCCTTCCCAGCTTTGACACCACAGAGCCTTACCTGTGTCCCTGTTCCCATCCCCCCCCCTTAGCAAAACATGATTCCAATTCCCCACCCCATCCCCTGTTCCCATTTCCCCCCCACCCACTCATGTCCTGATTGACTGCAGACTATATAGTAAAACTTGAGTTCTGCTTAGCTATACCTTAACCAATCATTTTACTGAAATTTAACTAACCAATCCTAACATATTGTAACATGATTATTTAACCAATTATATCCTACCACCTTAATTAGTTTACACCCAGCAAAATTAATTATATAGCAGACAGGAACAATCACAGAACCAGACAGAGATTATGCAGACAAACAATAGGGAAACGGGGACTACAGTGATAGAACAACAAAGAAATGAGGATTTCACATTCCAGCTGTTGATAAGTGAGTTCTTGCCAGACAGGATGCTATCAAACTAAGTTTCCTTTTACATCTTCTAGGCACTTCCCTTTCTC